GATTATATATATATATATATATATATATAATTGACATCGATTATGATAACCGACACAAATAATAACATCACTTTTACAAACTGATAGGAAATATAGTATCATTTTTGAAAATTGACTCATTATTAATATCAGTTATAAGAACTGATATAATTTTTTTTGTTTGCATCAGTTGATTAAAAACCGATGTGAATTATTTGCATCGGCAATATAAGTATCACTCTTATAAGTGATGTAAAATTTCATTGTATCACTTATAAGTAATGTAAAGTTACAAAATAAATGATTCAATCCACTCATTTTTTTGTAGTGGTTTTTCTTTAAATATCATTTACATATGTATATTTATGTTGCATTAATAGTACTAAAAGATATATATGTTGATATTTTGAAACCCCCCCCCCCCATGATGTGCTGATGATATTAGATGATTTCACACACTTACATAGTTTATTTAGTTATTTATTTTATATTTGTATATTTTTATATTTCTACATCTATTTTTTGAATAAAAAATCATATTCATTGTATTAGTCATTTTTTACAAGAGATTTTTTTTTTATATATAAGAAAAGTATCTGTAGATAATAAAATAAACATTTACGTAATCTTTCTAAAGTTCGGATATTATTTTACCAACACAACTTCGCTTCATTAACTATGTATATATAATATATACATATTAAGTAGTTATATATCTTCAAAATTACCTGTGTGTGATTGTATATAAAGAAGTATGAATTGTATGGGGTATACGTGATGTAGAAGAGATGATCACAATGAGGAGGAATATTCTGGAAGGCAAAAACTACAGAAGCTCAAAAATGCGATTTGGAGGGAGCGTATCGAAACAATGCCACAGTAGAAGTTATAACGAGATAGTCACCACTTATTATTTTCCTGAATATCCGTCCTCCCCCGTTACACGGTGCGACAGCTACGACGTCTGTTATAGTTGCACCCCCTGTTTAAAGGCCAAAGTCTGCATATCGTACCGTGGCGCACCCCCGAGGTGCACCATAACCGAGGAGTGTTGCCTTATAGTATACCCATAGCTATCAATTTATCGAATGCAAACGTAATGCAAAATATGACAATCGTCTGTTGAACATATATACATCTTACTTTTGTAAGTTAGATGGAATCATATCATAATATGTATAATTTCATAGTTATAAATGAATTCACACACTTACAGTTGTTGGTTCCATAAAGTATGAAATTTCAGCACTATGTGAAAACAAAACAGAGAAAACCAATAGAATTGAGAATATCCAGATTTTTTTTTTTTTTGAATTTTGGAAGAGCGTAAGAAACAATATCACACTAAGAGTGAAATCTCCGGTGTGTATCAGTCACACAGAAAATGAAATGGAGAATTAAGTAGACATACACATATAGGAAACAAGAAACAAGATTTTATTTAATAATTCATTGTGAGATCTGACTTATAAGTCCGATCTATTACAGTTAAAACATACGATTATTCATAAAATACAAATGGTAATAAGTAAGAGGTTATACATCCTCGAGATACCCTAAAGCATAAGCAAGATTAACGGCAGCCTGAACTATCGTTGCCAAACAAGATACGACCATCATGAAGCATCCCCATTCAAACATCTTCCCCTGATACATGTAAGCAGGTTCAACTAAAAGTCTAAAATATATAACAAAGATAGCTTCTTATTACAAGTGTTGAGAAAATGCTTGCATGGGTGATCATTTTATAGGTAAACCGTGCATAGATAATAATACTATTAGACTCTTGAAAATTGAAATTCCTTTTATCTTCTCGTGAGTCGGAAAGTAATAAAGGACATGCAGTCAAAACTTTAAAGATCAATGATTTTGAATTTGGAACGTTTTGTCACGAATTTACGTATAACACAATTTGGGCTTAAACTCAAACTGTAACTGGATGTGAGATGATCGCTGTGGCCCAATTAACTTATATTTACTTGCTCTGAATTCTGAAAACGTGTAAATATGAACGTGGGACGAGTATAGTCTTACGTAATTGCCGTGTAAATTTAAATGGGTATGTTTGGTCCGTAACAATATACAAGAAGACGACGTTAATAAAGAAAGTGATTGAGGAAACAATACTTGTCGGTGTGATCGTGTGGAACCTTCCATGCATGACTCCAATTATAGGGTTCTCAAACTTTTGGTCTCCCATGCATGTATCTAATTATATAATTGTTACCAATTCTAGTTCTTAACGACTGATCAGACCATTCAAATTGTATTCTTTTACGTTTGAGACAAAATATATAACCACTTTCAAAAAACTTTACATCATAGAGAAAATTGCAACAAGGAAAAAGATTAGAGAAAATTGCTTTATGATTTTCCAATCGAATATATAGTTGGTAAGCCTAAAGTATAAAATTATAATTGATGAAACAACGATACGTTATCTCGCTTATATAAAAAAGGTAATTAATTGTAGTAATCTATAGTCAAAAATATATATAGTTATCTATATATATAAAGTTAGCTTTTTCTCTCTTCTCATGATGCCACCTAAGCATCCACCTAAGCCACATTTTTGTTTAAACATTAAATAAATTTAAAACATTCATTTAGTGCATATTTATGTTACTTATTTAATTAATAGAAAGTTTATATAAATAAAAATAAATTATGTAAAAAAAATGAAATGTGAAAATAAGAAAAACAATACTTTAATTTTTTTATTAGTGATAATAATATAATTCAACTTTTATTTTAAATTGATCATAATTTAATATTTTAAATATGTTACTGAGTTTTAGAATGGAAGTAAAATTTAAATTTATGGTAGACTAAAACAACATTTATGTAATTGTATATATAAAATTATAAAGAGGAAAAAAATGAAAGTGAAATATTAGTTTATAACATGATAAAAAAGAAAAAAAAAATGATATTTCATAAATTGAATCAAATGCTTTTAACCAAATTTGAGTATTGAAAGATAATAATTAAAGATAAAATAATTATAATATTTTTTGAAAATCAATTAAAAAAATAATAAAATATCATAATATGAATAAAAAATCAACGAAACAAAATTATAAACCTCCCGCGCGTCAACTGCTAGTATACTATATAGTTTAGAGTTGAATTATAATTTCTGAGTTAATAGAGAGGAAAACAAAAAAGTCGTCAAGTTTGACTAAGAAGAAACAGGCACATCTGCCTTGACGAAGAAAAAAAAACGGTTTGGTTGAGAATGACCGGTAGACAAGTTTTGCATAAGAACAAACAAACACGAAAGAAAAATACAAATCGGGTCTCTCTAATAGACAAAACTTGTTAAATCAAATTACTTCCATATAACAAATACTTCAGTTTCGTTCGACGAGTGTGATACCGCGTGTAGCATTAATGTTAACGTTATATGCCATTGTGATTGCCTATATTACTAAATATTAACTACGAATATCATTAGGGGGTTGTATCATTTCTATTACTAAAAATACAGCTTCAGAATTTTCTGATCAAAACCTTTGGGTTACATACACACCCTCACGTGCACAACACCTTCTTATTTTCCAAGAAAAAAGAACTCGTTCAACTTTTTGTTTGTTTGTATAATATCAAATTCAATTTGGTAATCCATCGTCATATTTATTATATATGGAGTAGTGTACATTTCCCGAAGGATCAGGTAGCGTTTTGAGTTTGACAATTCTAATTCTTACTCGACAAAAACTAATAGTATTTGCGGAACCGAAAGTACTATAACACATTAACACTTATTTATTTCACGCCACATTTTATAGATCTTCGTTTATTTTTTCATTCTTTATGATGTTTTACGATGCAATGAATTGATTATTCTGTTCCCTCTAACTTTGTGACTTTAAACAATGTCCCGAAGTTGTTGACACATCCTAAGTTTTCAAAACGTAGTGTACCCTTTTCTTTCATATCGAATGTGAATCCACATTTACTACTTTTACAAAAAAAAAAAAAAAAAAAAATCACAACGAAGAAAACAATATCTTAAATATTTGACATTAAACCCACCAAAACCCATTTCTATAAGTTAGTCTTTTTATTTAACAGAAGAATAACGAAACGACCAAGTCAAAGATAAGGTCAATCCCACCAGCCAAAACTTAGTTCACGGCACAACAAGACCTTTTAGCATAAGAGAGAGAGTCTTTATAAGGAACAATTTGAATATCTAGTGCAATGACCAAACCATCCTTCTCAAATATGTTAACCATTAGCAACAGAAACAAGGATACGTTAGTCATTGTATACATACACACACGAAATTTTCCTTACAGAACAGAACAGATCAACAACTACTCTGCTCTTTTTACAGACGACGAGGATGTCAACAACCCAAAATACCAAAAACCCCCAAAAGTCACAAAACCCACAATTAAAGAAACAGCATATTAAAATGATTCACCAATTTGTACTTGCTTTTACAGATTTTCTCAAAAACTGAAATTGAAACAAACAAAAACATAACCAAAAGACGTTTAGCTCTTTCCATTGATCTCTCTCTCAATTCTCTGCAAATGAGTTAATCTTCCATGGCTGCCATGTTGATGCAGCCATGGCTTCCTCATCTAACCCTAATTTTGTTCTCCTTAATCCTCTTTTTCCCTGATCAATCCTTTTCTCAATCCGATTCTCCTCGAAATATCGAAACTTTCTTCCCAAATGACACAATCACCGCTCCAGTTCCATCTCCGGTTACATCTCCAGCTCCATCGCCGCCGGAAGATTCACCATCTTCTTCATCGGACAGAGGAAAGATCACGAGGGCTGTGCTTATAACAGCTGCAAGTACTTTACTTGTAGCAGCTGTGTTCTTCTTCTTCCTCCATAAGTGCGTAATCGTACGGCGGAGAAGGAGAAACAGAGTCGGCGGTGTTGAGAACACCCTTCCTCCGCCGGTTCCTCCGTTGGCGGAAACGGCGTTAGCTCGGGAAGGGTTTACTAGATTCGGCGGGAACGTAAAGGGTTTGATCCTTGATGAGAATGGTCTCGATGTGTTGTATTGGAGAAAGTCGCAGAGTCAGAGAAACAATAAAAGCGGAAGCTTTAAGAAGGAGATCGTTCACGGAGACGACGACGGCGATGACGACGAAGAGAAGAATGTGGTTAATTCAAAGAACAAGAAGAAATCGGAGATTCCTCTTCTCAGAGGAAGGTCATCGACTTCTCAAAGTGTAGTTCACAACGATAATTACCGAAATGCCACCACCACCACTCATCCTCCTCATGCCAAAACTGGTTCTGATTCTTTTGAATTCGCTAAATCAGATCCGTCACCACCACCACCACCGCCATCGCCAATTCCGGTGAAGCAGAGTGCACCACCTCCTCCTCCTCCTAAGCCTAAGAGTGGCCCATCTCCGCCGCCACCTCCCCCGTTGAAAAAGACGGCGGCTTTATCGTCCTCTGCTTCAAAACCACCGCCGGCTCCTAGAGGGTCATCTTCTGGGGAAAGTTCAAATGGTCAGGTAAAGCTCAAGCCTTTGCATTGGGATAAAGTGAACCCTGACTCTGATCATTCCATGGTTTGGGACAAAATCGACCGTGGCTCATTCAGGTACATCTTATAGATCTGTCTGAACTCAATCGTTTCATTCAAAATTTTCGATGAAAATCCCAACTTTATGCAAATCTGGTTTCTTCTTCTTCTTCCCTCAGTTTCGATGGCGATTTAATGGAGGCTCTATTCGGCTACGTGGCGGTAAAGAAATCTCCAGACCATGGCGGCGATAAGAAACCTAACTCAACCTTACCGACCAAGATTTTTATACTTGACCCGAGAAAATCTCAGAACACAGCGATCGTGCTCAAATCCCTGGGTATGACTCGTGATGAGCTCGTGGAATCGTTAATGGAAGGTCACGATTTCCATCCAGACACACTCGAGAAGCTCTCTAGAATAGCTCCGACGAAAGAAGAACAATTAGCTATTCTCCAATTCGACGGCGACATGAAAATGCTTGCTGATGCTGAATCGTTCTTGTTTCATCTCTTAAAGGCTGTCCCTAGTGCCTTCACTCGTCTTAATGCGTTGCTCTTCAGAGCTAATTACTATCCAGAGATCTCAAACTATAACAAGTCTCTTCAGACGCTGGACTTAGCTTGCACAGAGCTCAGATCACGTGGCTTGTTTGTGAAGCTTCTTGAAGCTATACTGAAATCTGGAAACAGAATGAATGCGGGAACAGCTAGAGGAGATGCTCAAGCTTTTAATCTCACTGCGCTTTTGAAACTTTCTGATGTGAAGAGTGTTGATGGGAAGACGACTTTGCTTAACTTTGTGGTGGAAGAAGTTGTTAGGTCCGAAGGGAAGCGATGCGTGCTTAACCGAAGGTCTAACAGTAGCTTTAGCCGTAGCAGTAGCAGTAGCAGTTCGATTTCCGAGGTTATATCGAAGGAGGAGCAAGAGAAAGAGTATTTAAAACTCGGGTTGCCTGTTGTTGGAGGGTTAAGCGCTGAGTTCTCCAATGTAAAGAAAGCTGCAGCTATAGACTATGACACGGTTGCTGCAACATGCTTGGCTCTTACGGCTAGAGCTAAAGATGCTAGACGAGTATTAGTGAAGAGCGAAGGAGATAACAAAGAAGGAGAGAGGTTTGTGAAGAAGATGAATGAGTTTCTTGATTCTGTTGAGGAAGAACTGAAGTTAGCAAGAGAAGAAGAGAAGAAAGTGATGGAGCTTGTGAAGAGAACAACTGAGTATTACCAAGCAGGAGCTGTGAAAGGAAAGAGTCCACTTCATTTGTTTGTTATTGTTAGGGATTTTCTCGCTATGGTTGATAAAGTATGCGTAGAGATCGCAAGAAATTTGCAGAGGAAAACGACAATGGGGAGTCTGCAGCAGAGGAATGCAGTGAAGTTTCCGGTTTTGCCTCCAAATTTCATGTCGGATAGGTCTAGAAGTGATTCTGGTGGATCAGATTCCGATATGAGTTTGGAAAGGCCATTCTGAAACTTGATGATGGTATTGTCAGATGAGAAATGGTTTGGTTGGCTGTAAATAATAGAATCGTTTGGGTACTGATTATATTTTTTTGCCTAAAGACCTTTTTGAAGTGTTAATAAGATTAGTAGTCCGAGGTTTTTTTCTGCATAGAGCTCATCCCATATAACAAGAACAGAGGTTTGTAGTTTGATCATACTACATGCTATTATGCTAACATGCAATGAACCAATGTTGTTTCTATGATCTTTACTTCTGTGTAAACTTGAAATTTTGGATACATTTTCACCAAACCTAAAATCTGTAAAGGAAACAAATTCAGAACTTGTACAGATTTCTCAGAGGCAGTCAAGGTCAAGATCGTTATTCATGAATATTCTTTTCTTTTCTTTTCTTGCCATGTCTTAAATTCCTGAATTTTTAGGTTTAGAGTTGATTAATACAAACTAAAGTCAAGAGTTTGAAATGGACCAATGAAGGTTGTTAATTTGACTATTGATGCACTAAGAAAAGTTGTCAGTTCTTACACATAGTTTCCTCTTTGGTAATCAATTTCACAACTAATATTTTACATTCAAAAAGAACAAGACAAGAAAAACAAAGATTATTAATCATTTCTGATGTATCTGCTGATTTATCATATTCAACAACATTTGTATTCAAGAATTGTGAGGAAGATTTTAGCTCTGTCAATGGAGTGACAATACTAATGTTATCGTGCCTATAAGTTTGAGTTTAGAAGGTTTTTATCGTGGTTCTCATAGTATTTTGGTTTAACCGGAAGAAGGTAGGTATTAATGGACGTTCTTGAGGTCTGGGAAGTGCAGCCTGGTCCTCGCAGGTTTGCTTACAAAATATATACACATTGCCACAAAAGGTTTGGAAGACCAGTGAGCTTTTGGGGGTAGAGGGCTTGGAGAGGTCTAAAAAGTTGCTGAGCATAGACAAGATTGATTCGAATAATTTCTGTTTAGATAACAACATAATCCTTGGAGTCTATACACATACACATGAAACTGTAAAATATAACTATTCCTTATTACTCTTACTACTCCTTCCACAAATAATACTGGCAACTAAAGACTTCTCTATATAACAACAAGATCATTGGCTCTTTACCTCAACACTGGTGGAACAACATTGGTGGCGATCTTTGCCAGAAGATCAGACTAAAACTGGACCGAGATAACTATCATAACACCTTGTCTAAAGAGCCTTTTGGTAAGGTCCGCACAGGAAGAGAACCCTGCATGGGTTTTGCTTTCGGATTAAGAGAGTCTCTCCGGGTTTTGGCATCAATCACTCCTGCCTGCTAAAACACGGAAAGTAATGAGACCACAATATATCTTTCCAGATTTAAAAATGTGAAAAGATTTGTATACCTTTGGGTTCTTCTGCAGGCGTGTCTTCTCTACAGGTCTTGCACCAGACTTGGAAAGCTGAACATCATGAAAACAGTATCAGCGAAAGTATGCAGAAATAGTTAAATGTAAACCTCCATTTTCAGTTTGGTCATGAGAGAGATATTACCTCCTTTTGTTGTTTCTCATTGCTTTTTTGTCCATGAGATGGAGATCGATAGGCGGTAGTACCACTTCTCATCTCCATGGTACTTGCTTTTGCAGGCCTGTTTTTAGGACAAGAATCGAACTTTAGGACTCAAAACATGCAATGACGAGTTTCAGTAAACCAAGCAAGATATGACAAGTCCCATGAGTATATATACCTGCCCTTTTCCTTTGGCCGAGTCGGTACTGATGGAATACTAGTTGCCTTTGCAGTACTCTGGTATTAACTAGCTGATCAGTGGATAATCTTTCACAATTGGCAAAATAGAAAACATTACTTAATACCAACATACCTGCTTTAGTACCGTGTTTTCCCCGTCGACAGAAGTTTTGAAGTCAAAACTCTTTTGAAATGTTTTAAAGGCACGTTTCACAATGTCTTTATCTCCCATTCGTTCCATAATCAATGACTTTCTAGTGCTTGTAAGAGCAGTAGGATCAGAAGCAGGTGGATCCATATTCATAGAGATATGCAATGACTTTGGAGCAGTTTGTTTCTTTTTCAGTAAAGCCGATGGATTTTCCTTCTTTAATGAAGAGTAGGATGTCGACAATGAAGTGTTTTGTGAAGCTGGCTTGTAAACTCTTGGAGTTGAAAACCCTTGTGGGGCTTTTGAGATCGGTGCTGCTTGTGGCGCTTTGGAGATTGGTGCTGCTGCTTTCTTTGTTGGCTTCATCATGTTTTTGATCTCCTTGCTTGGTGGAGTTTTCCTACTTGTTACAATCTTGTTAGTTTCCGGTTTTTTCATCACCTGATTAGGCTGTAGACAAGAAAGTGATAGAGCGTTTAAGAAAAAGGAATTGAAGACACAATCATACACAAGAAGTAAGCTCCTTTTTTTTCCTACTTAATCACATCTGAAGAACTTGAAAGCTTTACCTTGGGAGAGCTTCTTGTAGGAGTAGTCCACACATTTCCATCATTCTTCTTTATTAGATTATGCTTTTTCTCTTTCTTCACCTCCTTCATTGGCTTTTCATTTGTATCCTTAATACCATCTTCTGATATTATTTCCTCTCTCACATCTTCTCTTACTCCTGTCTCTAAAACATCCTCAACTTGTAAAACCTCTTCTGGTTCCTCCTGCACATGGACAACCACTTCCGGTTTCTCCTCCACAAGAGCAGACTCTTCTGTTTTCTCCAAAATTGGACTATCCACACAGTCCTTGACTTCTTCTTTCACCTGATCAACCGAGCTTTGACATTCCTTGACAATGATAGTATCCTCACTAACCTCATCAACACTCAGTTCATTTACTTCAACAATAATGTCAGTCACATGCTTATCTTCATCACAAGTGAACTGCCCATCAGATCCATCATCAACCTCAGACTCTGCCACCAACACGCCATTTTCGCGTTCCACACTCTCCTGATCTGAAACGTTTGATCTAAAAGATGCTTCCGTGTCCAATTGTTTCTCCTGATCCATGATCTCAGCTTTCCTCTCAGCTATCTTTTTGTAATGAGCTTCAAAATAAGCCTTCTTTTGAGCAACTGATCCTGGAGTTGCACACTTGCCAACTTCCTCCAAGTACTTGTTTGGAGAGAAAGCAGAGAATTTCTCCCATGAAAGTGAATCATTCTCAAACCTGCCAAATGAAACCGACACTTGCAGGCTCGGGTTCGATGAAGCCACAGCCTTTACCGGTGTATCCTCCCTCAAGCCATAGAATCCCTAAACCAAGGACAATTCAATAAAACCACCAATCATGAGAAATAGACAAATCAAGTTCAGAACTTGGAAGATCTCACACATAAACAGAGGACAAACTAAGCAGAAACCTAAAAGAGACTAGTCAAATGGGTGAATTACCTTATCTTCAATAGTGGCAACACCAACTTGCATATCCCCCATTAATGCTCAGCAAGAGGAACCTACTGATTCACACAAAATCCAGTAAATTTTGTATCATTTGAAGACCCATTAACTAGAATCTGAAGTAAAGAAGGATCTACTCGCTACTTTAATTTTTTTGCTTTTTTGTTTTTGTTTTTGTAACTCTCCAAACCCTCCAAGTGAGCAAACTCAGATTCTCGTGGAACTACTTAAAAAAGAACTAAGTTTTCAAATAATTGAAGTAAGAAAGAAAGACCCAAATCTTCATCAAATGATTGAAAGTACCAAACTTCACTTTGAGAAGGAGAGAGAATCTAAGAGAAAGAGAAATGAGGATCCCAAATCTTACCAGAAAAAGTGAAGAGATAACCCACAAAAACAAAATTGTTGTTAATTCTCAATGATGATCCACCTTTTTCAACTTTTGAGTGGACACACACAAGAATAAAAAAGTTGAAACAGGCCCTTCTTCTCTCTAAAGTAAAAAAAAAAACCAATGTCTTTCAAAGTTGAAGACTTTAAGAAAAGGGAAGACTTGTCAATAACAAAAATTAGATAATTCTGATTCACTCAGCTGAGAAAAATAAATCTTAAATGCAGATTTAACAAGAGGGAGTGTGAGAGAGAGGAAAGAAGAAGAAGAAGAAGAAGAAGAAGAGATTAGATCAGACTCAGATCGGCAATGAAGACAAGAAGTCGGTGGGACCATAAGTAAGTATAAGTCATATGGAAGTGATAACTTCGAAGCAATCAAAGAGAAAAGAAAGATCAAAGAGACACATAACACTGTTGTACTTAGCGTACTAACTACTATTTTATGAGCTTGCTTATTAAAAAATAATGTTTGATTAAATAAGGGACTAAATAATTGTAGTAAATTAAAAGAATATAAGATGGTCCAATAAATGTTATGCCTCCTCTTTTCAGGGACACCTGTGGATGTGAAAGGACCTCATCACTAGGTTCATCTCACTTTCTCAGCGGTGAATCCAACAACAACAACTACAAAAGTTATGAACACCACCACCATCATTGGATCTGATCCAACTTCATAGCCATATACTAACGTATTTGGGCTTTTAAGTCTTTAACGTTTTAGCCCATTAGTAGTTTTGTCATGTAACTCATGGTATTGAATCCAAACATTTATTATGAGTGTTGTCTCGTTGACCAGGTTTATTAACACTGCGAGAAGACTTAAAAGTGTTGGTGACACAGAGATAAACAGACGACTATAATTGATTCTCAAATACCAAAACTTTCATTCCCAAAGAGTCATTCATAGTCATTAATGTCACCACAACTGCACAAACCATTGCCATTGTTCATAATCTTCTTTACCCTTTTTACACATCTCTTATCATACTACTTAAATGGTCTGAATGGTAAATATCTCGAAAGACCACTTAGGCTCTGCTGAGAGGGCTGATAGGATTTGTTGTGAATAATTTCCACGGATTTATTCAAAATGAGAAAAACAGAGTATGTCCAAGTTTATTATATGATTTTGTTCTTCTGAACTTAGCCGGTAAAACAAACTAGCAAACTAGATCGAACATTCACTATCCAATATGCACTTCAAGATGAGGTTTTATTAAGAAGAAACGATTTGAAAACAAGAGCACCAAACTGACAAAAGAATTCTCAACAAAATAGGGTCATCAATGGCTTATTCCACAGCCTCTATATCTTTCCCCCCTCACTACTCGATTTGTACACCACAAAATCAAAGAATCACTCACCTGAACAATGGTATTTTTTTTTTGTAAAACCTGTAATACAACAGAAGATATGACAAAGAATGTAACCCTCACAAGAAGCTAGAATCATCAGTCAGATCTGACAAAGAAGCAAACCCAAGCAGAAGAGACTGATCCTTAGCTCTCTCAATCTTATGCTTAAACAAATCATATGGCTCCCAAAGATGATCCAACGGACAAGCCCTCTTCTCATCAAGTCTCACCCATGGCTTCCCTTTACCACTCCAATGCAACAAGCTCACAGGACCAGGATGCAGAGACCGGCAGCTTCCTCGTATGTTGTCCCCTCCTAAACCATGCTGGTTCCACCTATGATCAATGGCTTCCACATTTCCCGCAAACACCAAAAGAAACGGTGGTAAAGATCCAAGATCATAGATTCTCTTTTTCTTCTGCAGTTGCATCCATTGCTCTAGCTTCTCCCTGTAATTCCCTTCTCTCCATCTAACAAGATCCATCACCATCACTCCAGTGTTGAAATAGCAAGGCTTTTGACCCGAGATTCGACCCGGTAACTCCGGGTCTGACCAGAACCCGGAAGTGAAGTACTGAGTGAAGTTGGCGTGACAATACTCCGGGGCTCCGATGACCCGTGACCCGGTCAAAACCGTGTTCCAAAGCTTCGTGATATCATCAACAGTTATAACATCCGAGTCAAGATAAATGACTCGCTCCACGCTCCGATCAAGAATATCTCCGAGATAGTTCCGAGCATAGTTCAACGGATTCTCCAAAGCTTGTCTAATCGACGACGATATGAGATTGATCACCGTATCTTCCCTAAAAATGTAGACTTTGAAGTTCAGCGACGGGAACGTGGACCTCACGAGTTGACTCAAGACACGAGGACTCGCCGAATCAAACTCAGCCGCGATGAAATGGAAGAAAACGTTCTCAGGACAAGACGCGTGGCGGAGAACGGAATGAACAGCTGCGATCGATCCACGGAGATACTCAGAATCCAAAGTCATAGCTACGTGAACAAGCGAAGGATCATTAGAAGACGACACGAAGTTCTCTCTGTTCACAGATGACGAAGCACACTCCTTGCCGTTTCTGTACTCGGGAGCTTCCATGAACGGACCAAGCTTATTAAACCCATTACTACCTCCTCCTCCGCTGCCACCGACAGTCGTGATCCTCGCCGGAATCAACCGTATTCCAACGGCAAAAGGTAACAGAACAATCAAACACAACACCGTCAAAGAAAAACTCGACGGCATTACTAAAAACGCGTATGAATCAAAGTGAATTAAAGAAAAGATTGAATCTTTTTTATCATCGGCTTAATGATATAGCATTGTGCGAGAAGATTGATAAGTAAAGATTTCCAAAGAATGTTCTTTTCTTTTGTGAAGTTTTGTCTCTCTCTCTCTCTCTCCACAGAGATGGAGAGATAAGGAAAGAGGAAGAAGAAGAAGAAAGATTGGTTATAAAAGAGATGTTTTTTTTTTCTATCTTTTTCTCATATTTGCCTTAAAGCTTTGGATTCTTGATGATTTTGTTTCCCTTATTAAGGAGATTACGAAACACGCGCGTATGAAAAGCGAGTGAGACGGCAATAGTAGTATTTAAGGCTTAGTCGTTAAGGGAAACTTTTGTAATAAAAGAGAAGCAAATCCCTAAAACTATACTTTTAATCACCTCTGTAATTAACAAGAACAAAATTAGTACAAAGATTTAGGTGAGTGTAAGCTCGTCTGTGGTGAAGGTGTAGGGTAAAAGATTAAAGTAATGAAAGGTTGGTTTTGGAACTTGTCTTGACCCATTAAGACGGTGCCAGCTGTGGTGGAGTTCGAGGGAAACAGCTGGATGATTCGCTTTTTTATTTTGTTGATTGGACGGTTGAGATTTAACTTTGTGAGAACTCCTCAACTTGTCACGTGCTCTGCACACCTATTTTGCTTGTAATGTAGTAATGTTGTTTATTTTTATGAAACAGTATAATCAGAAAATGTTTGCTATTTAATGTTTGACAGTGAATAAAGAATAAAATTTTCCTTATTATTATTTTTTTTTTTGTAAGAAAATATTTATTAGAGATTTTCGTACTGGCAAGCATAAGCATTAAGCCAAATATCCATCAGAAATATATTCAAGAATGTTTTTTTTCCTGGAAAGAAAATAAAATAATATCCTTTTTTGCTTTATATAAATTTGTTTTTTTGTGGAAAGAATATAAAATAATATCGTTTTCTGCTTTATATAATACTAAAAATATCAGATTTTATTTGTATATGCAAGTAAGGTATAAAGCAAAGTCTTTTTATTTACAAAAAGAATGTTATGGTATGGGGCAAAAAAAAAAAAAAGAGATAATTTCCTTTTACATAACAAAACGTGAGTAGAAAAAGCACTGGATTTTATACAACCAAACAAGGAAACTATAGATTCACTCACATGTCCCAATCATTTACTAAAAATCTTATTATATAAAGTTATAGGAAAAATTACCATCACAAAATTTTACATAAAATAAATTCGTAGATTCATCAGTATCAAATTTTTTAAAATTCAGAATTGTATATGGTTTCATGCGTTTCACCGACGAATAAGACTCGTGAGTCGTGACTATTCATTCATTCATTCATACTTTTGTTTCATTTGGTTTTATATAAATATATATTTTTTGGTTGTCGGCAAAACATTTCATTAGGATATTAAAATTGAAATGTTGTTCTTTTGTTAGTATATATAATTGGGCTGTTGGTAGCGACTACCGAGCCAATTAAATCGAATATTCCCGTTGGGTAGTGCAGCTCATGCTCAGAGACGTAACATATACTTATTTATTATATAAACGAACATTTTAATACTGATACACATTCGAATTCTACGTGATGCGATGTGTGTTATTTTGTATACTGTGGAAATTTTCTCGGAGATGAGAAGAGAACACGATTTTTAAGATCTTCCCATTGAACATATTTGATTTGGTATGCATATTCTTGAATGAGTAAGACACTGAAACACTATAACCTTTTGTCAAACTAATTATTGTCAGCTTAAAAATTAGAAAGGTTTGGTTTCTAATTGGCTTATTATTTATATAGGTAGAGAGAACCAAATGTTTGGTTAACAAAAGGGAAATAAGAAAATCTGAACTATTATAATTAAGAAAGAGAGAACTGTGAGTGTATGATTAAAAACTTAAAAGAAGTGAGTGGCGTCATAGAGTTTACCTATTCATTAGGATTTGGTGTTAAAGGTGGGGGATGAGAAAGGGACTTGTATAGAGTAGAAGCAAAGATATAATTTCAAACTGTTTAGGTGGTGGGGACTTAACTATTCATGTGTTTTTATTGGTACCGACGCTTGAGTTGGTTTTCTTGCCTTTGTTTATTTATTACTTGGTGGTGCCAGTGGTGTTTCATTTTCTAATTGAGGTCATTTGTTAGATAACGAACTTAACACGGGTTCTTTGTTGTTTCCTCACTCACATGTCGACTTTTTTTTTTAACACTTAAGAGTTCAGACAAAGTAGCTGAGCTGATGATCTTTTTCTTAACTGCTATCTTCTTATTACTCTTTATCTTTGTTTCTCAAAGAGAGTGATGATGTCTGAAGCTTCTTGCTTGGTGTGTCAATCACAATGTTGGAGTGTGTGTGTTAAGGGAAACAAAAGTTGGCAAACTCAAGCAATGGCTTTTGCACTTGCAATGAAAGCTTAAAAAAAGAAAAACAAACCAGAAATGTTTTGGTAGCAAGTGACAAGTTAAATTGATTTATGTTGCCCTTGCCTTTAAAAATTTATTGAACCATCATCTTCTCTGTCGAAGTAAGATTTATGGAAGTGTTACTTTGAGATCTTTTCGGTCTGCTCCAAACGACTGCAGATGCAAAGGAAAAGATGCGTAAATCTCTAGATTCATCGAAATATGCAAACAACTACAAATATCACAGGTTTACAACAAAGAGTGGGAGATCATAGTACCTCAACTCCGCAGTCTTTCACATACATATTTGTAAATAGCTCAGATGAGTCTGGTACAGGGCTCTCCTGAAACAATTAAACAGGAAGGAATTAGTAAAAGCCTTATTATAGATAACGAAGGCAGAGCTAGAAACAAGTGAGGTCCCATTACCTTGGCTTGAGCGACGGCATCATCTACTTCTTTTCTTATCTCTTTCTCCATGTCCTTTAAAGTCAAAATAATATTGTCATTTGTATAAGCAAATGATGATTGTATTTGTAGGTATCAATTTTCAAGCATCTGTCTAGAGATTAGAGAACAATTTACCTTTAGCTCTTTTTCTGTAGCTATGTCATGAGATAAGAGCAACTTTCGCACCCTTTCAATTGGATCACGCACCTAAACGTAACATTAATGAAAAATTAACAGACTGAAAGGCTACGAACTTTAAATGCTTGGTGAAGTAGTCTTACAAATGATCAAAGAGCTAACCTGTCTCACGCCAGAGATTTCATCACGGGTACGGTAGGTACTTCCTGGGTCAGACATCGAGTGACCATGGTATCTGTAGGTGTCCATCTCAAGGATCTGCGCAAATAATGACAATGGTAAGCTAGTCATATCACTAGGTAGAAAATGGATTATAATAATCCAATACATGTCAACGCTATGTAATTAAATTCACTATATCCAAAATTCTTGTCCCATAGGTGTTGTCCCAGCTGAAGTCAACATGTATAGTTTAACTTCATAAGTACACACCAAAAACTCCGAGAAGATATTAGTGACATCTAGTACTTATCCAGGCTAAGTTGAAATTATCAGCAAACCATTCTCCAAATTCAAATTAGCATTACACATGCAATCAACAAAATGGTACTATGAATTCTTAGTTTACATAAAATGCTCAGAGATTCATACTGATTAAGTTCGATTTCAAAGAAACAATAGAATGAGCTAATAATGCAAACTTAGAAAAGAAGACTACAAAAAGAAAGCTGTAAAACTTGTTGACAGATTAGAAGTATTATGCAAACTCACAATGGGTCCATTCTTGAGCGCATGTTCCTTGGCAAACTTACACGCCTGTTTCACAGCTAGTGCATCCATACCATCCACCTATAACACAAAGCAGAGGATGATCACTAATTAGCTTTACGGAAACACTCTCACCAACCATTAAAACAAAGGCTACAATTCTATTGGTTAAAGTAAATAAATCACTGAAACAAAAATGATAGGGACTTTGAAGACTGCCATTGGTAGTTCTCATAGAGTTACTGTTGAAAATTACCTTACACATAGCAGTGTAACTTTGATCATTCTCATTCAATTTTTGTCTTAAATCCTCACTACCTAACTTTTCCATATTCAAACCAGCGGTTTAAAACACACACAACAAACCCTTATATCAACTAATAGCACACCATAGCTATAAACCAAGGAATGAAGGAGCCAATAAACTTCAATCTTAAGCAAAAACATTGCAATTATCAAGATCATGACATTAAATATTTCAGCCTCACCTTCAAGCCAGGAACATAGTCTCCACGCTTGAAATAAGCCGGAGACTTAGCTGACCTCCATGTAGCCGTTCCCATTCCATCTAAACATCAAATCACTCAAAACTCAAAACTCAAAACTCCCATCAAACAAACTCAATTAACAAAGCCAAACAAAAAAAACTCACAATGGTTATTCTCGCAAACAAGAATGGCAGGCAAATCCCACAAAGCCGCAATATTCAAAGCCTCAAACAACTGTCCTTGGTTCGCAGCACCATCACCATACATGGTAAAAGTCACAGCCTCATCCTTATTATACTTCTGAGCAAAGGCCAAACCACATCCCAATGGAATCTGAGCACCAACAATCCCATGTCCACCGTAAAAGGAAGCATCTTTCTTGTAGAAATGCATAGATCCTCCTTTACCATGAGAACACCCAGTTTTTCTTCCCATAAGCTCGGAGAACGCATCAACAAGCTTCCCACCACGACCTATGAAAGTACAGTGATCTCTGTACGAAGTGATAATCGCGTCTTTTTTGGTAATCGCCGCTTCCATTCCCACCGCTAAAGCCTCTTGACCATCGTACAAATGGCAGAATCCACGGATCAGCTTGGCCTTGTAGAGAGAATCTGCTGCGATCTCCATCCTCCTCATCCGAGCCATGTCACGGAAAAACGCGAGAATCTCCTCCGATGAAGTCTCGACGGATCGTGACGGCGACTCACACAGATGCGATGTGAAAGGGACGGCGGTTTCGATTGTGATCGGTGATGTGTCCGTGGAAACATGACGGCGAATGGGAGAGTGTAAGGCGGTGATCGCCGGCTTCAGGAAAGTGTTGGATCGCGAAGAGAGTCGTGATAGCGCCATCGCCGGAGCTCTACTATTTGCTTTAGAATAATCTCTTTTTGCAAATAAAAATCGAATCTTTATTTGAAGTGAGGGAATGTTGTTGTTATAATAGGGCGAAGCGTCGTCTATAGAAAGGTCAAACCTTTTTTGGTCATTTTGACTCATTTCTCAATAACATACCCAAAAAAATGAAACTTTTATTAAATGTTACATGATACAACAAAACTTTACAACAACAGTGAGTGAAAGAGACAAGCTTTACACATGTAACAAAGATTTTAAATCTTTTTGGTGTTTGTTTCTTTGTCTATCAGAATCAGACAACAAAGAGCCAATTCTCTTTTGTAATTTGGCTCTATCTGGTGAAATCAACAACAATGGAGAACTTTTTTTGTGGTTTTGTTTTGTCATTGTTAGGTTGGAGAATGAACAGGTTGAGTTGCTTTTGGTATCTTTGTGTATCTCTTCTTCCAGATTGTTACAGGCTGGTCACAAGTCTTTGGTATCTTTGTAACCTCCTTTGCCTAATTAAACAACAATTGGAAATGGAATCCTGGTTCTGGCTCAAAGTTTTTCTTCTCTTTTTAACTCTCACCAATAGGTCTTCTGTTTCCAATACATAAGAGACCTGCAGGAGATTTCGGAAATGCTCTCAAGTGCTGGTCTCTCATGGAAACTCAAAAGGGAAGAAGATAAAAAGTGTTACCTTTGAAGAACTGCAAGCTATCTTACACTCCAATCCATTTTTAATCTTAACTCCATCTGTGGTGTGTAGCTGTTCGTCTTCACCACCAATTTTGCGCTTGTTCCTGGAGAAGACAAAAATATCGCATTGCATCTGATGAGTGACCCACTAGGTTCAGAGATCAAGGGATAGTCTTTGTTCATGTTCTACAGTTACCTATTTAAATAGATTCTGCGGTTCTCCCTTGCATTCGATTGTATAGAGAGGAAGTCACTGTGGAGATAAGCTGCAAAGGTCGGGTCAATGGTTACAGATGTCACATCGGGCTTATCAAGACCGTTGCACATAAGCTGAATAGAGAGTTTGGCTGGGGTTGATAGTTTCTGCATACACATAAAGTTTTAGGGTGCAAAAGCTTGATCAGCAGTGCATTGACAGAATATAAGTGGTTTACGTAAGATGGAGCAAAAGCTTACACATTCAATACGGTAAATATTCTCATCGGGGAGGAGCACACGGGCATTATCGTAATAAACAGCATCAAAAATCGTTTCAGGCTTTCTGGATTTCTCATATGCATAAAGCTGAAGAAGTTTGTTATCCATCTCATCGGCTGCTACTCCTTGGAGCTGAAGAATGACCACACGTAGGTTAGTAAAAAGCAAGTAAAGATAGAGAGGCAAACACCAACGACCAATAGCTCACATGCTTGATGAACTTATGGATCAGTTTGTCCAATGTGAAGAGAACGTAAGACTTAGTCCCGATTATGGCTCCACAGTCATCTTCAAATTTGGCATTTTCAGATGTACCATCAAGTAAGTTGTAGAGAGCAGTCATGAATCTGTTCCACATAAAATAAATTTATAATCAGGAACACAAACGAATGCCAAAAATAATATCAATCTTTGCCAGGTTCACAAACTTCACCTGGCATAGGAATCGGTAGGATTTTCGGTATCTGAGGTCCTCCACTTTCCTTCCGGGGATGCTGAGTTAACTTTTGCTGATAATATTCTCTCATACAATATCTGTCATGAGTAACTGCTTAAAGTTAGCTTGTGAAAACTCTTTGTACTTTAGACAATAATGAATTCTTTTCAAACTATATATGATCCTTGGTTCTTACCCGGTGAAGCCTGAAAAGCACGTAAAATGAATCATTCCCATAGAAGACTTGGGAGTTCTTTGGAATCTCTTTGTCTTTGTCATGCAAAGCTAAAGCTGACGGAACATACTTTGCTAAGGGCTTTACATGCAGTAGGAATCGAGCTGAAAAGGGTAAGGGAGATCCATCTTCTTCAGTATCTTGTGCATCAGCCATACCTTCATCCTCTCCTTCACTTTCTCCCTTGTTATTGGGATCCATATCATCCTCCGGTTCTTCACCACCACCAGACTCCGTTCCAGAAACATCACCGTTCTCATATGCATTTCTGCTGTCCTCTGATGATCTTGCAGCGTTTTCGTCACCTTCAGCATCATTCTCAGCCCCTGTCTCCAGACAACATGGTTCATCTTCTCTAATTTTCTCTCGGTTTAAGTTATTTCCAGCATTATCATTCGCTTTGCTGGTAGCCTCCAAACCACTTTTTGCATAATCTGCAAAGTTATCTTCCTCAAAGTCTCCATTAGGAGAAAGTTCACCTTCTTCTCTTTCAACTTTGGATTTCCCAGCCAACTCTTGATTACTTGTTATTTCTACCGAGATCCCATTAGTCAATACTTTCTTGTTACCAACCTGTGGGACACATATTATATCAGTACCACCTCTTGGTAAACACAGGACGAAGAGTGTGAACTTTAAATTTTAAACCTGTTTCATAAGAAATACCTAAGCATAAATGTAAACAATGGGGAACATTGTTCCAGATCAACAAAACCGTTCAAATTATCAAGATCTATAAGATGATGGAGCCAGAAGTGCTTTAACGCAACTATACCTCTACTTTTGCCCCATTTCCATCATTCACCTTCAACTCCAACTCTATTCCACGCGTCATACCACTAGGCTTCAGATTGTTACTGCCGTGTCCTGACAGAGTAAGAGAAAATCATTCATCAAAGTGGGTAAAGAAAACAAAATTTTTCAAGAGAACTTGAAAGCACGATTTCAAGGTGTTAGCAGCCATGTGTACTATACCGTTTCCTCCATTACTTTGGTCTGATAATCCACCCACAGAGAAAGCAGTTGAATCATGTACACGTTCAATAGAAACAGCGTGTTTGCTTTCAGGCCTTTCATCAGGTGTCACTACATTCTTCTCCATTGTCTCATACTGAGCAGTCTCACATAAGGTATCTGAGGTCCTACCAGCTGTGCAATTCCTATCTGGATTACTGCTTTGCCCCAACTGATTACGTTCATTAATTTTCCGAGATGCCTTCGAGCGTCTAGGGTCAGCAACATTAGTGCATTTGTGAGGACTTCCCTCACTCTCTCCAGCACTTGCACTACCACTTTTTACATTCTGGTTTGTGGAATTGACAACGTCTTCTCGGTCTTCAGCACCTTGAGGGCGAGAAGGAACACCAAATATCTGTTCCATGAAGGTTGTCCAAATCTTCATTACTTTATCTAACTGTTCGGTAGAGCACATTTCTGCACATGAATACTTGATCAGCTGGTAGAGATCTTCATGAAGGTCAGAATCAGGATAATCAAATTCCAAATTTGGGGAAATGGATAGTCTATTTCCGGCTGCAAGTGCAAGAAGTGAATCATCCTCTCGCTTCTTTTCAGTAGTCTCTTTAATCTCTACCAACAATGCTGCGGAAATATAGTACACAAAGTCACTTCATAGCCTGGTATCATAGAATAATGCGTGTAATAAGTTATGGACAAACCTTTCATGCTCAGATTCTTTGAATCCTGCTGTTTGAAGTAGAAACTTCGATGATCAAGCGATTTGTAGTAGTTCTTAGCATATATGTCAGCCCAGACTTTGTCGAAATCAGAACGACACCTTACCCACTCTTCTTGCTTCTGTTTCAAACGTGTTAGGATAACAGGTAAAGCAAGAGACACGTTCTTCTTTAACACATCCATCACATCTAGCCCGTGATCACCATATAGCCGTTCTATGCATCTTATATTTAGAGCTACAGAGACAGTAACAAAGCAATCCATCATAATAAATAAACAAAAAACAGCTCAGCTACTAGTGCTTTAACACCCATGCTGCTTTATGTTTTACACCAGCTTATATTACCTGTGAGGTGATCCTCGACACGGATGGGGCTGTTGATTTTCAATTCATTACTGTTGATCTTTGCTAATAATTCTTCTACATGCTTTGCAGTTGAATTTGCAGATTCTAATAGCATGTCTAGCTCAAACCTAAAGTAAAAGAGAGATATATATTAAAAAAAAACCAAAGATAAAGACTCAAAATTCATAGATTATGAAAAGTTTGAAATACAGGGTTTGTTATCCGTTACTGCCCACCAATAGTAGTAAATAAACCAACCTGTCATCCTCACATTTGAAGAGGCTCTCTTCATACTGGTTCTTGCGCATGTGGCTAAATGAATAGTCTTCACTTCCGGATGTGACAGAGACCCAGTGATCGTTAAGAACCAGTTTACCTAACTCTGTCTTCTGGCTTGCAATGGAAATTGGGTACTGCAGAAACCAAAATATATTACATTAGCCTAATGAAACAAAAGATGACCCCAAGAAAAGCAGATCCCCACATGACAAGTTGCAGCCACATACATTTTTTGGAAGTAACCTATAACTAGGAGTGCATTGTTCACAATTCGAGAGATCCAGTTCACTGATTGGCTTTGCCCATTTCTGACTTGCTGCCGCTTTTTCAAGCCTCTCCTTATCATGATCTTTGTCTCTAAACCCTTCATCGCTCTTATGTTCTTGGTCTCTATCATTGTCCAGTGAAGGTTGAGGATATTTGCCCTCACTCCACAAGGACTCTGCATTACAGTTTAGAATGGGTTTGTAATCTTTTCAGCACTAGAAATAGATATATCTGGAAAGAAGATCAGACATAATAGTGGACTTGTGTAGTTCACTACTCGTGAATACTTCAAATATATAGAAAAAGGCGCAGTCACTCAGCATCAGATTCATGTAACCTTGCAAAAGATAAGTAAACTTACTCTTAGTCAGAATACCAGAAAGCAGTCCTTCTGCAAGAAGATTGAAAAGGTTAAGAATCTGTCTTTTTATATGAAATCAAAGAATGTAGGAAGAGAGAATTTCGTTATTACCATTCTTTTCACATTGCATCAAAAACTCTATAAAGGAATCCATGAGGTCAGGATATACTCCAATTAAATTTCCTACCTGATACAAGCACAAATTTTCCTAAATCATTGCAAACAAATGCCACAGTGAAAATTCAAGCATTTTATATATGCATACCAAAGATTGCAATTCAGGTCGGCTGATTATTTCTTTTGAAAAGAGATTAAGACAACGTAAGAACTCCTGGTACTCTGAGGCATTCAGCTTGTCCTTTACTCTATCGACAATAGTTAACTCTTGACTATAACCTGACATCACATAAGACAATTTTAAGTACACACGTAATAGCAAACATCAGATTTACTCCTTTTCATCTTTCAAATAAGTTGTCATAAAACGAGAACTCACTTTTCATGGCACCTTTTTCATCATAAGTAGATGAACTAGGAACCGCCCCAGAAATTTTCTTTCCGTCCCTGACTTGATTGGAGTTTTCAGCAGAATCATCACCTCTAATATATACTTTTTGCTTGCTGTTCAGAAACTGCACTTTTTTGCTATCAGGTTCGAAATCTCTGGCATCCCTATGCTCATTTTCTTTGTGATAACCTCTCACGTGTTCTTTATTTTCTTTCTTCACAGGTCTATCCCGATCCAGGTCAACATGTTCAGTACTATAGTCATGTGGAGTAATGATCCGGTCCTTCTGCAATAAAGCCCCAAACAAATGATGTTCAATAAAAAAACTCGACACATAGAAACATTATATTTCTAGAAAAATAAATGTCAAAGAAGAACCTTATCAGGAAGAGAAATCCCTCTGTCACGAACTGGAGTTTTAACAGAAGGAATAGAGGGTGTTGCAGAAGTATCAGGTAGAAAATGAGTAAACTCCACAAGTAAATCTGCATGATCCCGAAATAGGATCGCAACCTGAGATAGACGTGTAAAACTAAGTAATGAATAGCTTACAGAGAAAAAAGATACACATAACAGTATCAGTGAGCGTACCTCCTGATAGACCTCAGTGATGGACTTGCTATCCTTTCTGTACAAGTTTAAAATGTCTAAAAATGATTTGTATACACGATCATCTCCCTGAAACCTTGCCTGCAAATATATAAGATTTGTAAGAGAGTGGAAAAAGGAAAAGCTGTAAGAGAGTGGAAAAAGGAAAAGCAGTATTTTCCTTTGGACAGTTTATCACATAAACAGATCATATACCTTAATCTTGTTGACAAAACTAATTGCTTCCTCAAACTCAACGCGTTTCTTAAGTGGAGGTTGCCCATCTTCGGGTTGAAGTGTGATCTCAAAACCTTTTGGCAAGAAGGTATTGAAACCCAAAATCAACTCTTGGTGCCCTTTAAAAAGTTCTTTAACCCTTGTTATGACACCAGCTGTATCAACTCTACAAAAGAAAAAAGAAAAAAAAAACACAATTCAGCTTTCAGTTCTCAGATACCATGATGTATCTATCATCCAAACAAGTTTTCAAACTAAACATAAACAAGGAGAAAAGAAAAATCATACCTTTGAGATTTAAAATTCTTCATGACCTCGAGAAACTCGTCATATTTGTCACGTTGATCTTGAAATTTATCCTTCACGGCTTTAAGGTATGCAAGCGCATCATTTGTAGTAAGCTTCTGTGCACTTCCTCCTCCAACCATGATTTAAAGTTGAACAGAGCTTCATTACCATCATCAATCAATGAAATAGTCAGTCAACATCTCAAAGAAAGACTTTGAGTCCTGGAAGAACCCATGTGCTCACATAAGCTTATTATTTGGTCTTTGAAAAGCCTTAACAAATACAAATCCATTTCCTCAACTTTACTCGATGAAAATTTTAAGCATCAAACTGATGGGATTAAGAGACAATAAGACAACACTTCTCCTCAGGACAGAACAAAAACGGTCTTTTAATTTGGGGATTCAAGTGAAAAATTTGGTCTCTCTCGAACTCTTCATCACTTGACAGAAAAAAAAAAACAGCAAAAAGAAGAATCCGAAAACAATTACCTTCATCTTCATCCACAAATCAAATCCTTATAACACTCGTAATCAAAATAACATATGCAAAAAAAAATTCAAAGAATCGAACTTGAGTTCTATCTCAACAAGAACACCTGCAGATCTAGCAACTACGAAAGAAATAAAAACAAATTTTCGAAAAAAATACGAAAACGGACCAGAAGAATTCGATCTTAACTTAATCCTCAGACAATTTCACATTCATTTGACGATTAAAAAATTGTAATGCCCAAAAAAAAAAATGAAACAGAGAGGATAAAAAAAACGAAAGAAGATCAACGTTTACCGAATTTGAGAGAAGAAGAAGTCTAGAAGAACAAGCTTCCTCCTCCTTGTTACTATCCCACGAAACAGCTGAGAAGACAAAAACTCTCTCTCTATTCAACAATTTTTTCAGACAGAACAAAAGAAAAGACTCACTGAGAGCAAACGAGTTTTATGTTTTTATTGAAGAAAGATTTTGAGATTTCTCTAATATGGAGAGTAGTTTTACGTCTTCTTAATTAGTAAATTAAATTCATTTTTCTTTTTCGTTCCCTAAATTTCATTGTTTTATTATTTTTTTTTATTTTTTTCCTGTTGACAAAATAAAAATATTTTCTTTTTTTATTATAAAGTTGTATTTTCTTGTTTATATTATTACTTATTTTTATTTTATTTTGGACTTTTGGTTATACGAATTTTGCAGAGTTATAATTTTATCTTCTTCTTTTTGGAATTTTTTTACCTCCTTTGTTATGTGAGAGACATTTTTTGAAAAAAAATTGATATAAAATAAATTATTAATATTTGTTGGAAAGAAATCTGTAACTTAAGGTTTTAATTTTATATGATTAATATCATTAGATAAATAATTTCTCTTTTAAAAAAAAAGCAATTTATCTAATTCAAAAAGAATCAAAGCTATAAATTTTAGGGATGGACAACAAAAATGTAACTAATTTTTTTTATTTAAATTGAATCTAAATTACATAATTCAGTTCGATTTTGCTTCAAACGTGAAATATGTTTGGCCAGCATTACTAATAGGATTGAACATATCTAATTTGAATATATATATTTTTTAAAATCATAAACGATGTCTTATAGTGGCATTCCAAACATGAACTTATATTTTTATCATATGTTTGGCCAGCATTACTAGTATTATCTCTAACTTATATTAAAAAAAAAAAAAAAAGCCTACTTATATGTAAAGCCCTATGAAATAACATAGCAATCCCATGGCCACAAACTGAACTCCCGAGAAGTAAATCAGGATGACCTATGCCAAACTGTGATTGCACACACACCCAAAAAACACATATGAAAAATAGAAACTAAGAAACATCATAGTAGCAGAATATATTGTGGATGCTTTGTGCCTTTTTTCATTTAGTCCCTTTGATGCATTGTAGGCACCGAAGTCTCTTACGAACTTGAGGTCTAAGTAGCAGGCATATAGTGAGTAAACTCCGTAAGCAAATCCGAATGATCCCGAAATAAGATGGCAACCTGATATATTAACGTGTAAAACTAATTAAGTAACAACATACTTATAAGTATCAACCAATGAGCCTAGCTAGCTATACCTCATGGTAGGCCTCGCCGATGGACCTTCTCTCATTCTTGTAGCGCTCTAAAATGTCTAAAAATGATCTGTATGGACGATCATCGCCTCGAAACCTCTTCTAAAAAATGAGTGAGAGAATAATATTAAGAAGAGTAGGAAAGGGGGGAAAAACAGTATTTTCCTTAAGACTGTTTATAGCGTACATAAGATATTCTAGTATCTATCTACCTTAACCTTGCCAACAAATTTAACTGCATCCAAAAACTCAAGGCGTGTCCTTATTTGATGTTCATCCTCGGGTTTGAGCGTTATCTTAAAACCCAATATTAACTCTTGGTCTCCTTTGAAGAGTTCTTCTACTCTAGTTATGACACCACAGGTATCCAATCTACAATGAGACCACAACTCGGCAATCAGTTCTATATAAGAAACCATCTGGACCAAGAGACCCAAACCAAACATAAAATTAGAAAGAACTATACCTCTGGTGTTTAAAATCTTTGAGGATCTCAAGAAACTCATCATATTTCTCACGTTGATCCCCATATTTAGCCTTCACGGTTTTAAGGAGGTATGCAAGGGCGTCATTTAACTCGTGTGGAACTCCAACCATGGCTTGAATTTGAACAGTGCTTCATTGTCCAAATTAAAGAGAGGCAACCAAAAGAAAGGTGAAACATTACTAGCATCAAACCAAATCATTCAAAGTCGTCTTTTAACATGACGGTATAAACAAAGGATTAGGTCCTAGCTTGAATAACCCCACTCAAGTCTTAAGAGAAAAATCATTCACTCCCCGTAATTATTTACTACACAACTTTGCATGAGTGAAAAAAATTTGGCATCAAACTGATGGGATTAAGAGATATCAAGCTTGCACTTCTCAAAAAGCCATAATAAGCTAATTCTCAAAAACTAATATATTCTTTTAAGGACCACATGGAACAGAAGCTACACATGTGAAACAATCAATTCAAACAGAGCAAACCAATCAACCAGTGGATTAGTAGATATGTCATAATCTCATCCTTAACCAAAGAACTATGGGATCCAGATCATATGGGAAAAGAAAACCAAATCATATCAAATTGAGGGATTCACAAGTTGACTAAGCTTCATCACTCGGATTTGATGATTAATGAATCACATATACAAAAAATATATAAAATGAACTCAAAATTCGAAATCATACCACTAATTCATACAACAAGCAACATATCTAGCAACTACAAAAGCAATGAACCAGAGAATGCGTAACAACTTGTAGTGGACGTAACGAAAATAAAACAAAAAGAAGAAAGATCACATGTTTATAGTTACCGAGTCTCGGATACGAATGGAGAGAAAGGCTTCACGATCACGAAGCAGGAGACTAGACGAGCTTCTAAAAGATATCTCTCTCGATGTTCGTGATATATCTTTAAATAGGGTTTTTGTTTACGAATTATGATCCCAGGGTTTTACGTAAGAAATTTCTATTTATTTTATGATTTCTTCTTATTTATTTGATACAAATCAATTATTATCTACTTCTCTTTTTATCAAAATTTATCTTAAATATTTGATATTTTAAATATTTGTTTCAACATCAAAATTTTCTTTGATTAAATATGATCAATTTTTAAGCATAAAACTAATTTAATAATTTTAATTGTTTTGATATTTATTGAAAACAAATCAATTTTCCCGAATGGTGTGTGAATCGCATCTAGTTTAGTCCATAAATTGGAAAAAGAAGTTTCAGTTCAATTAAATTCACAATAACCAAAATAAGGTTACGATAGGTTTTTTCCAATACAATCAACACGATCAAAATTCAAAAACAAAGATTTGAATAACAACACACATGTGCATGTAAGAAGCATCGAACTAAAATCTAAAATCTCTGTAGAGGAGACTATACACTCCCATTCAAGTTTACAGAATACATATTATAATCTCGGTTATAGCTGTAGTAACGCTAATGCTACACGATCCTTCTTCTTTTCGAAAATTGTGAGGAAGTCCTCGATCAAATCTTCATGATAATAGAGAACATCAATGACCTGCAAAGACAATATATACAATAACCAAAATCAAAACCTAGAGAGAACAACAACAGACAAGTAGAAAGTAATAGCCATGTAAGAACAAACATACCTCCTCCTGCGCCTGCTTTACAGACAACTTTCCCTCTTTAAACATCTCCATTATCTGGCGAAACGACCCGACTACTTCAGTATCAAGGGTCTTAAACCTTGTCTGCAGAAGAATGAAGTTTTTGTAAAATAGTTAGCAAAGAGGAATACAATAAAAAGAAATTTGGTATCTGCCTAGGATTATTTGTCATATTAGCATTTGTGTTGTGTACCTTAAGCTTGTTCATAAACTCCTCTGCATCAGCATGTATCTTGTTGGTATGAGGATTCTTGATCCTCTTAGCCTCATCAGGAAGGAAGACATTGAAACCATGAAGCAGATCATCATGGTCTTCCATGAGTTCCTCAACCCTTGCAACCATAACATCTTTATCGACCCTACAGCAAGAGACATAGTAACATCAGAATCAATTCATGCACAAAAGTGTTTTGTTATGTAGATTCACAGTTGAAACCAAAGAGAAGAAGAGGAGAATACATACTTCTGATTGCGGATACCATTCAGGAGCTTGAGAAACTCAGCATATTTTGATGGTTCATCATGGAATGTTTCCTTGACAGCAGCGAGGTATGACTGCGCATCATTAATAGTTGGAGCTGCTGGTGACACTCTTCTTCCGACCATGGTTTGTTTCTGGCTAAAACCTTTTGGTATTCAAAGAAAGAGATTATTTTTGGTCAGTAAAACAGATCACATCATTGAGATTAATTCCTCTGCTAACTCTTTACAATGTAGCTCTACAATTTCTTAAAGAAACAGAACCTAGAATGCAGAAATATACAAATCTCATTCCACAGTTTAGGATATCCCTCAACACTGAATAAGAACCATTGAAGAAGACTTGTCTCAACCAAAATCAACAAATACTAATACATTCCCTTAAGAACCACACATAACAGAACCTAAGAACGTGAAGCAGCCAATACAAAACAGAGCAAACCAATCAAACACTTATAATTCTTAAAATCTCAATCTCAACAAATACTAAGAGACTATTAAAGAGGTAGCTCCTAGCTAGTCATCTCTTATTTGAGGGTTTTAGTTAGATTTGATGATATTGCCGTAAAATACTCATAGATGCATAGCAAAATTGTGAAGAACCATCCCAGGAATTACAAAAAGCTAGCAATTACTAAGCCTGAAAGAAAAACTCTTAAAGCAATGAACAAACAAACGAAAACAAAAAAGAGGAGGTCATCGTATGGTTACCGAATCTTGGAGACGAATAAGAACAAGGCTTCGGCTTCAGGAACAAGCAAGCTTCTCTTTCTCTCTCTCTCCCTCTCTCTCTCTCTATTACAACACACGATCACAAAGGATAACTATGTTTTAGGGTTTTTCTTGTCATATGTTTTCTCATATATATATGAAGGATACATTGTCATTGGCGGCGGAAACACTAAATATCTCGGATACTACAAAACCCAAAAATCAAACGAAAGAAACAAAAGCCCAAACGAGAAAGCGAAAGCCCATCTTACCCAAAAAAAAGAAGAAAAAAGCGAAAGCCCAAACGAGAAAAACAAAAGCCCAAACGAAAAAATCGTTGCTTAAAGTTATATAAAAACTAAGTAAAATCGTAATACAAACCGCAAAATACAAAACAAAATTCAAAGACTTAAATAAGTTTCAAAAATATAAAGAACTTGCCAAACTTATTCCCTCACTAATGTGAACAAAGCAACCCACAAAGGCACAAAGGAGTCCATCTTGCACTTACAAAACCTCTTATTGGGAAACCAGAGTACTTATCAAATAGATTAAACCTTAATTTATATTCCCGATGAGAAAACACGAGATACAAAGACCAAATTCCATTAATCTTTCGAAAACATCTGATTAAAAAAAAAAACATTTCTACAAATAGTACAAAAATAAGTTTTATTTCTAAATTTGGCATGTTACTAATATTATTTTTGGAAATTTTTGAAGTGCTATTGAGAAAAGGGAAAACGTAAAGATGTTTATCCAGAATTGTTCGTTAGATGTTTACATATAAGAGGAAAAGGAAATATAACATATATATATATATATATATATATATATATATTTACTTGGATATATCAGATATGGATATATTCCCATTCATACTCGGTTTATATAGGTTAAGTGGTTAACATGTTTTCATAAAATTAACTGTCGATATTAAAATATTTAATGTTCAGAAAAAATCGTAGTATGTGAACTCGCACTATGATGGATCAAAAATATATACATAAACGATGCCATTTCTCATACAGAGACACATCTCAAGATGGAGGTTCTCGTGTGGTGATCTGCTTCTGAAGCAGCAAGAGCTTGCTGAAAAGCTCCGAATTGAATAAGCAAGAATGGGAATTAAGATCAAGAAGATCATGTTCAGGTTATATTTTGAAGTCGAAAACGTAATTAAAGAGGAAGATGAAGAGTTCTTGGATAGGAAGATGAGAGTGCCTTGAGTTAATTCTCAGTTTACTTGCTTCATTTACAACTTGATTAATGTTTTATCAGCAGAGTTTATTAATACCATACCATCATATGGGGTTGGAGGTTTTTATCGTTAGGATTTAGGAACTTCAATAAGCATCATGTATACGGGTCAATGAAAAGTTAAAGCTAAATGACAAACCTTGTTAGTTGTTTGATAACAAAAAATTTATCCATACAAAAAAAAAAAAAAAAAAACTATGACATATATTATAGTTTCTAATACACATGAAACTGGTTAAATATTAAGCGGTTGAAGTAATATAGACATCCCTGCGTCACGAACTAAACTCTCTTGAGAAAATCCAGCCAAGAAGGGAGCAAATTCTAGAAGCAAATCAGGATGCTCCCGAAACAGTATCGTACTCTGAGACCAAATTAAAATAAAATAAAAACATGTTTAGATGACAATTAAATGTGTAACTAATTAAGAAAAGAGTATTGCAACAAAATATACACCTAAACTTTAGAACATAATTATACAAATGGATATATATATATATATATATATATATATATATATATATAACACAATGAACCTAACCTCATGGCAAATCTGAGCCATCGTCTTGCTTCCACTTTCCCACATCAATAGATTGTTGAGAAAAGAATAGAACACATCGATATTACCCTCAAACCTTGCCTGAAGTTATACGGAATAGTTTAATAGAGAAATGATATAACACAAAAAGCAGTATATAGTTATCTCCTTGGATAGATATGGTTGAGAGACATAGCATAATTACCTTAACGTTATAAATAAACTTATATGCATCTAGACGGTATGGCTGTTCATCTCCTCTTCCTTCAGATGTAGTTTCTTCAGATGTAGTTTGAAGTTTGGCTAGACCTTCATTTAAAAAATAAGTTACGTTTTCATTAGCAAAATGTAATTGAAAGTTATAAAACTTTAAAACAAAAAGCCATAAGCCATTTCATAAATAGGCTCATCCTCAAAAAAGTGTCACCTGTAGTTAGGTTTTCTATATCTTCTCCTCCTCCAGGCATGGTCACGTTTGAAGTTTAGCTAGAGCTTCATTTACCAAAATAAAATAAAATAATGTAACGTTTTCATTAAAATAAAATTGAATTGAAAACGTTAACGTTGTTGAATCGTAAAAGGATTAATTACGCTATATTACGCTAACGGTGAATCGCATTTATTATCCTTTGAAGAAACAAAACCTAGTAAAAAGCAATGAGTTGAATAGTAAAGCAACTTGACAATGTAACTTTACTTTGTAAAACTAATTATAAACCAAACCAAACTAAACCTTATAGGATTGGAGACCTCAATGTCATAAAGAACCACCTTCTTGTCGAAACCAAACTACAACAATTTCATATGTAGACGAAAAATTCATATAAAGTTCATCAATCAACATCTTTGAAGCACTGAAAGTCAAATTCGAAACGAATCAAAGGGGAAAATAGAGGAAGGATTTGAAAGCAACTGACCAAAAACACTCAACCGTCGAACCTAATCGCTAGAACACGAAACAACAATTTTTTAGAACTAGATTCACCAAATTGAGAGAGATATATCTCTCAAGGATTTGTATATATATATATATTTATTTATGTGACGCTTATTCGAGGGGGTTGTATGAAAGCTTTTTTTTTTGTTTTTGTTTTTGTTTTTACCTTTTTCACCAATCTTTTTATATAACAACCAAATAATGATAAAGGTCCTAATTTTTTTAAATATTATTTATTCTAATACGATAAATACAATTACAAGTAGATATATTTATTTCTAATCGATAGGATAAATACAAATAATACCTTAACTTATTCAACAGAATCCAAAACTGCTGGATATGCGGCTAATTCCCGGTTTGATCGGTCAATATCAGATTTTAGTCGTTGAAATAGACGAGACCCAAATCTCATGTCTTGCACGGACTGTAGAAGCATATCCGCATGTTAATTATCATGATTTTCTATTTTTCCACCAAAAAAAAAAATCATGATTTTCTATTTTCTACATACTTGGTAACTTGGAATCAAATTATCAAACTAAAAGCTCAAATGTCTACAATGCGTAAATAATTTAAAACAGTTTCAGAACTATCCAATCTATACTATTATAAAACATATTTATTTGGTTCCGTCTTAGTTTTCTAATAAAAGTTGACAACAAAATCTCATGATTTCTTGCTAACGAGCTAGGAAGTATTTAACAAAAAGAACCATGTATGTACATATGTCAGAAGAATTGACCTGAATTCAAACCTCTATACGATATGAAACAATACAATCATATGTGCGTTGACAAATTTTGTTTTTTTTTTTTAATATACAATCATATGTGCATATATCATGATGTCATATTGTCATGTTCTCTATTAAGCGTAAGGATCGACCTAATAAACTCAAAAGTCTACAAATGAAACTATACACTCACTTGTCGCTCGAAAGAACTATATATACCTTTTCTAGTCTCTTATACCCAAAATATTATATTCAAGCATCCTTATAATATGTGCTCACAGCTGCTCAGCTATCTTTAGTGGTTCTTGAAAATTTCTGAAAACTCCGTGATTAAATCTTCATGACCCTGAACAAGTGAAATGACCTGCAAATATAACAAAACGAATCAAACCCAAGAGAACTAAGAAATTAAAGTGAAAACTCACCAAGTGTGTCTCACTCAAGAACCCTACCTCCTTGTACAACTCCTTTACGGACTTGTTTCCTTCTTGGTACACTTTCATTATCTCAAGAAATGACTCGTATACATGACGACCATCCTCCTGAAGCTGAAACCTTGCCTGTACATTGACGGATTTGGTAGCATAGATGAAACATCAAAATGGTAAAAAAAAATTTCTTTTTATTCATTTCCATTAAAAGAAGGCCAACACCATCACAAGGCTGAACAAAATGGTAATTGCTTAGGCATTAGTTGTATTGTATACCATTTTAGCATTCTATACCTTAAGCTTGCCAATAAAACTCTTTACACGTTTTCTTTTGTTATCATCAGATGCATTCCGCTGATGGAGGAGTCTCTGAGTCTCAGCTGGAAGGAAGGCTATTAAGCGAAGAAACAGACTCTGGTGATCTTTCAGGAGCTCCTCCAAGTACTCAATGCCATCAGCAATATCAATTACACTACAAAGAGAATAATAACCATCAGAATCAATTCACAGTGTGTGTGCTACTCGTGTATTGTATATACTAACACTTGAGATTAAGGGCAAACAAGAACTCATACCTATCACGTCTAAGATCACAAAAGTGCTTGAAAAACACGTAATATTTGAGAGGGTTATCACGAAAGGCTTTCTTCACAGCAGTAAGGTATGAATTCAAATCTTCCTTAACTGATGTGCTTCTTGCTTTGTCAGGCTCGGGAGGGATGGTTATCGTAGTCCCAGCTGGAAGGAAGACACTGAAACCAAGAAGCAGATTCCGGTGATCTTTAAGGAGTGCCTCCACCCTTGCAAAGACACTATTGGCATCAACTCTTACAAAAGAGACAAGTAAACATCAGAATCAGTTCACATGTGTATGTGTTTTGTTGTGTTAGATAGGAAAAATAAGTCATACCCACGACTATGTCTATAATCCTTCATGAGCTTGAGAAACTCTCGATATTTTGCAGGTTCATCATGGAAGGCTTCCTTCACAGACCTTACGTATGAAAGCGCATCAGCAAAAGTTGGCGTGGGTGTTACGCTTCTTCCAACCATGGTGTGAGATTGCCCTAAACTACATTTTTTTTTTATCATCCAAAGAAAGAGATCAGATCACTGATCTTTCAAGAAACAGAGCCAAGTGCAGCAACATATCAATCTCATTCCTCAAGAACTGTAATCCAAATCGACTAAAATTATAATGCTATATCATTCTTCTGAGTCAAAACCCTAATCAAAACCAGATACTGAGGCCTCAATGTAACTCTCAACGATGAAGACGTTATAATTCAAGAAGCGCTTCATTAGATCGAGGAAGGCTGTGAAAACCCTAATCGTCCGGTGAATTCACATTTTAAATGAACGAAACAAAGATAAACCGAAAGAGGAACAAAGTATAGTTTACCGATGTTAGCAGAGCAAAGTGGCAATGAACAAGGAGCTTCGTCTTCGCAGAGTAAAGGGAGTTCAAGATTTCTAGAAGCAAAGTACCTCAGAGACTGATTTGTGTGTTTTATACTCAAGAGTTTAAATTTATAGTAGGGGATTTCATATTTGATTTCATTTTTTATTATATACTATCAGACTTTTGTTTGCATTTATCAGATAAATTAAAGAAAAATATTTTCATAAAATCATATATTAATTTTTAAATTTTATCAGATATACTTCAATCAGAGAACGTATTTGGTAAGTATTAGATTTACTTGATTTTGGTTCGGTCTGCTCTGTTTCTTGGGGCCATCTATATATGATTGAGTTTAGGCTATGTTCCTCTCTGTTTTTCTTGCTACGTTGAACTCTTTTTGACTTTTGACTGTTACTTAAGACCTCTATAATAGTATATGAAACAATACAATCATTCCACACCTCAAATATCTGTATTTGTTTTTGGCCATTTATATATAATTGAGTTTGAGCTCTGTTCCTCCTCTCTGTTTTTGTTTCTGCGGTGAACTCTGTTTTTAGAGAGTTTTTTTAGTGTTTTAACTCTACATTTTCTAATCAAAGATAAATCAAGAAAAATCCTTACATCCATGTCTTCATAGTAACGAGGAAATATTTACAAAAGCAAACTTTAAGACTCTCTTCTCGTTAGAAGCTCTAATCTTTTTGTCTCTTAAGGCAGAAGCTCAAATCTTTTTGTCTCTTAAGGCAGAAGCTCTAATCTTTTTGTATCTTAAGGCAGAGACAGTCTTCCAATGTCCTTATCTATCTTTAGACTCTAATACTGAAGATATCTGAAAACTCAATGACTAAATCTTCATGACCCTGAAGAAGTCGAATGACCTGCAAAAGATAACAAAAACAAATCAAACCAAATAGAACTAAGAAAGTGCAACTCACCTCCAAGAACCCTACCTCAATATACGCCTCATCGTTGGACTTGTTTCCCTCTCTGTAGATTCTCAATATCTGGAGAACTGAGTTAACTACATGACTACCATCTCCCTGAAACCTTGCCTGCACATGGACCGACGGACATTTTTGTTACGTAAACCACAAGTTAACATATAGGAAACGTTCAAAATGGGTTTCCTTAATCTGTAGGCTTAGTTAACAATATAAGCATTTCTCTATACCTTAAGGTTCCTGATAAAATTCGCTTTAGGCGAAAGAAAGACACTGAAACCAAGAAGCAGATTCTGGTGATCTTTCATGAGTTCTTCCACCCTTTCAATGACAATAGCAGTATCAACCCTAAAAAGAGACTTGGTAACATCAGAATCAATTCACATACAGGTTTGTCGTTGTGTGCTGACTGAGAAAACACTATAATTCATACCTGCGAGCTCTAAAATCATTCAAAAGCTTAATAAGTTGGGCATATTTTGCAGGTTCCTCATGAAATGCTTTCTTCACAGCAGTGAGGTATGAAGTCGCATCATCCATAGTTGCCCCATTTCCCAACTCTTTGCTAGCCTCAGGTGGGATGGTTATCTGAAATCCAGGTGGAAGGAAGGCATTGAAACCAAGAAGCAGATTCAAGTGATCTTTCAAGAGTTTCTCCATCCTTGCAATGACAGTACCTGTATCGAGTCTACAAAGAGAAATAAATATAACATCAGAATCGATTCATATATGTGTACTGTGCAGTGCAGATTGAACTAAACATAACATGAAATGAAAACAATTCATACCTTCGAGCATTAAAAGCATTTATTATCTTATGAAACTCGTCATATTTTTCAGGTCCATCATGAAATGCTTTCTTCACAGCAGTAAGGAATGAATCCAAATCTTCCTTAACTGGTGTGCTTCTTGCTTTGTCGTCAGGCTCGGGCGGGATGGTTATCGTAGTCCCAGCTGGAAGGAAGACACTGAAACCAAGAAGCAGATTCCGGTGATCTTTAAGGAGTTCCTCCACCCTTGCAAAGACACTATTGTCACCAACTCTAGGAAACAGACAAGTAACATCAGAATCAGTTCACATGTATGTTGTTGTATAGATTTTTAAAAACCAGATATGTAACATGGAGAAAGATAATTCGTACCCAGGACTTTGTTTATAATCGTTCATGAGCTTGAGAAACTCTCGATATTTTGCAGGTTCATCATGGAATGCATCCCTCACAGACCTTACGTATGAAAGCGCATCAGCAAAAGTTGGCGTGGGTGTTACGCTTCTTCCAACCATGGTGTGAGATAGCCCTAAACTACTATCGAAAGAAAGAGATCAGATCATTGACACTGAATCCATCTACTATCTCAAAGTTATTTCTTTAAAATCTTTCAAGAAACAGAGCCAAGTGCAGTAACATATCAATCTCATTCCTCAAGAAGTGTAATCCAAAACGACTAAGATTATAATGCAATATCATTCTTCTGACTCAAAAACCCTAATCAAAACCAGATTCGAGGCCTCAATGTAACGATCTCAAGAATCGCTTCATTAGATCGAGAAAGGATTTGAAAGCAACGAACCAGAAAACTTTAATCGTCCGGTGAATTACAAAGAAAAATAGAAAGAGTAACCAAGGATACGTTTACGGATATCAGTAGAGCAAAGTGGTAATGAAAAAAAAGCTTCGTCTTCGCTGAGTAAAGCGAGTTCAAGATTTGAATTTATTTTATTCACGAGTCTGTATTTATAGTAGGGAATTTCATATTCTTTTTTTATTATCGACTTTTGTTTGCATGGATCAGAATCAGACAAATTAATTAAATACATTTTCATAAAACCCTGCCTGCACATGGACGGGAGATTTTGTTACTTGAACCACAAGTTAACATATAGGAAACGTTGGAAATGGGTTTCCTTAATCCGTTCATTAAGATTATTTTTATATGGATGATTCATGTAATGTTCATCTTCAATAATAGAATACTCATGTACATTTCATCGATAAATAAACATGTAGAAAAATAATCTCCATAGAAAGAAAACAACAAGAAGGCTGATCAATAAACTTGAAAAGAAGATTCAAATGAGAGATGGAGAATTGGAGATCGCAACTAACCTAAAAGGAAGAAGATGATGATCGTATAGTTACTGGACGAGCAAGAAGCTTTGTCGCCGCAGAGTGACGGACTTCAAGATTTGAAGAAACAGCTATTTTATGCTACAAAGTATTAGTATTTGAATTAGCTTTTCCTTTTCAATTAGATGTTTTGAAATCTTTTTATTCATTTTAAACTTGCTCAGGCTTTTTTATATAATTTTCTCTGGATATACTTATATAAATTTATGGGCAATTCTTATAAATACCAATAACTTAAGTTTTTTTTGTAAACTTTGGTTATTAATTAAATCAAATGATCAATTAGGAAAAATTAAAAAATTGGGGAAATTTAAGTAAATGATAATAACACAAAATAAGTAAAATGAAAATTAAAAAAATATAACCTTTACATAATTTTAATTTTATCATTGTTTGTTAAATATAATTTACAGTCTTATTTATAAAATAAAATGGTTAGATCCAAATATTCTTAAATAAAAGGAAAAAACGAACCACAAATATTTATTCGATATAGAACAAATCTAAAACCGAACTTGGTTTATACAAACCAAGAAATCCCAAAGCAGCATCACCTACCCTCTCCTGCCCCAACATAATAATTAGTAATCTCCAAACTCTTTGGTAAGAATGTATTGAAACCCGAAATCAAATTACGTTGTCCTCTTAGCAGTTTCTCCACCTCTTTTATGCAATCATCCCTATCAATTCTACAATGAAATTAAAAAAAAAATCAAAATTAGTTATACTTCTAAAAAATAAACCCACATATTGTTTAATCATATTTTCCAAAAAACAAAACTATAATATGTCACATACTATACCTCCTAGCTTTAAAATTATTCATGATCGCAACAAAGTCATCATATTTTTTACTATCATTATGAAAATGATCCCTCAGAACCCTAAGATATGCATAAGCATCATCTTTATTTGCCTTCGGTTTGCTTCCTTCTCCCATATGTTTACTTTTTCCTCCCACCATGTTAGTCGAAGCTTTATTTTTCAAATAAAGAGAGTGATTTTCTTATTATTTTTTTCATTATAGAGATAAATATATTATTTAATTTTGATTTCCATCATCTTAAACATATTACCTATTTTCTCTAAAAGTAAATTAATAAAATATTAGGGAAAAAATAACAGAATTTTGCATCAGGGATCTTAATTAATTAACATTTGCTAGGACTAAATAAGGTGTATGCAAAGAACCATGCATGCATACAGATTGCAAAGCACGAGAACATGCCAATTATTAACTTTAGATCGATAAAACGGTCAAATAAGAATTGTGAGATGACTTCAAAGTAACAAACCAGAAACTTTTACTACGGTCACAAGCTTCACCTCTAGCAGATTGATGGTATTGAGTTGTATGGGTGTGCTATATATATATTTAAACTTTGATATAAATATGTCCATTTGCAATTAAGATATTTGTAGCAATTAAGATATTTGTAGCAATGAGAGATAATTATACTATAATAGTATTATAATATTAAATGAAATAAACATATGTCAGTTGTATATAAAATTATCTCACATTTTAATTATCATTAACAGATTTGTATATAAACTTTAGTAATAAACTACAGATCTTAGTACAGTAATTGTGAAATGACTTCTGTACTTTAACTTTTCCGAGAGTATAAAATCACTTTTGTTACAATGTGGCATTTACTATTACAATTTTTTATTTTATAAAAAAATCTAATTATAAAGAAAATATAGACAACATGTCTTAAAATGTATTGATGCCATTAATCTTTAAATAAACGAGATATATATCTAGTAAGTAGTAAATTTACTTTCTTAGTTTTTGTCAAAAATTGTACTTTCTTCTTTTTTGGTCAACAAATACTTAGTAAACTGGGGTCTTTCTGTAAGGTGTATGCCTCAATGGAAATTTAAAGTAAAAAAAACAAAAAACAAAACAAAAACGTAGTAAACTGACTTTGTAAAATTGATGCACAATAAAGAAAATACACCAGTTTTTTCCTTAAAGTTTTAACTAGGTATTAAGGTGTATTTTGTTTTTTTGGGTTACGAATTAGGATTGTAAGGATTTAATTTTTTGGTAAAATCTGTCGAAATATGAACTTTTAAAGCTCTCGTTATACATACTAAATCAATGATGATGACTCGATGAGAAAAATAATGTATTTCACTAATTAAAAAAATATAATTAATATTAATCCAATCCAATAGAGAGAATGACATATTATTTTCTATATTGAGCATGTTATAAAAAAAAAAAAAAAAAAAAAAAAAACTAGCTATTCACTCTATTCTCCTTTGGAACAAGATATTTCATACTTTGTAGGTTGTTGACATATATATACACAGAGTTGTAATAAGCTTGTAAACTCTAAAGTGGACATATCACATATGACATATGTCGAGTAGCTTATAGCAAGGGCAGCGAATCGGTTAAAAACTTAAAATAACTTGATCGTCTCCGTACGTATAACATTTTTAAGATTTGTTGAATTAGAAGAGTAAAGAGTTGTAGGCAAAAAAAAAAAAAAAGAAGAGTAAAGAGTTGAGAAGAGATTGATAATATATATAAAAGTTGGAAAGAAGAAAGATATAATTAGAACCTTATTTATTATAAGCCTATATATATATAATGGCTAAATCCAATATATATTACATGATGAGTCCATATATAATGAAAGAAAGAGAACGAATCACAAAGCAGATTCTACTTATTAAGAAGAATATCATGAACCAGAGAGAGGCTACATACATCGATCACCTACCCTCTAAGTTGTACCAATCAGCGATCTCCAAACATTTTGGCAAGAATACATTGAAACCCGAAATCAAGTCTCGATGTCCTTTAAGCAAATCCTTTACCTCTTCTATGCAAGCATTCCTATCAAGTCTACAATGAAAAGTATATAATCAAAATTAATATTAGCTTTATTTAACAGTTTTATAGTGCTACTATACCCTAATATGAATTAAACTACTAATAATAAAAAAATTATAGTATCTTGCAAAATTATATACATACTTCCGAGCTTTGAATTTGTTCATGATTGCTACAAAATCGTCATATTTATCACGTTCATTATGAAATTTATTCTTCACAGTCCTAAGGTATGCATATGCATCATCTTTCGTAGCCATCGGTTTACTTCCTTCTCCCGCCATGGTTTAAAATTAGTCGAAAATCTTCATTTGCAAAAAAAAATTAAAGAGAGTGGCTTTTTTTAACTATTCTTTAATAGTAACTTTAAAATTTTGGAAAAAAAAAATTGCATCAAGGATCTAATTAATTCAGAATTACTAGAACTAAAGAGAAAATAAGTGCATGCGTATGTCAATAATCCCTTCTTCTTTTTTTCAATGTTAGCAATAATCAAATAATTTACATATATTATCTTAAATTGTGAACAGAATTTAAAAGTAACGAACCAGAAATTATATTACGAATACAAAGGTTCACCTATGTAGAAGCACTAGCACATGAATGGTTATGAGTTATATCATGTATATATATATGGGTGTCTTTTTACATATACGTACAATAATATTAAATGAAATAAAAGACATGTATATCAGACGATCTGTCGTAAATAAATTTTAAAACCAAATATAACTAAAGCAACTAATTAAAGAATTTTGTTTTTCAATTAAAGAAATTTTGTTTGAAGCACTTTTAATTTATGTGTAAAAGCACTTTTAATTTATATCCTAATAAGCATCATCTGTCAAAACTTGTTTAACGTAAAGGTTAAAGTTACATTTTTTACAATGTGGCAATTAATCATCATTATTATATATAGTATATTTATTTATTTCTTTTATAAATATTTATTTGATATCAAATAAATATATCAGATGTGAAATAATCGAATTCGTTGCACCAAAAAAAGGGAATGGTTGAACATGTTATTTCTTAAATAAACTGAAGTAAAACCGGGAGATAACCAAGAATTTGACGACACAGGTTTAAGAGTCAAATTGAAGCCGGTTATTAGAGCTAAAGCGGTCGCGTTTTGGCTTTGCCAAAAAATCTTTGTAACCAAATTTCATACTTGTGGGATTACATAAACACAGATCAAGAGAGAACCAAAGAAAAAACACTCTTAATCTAACATCAAGCTATATAGATTTGGTCTTGGGGTCATAATGCATGGGACACATATGGTGGTGACATAGTTTGTGTACCCAAGTCCATCTTCTAATTTGTATTGAGCAAATTAAACGACAACTTGACTTTAATTTTTTTATTTTTTTTTCATATCATCTTCAGCAAATCATTCATATAATGCTTTATCCGAACTTTTAACAGGTTTCTCAAACTTTTTTTAAAAACCATTTTTACTTTTAACTGGATTTCTAACCCCAAAACATTAGGAATCAACATTCAAACCCAATGCTCTTATTCTCTCTTTCTTCCTCTTTGAGGCTTGAGTTGGTGAGTTTGGTTTATTGTCTGCAATAAAAACCTACCTAATTGTCCCTCTCCTTACATTACAACCTAATTGAACCCAATCTTATAATTAGTAATGATTATGATCAATTAATGCCTCAATGATTAATTAACACGATAGATGTTTTTATTGATAGGTTAGAAACGTATAATACTTTTAAAAAACGGATATTATTAGGAAAAATTGAAATTTTTAATACTGATTTACGTAAATCCTACCTTTAGTGAGAGAGCCAGCATTTTTACTATCTTATCTTCAACAACTAAACCATATTTGTAGTGTAATATTATTAGGAATGTCGCCTATGTAACTTTTACGTAAAACCATTATATATCATCAAGATATCAATATGTGCTACTAAAATTCGTTCAATACGTTTTGATACAAAAGTATTATATACGTTGGTTACGTATAAAGTAAAATGTCATGCCCAATATAGGCTTCAAAAACTGCACTAACGAAATAAAGTTGTGCATGTGCGTTTACGTAAATACGATGTGTTCGTTCATACTGCATATATAATATAGATGTTGAATCAATGAATTTTAATAAGATATATATGTATAGGCATAGATGAATCCAAAAAACAGCCATGATTGAGGAGCAGCTTCCATGTGGAAAATGCTTATGATTGGTTCTTGTGCTAATGTTTTGCAAATGATAATAACAAAACTCCAAGCAAGGCTTGGACCCAGTCCTTTGTAATCTGCAAAACCATACTCGCTAGTATCATTACTATTACGTTTCTACCAATTATATAATACTCTATCTATAACCACCAAAGTTATTAATAACATAACACTTATGGTGGTAATTAAGGTAATTTATATCAGCCAAAATTATGTAAAACAATCAAATAGACAAAGGAATTAGAACAGTGCATGCCTATTATAACAAAAGCTATAATGTTAGAAGATATCGTTTTTGTTGCATATAGATCAAGCAAATATTTATACCGTACATGACTAGATTTTAGTTGTGGAAAAAACAGAATAATTGAAAATTGTTGCACAAAAGACTGATTGAAACATGTGCTCTGACGGTAACAATAATCATCCTGAGAATATAAATGATGAACACAGATACCGAACATGCATGTCAAATTTTAAACAAATGTCATAGTATTTGGTTAGTCTCCCTATTATTGGTTTAGCCACCAAAACATAGTAATTGAGTGTGTCGCCTACCCTAAATTATTATGTATATACTTCTGCGTGTTTAATGGATTAAGTTTACATAATAATTACTTCATAAAACTAATATATCAAAAATTATTTGGTCTCTCTATACGACTACTTCTATATGATCTAAATTGGTTCTACAAGAGGCCACTTCCAATCAACTTTTGCTATATAACTTTTATTCTAGTTTATTTTATTTTGACGACAAAACAGTATAATTTTTTTTAAACCCGATAAGAAGTAGTTCTTTTTACGTAAATCACGTAAGATTAGATGTATACATTAAAATAAAAAGTTTATTGGGGGAGAATTTAAGCTATATAGATTTTGGTCTTTGGGTCATAATGGGACACACATGGACGATTCCTTGTACATGAACCTAACATTGCCTATTGCCTATTGCTTACATGCGACAACACAATTCCATTGGTAGATGCATCTCTTATCTCATCCAAAAAATTTAAAAACGATAAAATTCTATTAATTTTTATTTTTTGAAAACAAGAAGGAAAATAAGAACATGTGCAAGTGTTCCCTTGCAAGGCAAAACATATAGATCCAAAAAAAAAAAAAAAGAGAAATAACTAAAAAATGTGGGAGTTTGTTGTCACTACTTGAGGTATGTCCATGTGAAAGCTCTTCTCTTATCTTTCCACAACTTGTATTAATATTTTTGTAGTTTAGCTTTGCCACTTAGTCAAACAACATTACTAACACATCACATCAACGGTTTGGTCCTCGTTCCAATTGTGTTTATCCCCCCTCTTGCCCCTCTGTCCATTTTTCAATTCTCTTGCATCTTATTAAGCAGCATGATCATTTCCTTTTCAGGATAGAGGGTTATGGTTGTTTAATCGGTATTCTGGAGATGTATGGGACGTTGTTATGTTACAGCATTACAATGATTTCCTTTAAAGACAAAACCAAGAAAACTCTGTTATGCATGTTTTATGTATCCCCGCCAAGCTAAGTAGACGGTGTCCTAATGATAATCATGATCTTACCGAAAGAAAGCATAATCATATATTCTTTTTGTTTGAGACGCTTAACATGGTATTGTTTATTTCTTCTCATAAAGAAACAAACTAACGGGTGGTTCCAAACCAAACGAAATTAGAGAGCCATGTCTTGAAACGTCCTAATTAACAAGGAAAGTATGATTCATATATCCCATATATTATATAAATTCATCAACGTATATGCCCATCTATATATAGTACATTATCCTATCGTAAATTGTAAACATGATTGTAAAAACATAGAATTAGGTATAGGATTAATTAATCATAAGAGTAAACTTTATAACATATATAAACAAATTGTAGTTAAAATTACGTATGGTATAACGTGGCTTTATTCTAGTAACAAAGAAGTCATGCATATAATAATAATGTTTTCGATATATATAAGTAAATAAGGTAGAACGGTCGACATCTCACAAGAAAACAAGAAGGAGAAGAAGAAGAAGAAGAAAAAACGACATTCTAGCATTGATGGTGGCAATTGATTTGAACTTAATCAAGATGTCGTAATAGAAACAAAAGTGTTTTAATGTGATACATGCCACCTTAATTAGCTAGGCCTTCACTGTTGAACTATTTACATGGTCTTGATGTTTTTTTAAATATCACCAGCGAACTTGTTGTCGATCGCAAGAACCGGTTAGATTCCGAGTATGATGATCAGATCGTGTACTGGTTCGGTTAAGGTCGTTCGAGAGTACTATACCAAATTAAAATATTAATAGAGAAACGAAAAGAACAAGACGAGAGAGAGGAAACAGCCAGAAAGAATGAAACCATAAAAAGAATGGTCGGAAGAACAAAAGTCACATGGAGGGTTATGTGTATTTGTGTATTTCATCAAACAATGCTTACAAAATTGACGTCGCCGTCTTGACAATAACTGTAAATGTATCATGAAAGTGATCATTCCTTTGTATCCTCCATAACTTTGTGCAGTTTTTTTTTTGGTTTAAATCTTCTATCTTTCATATTCCACATGTACGTTGTAGGTGAAACTAGTTATGGTACACGTAAAAATGGCTATATCAATTATTGTATAAACGTATGTAGTAATAAGTAACATACATACAATATATAAAGTAACCATATATGTACACTATTATAATGCTTTAATTAAAATGTTTTTACATTCGAAATATACTATTGCTTGCTTGTTCCATAATATTCTCCTCATGTTTTTTTTTAACTATATAGGTTTTTTTGGGTTATATAAATACTTTTATACGAACCAAACAAAACAAAAAATAAAAGTGAAAAAATCAATTATATATAGTTTAGTTATTTATCTCTTTTATTTAGAAATGGAGCAGTAACATCATCATCGAATCGAAGAGAAGAGAAGAGAAGAGGAGAGGAGAGGAGTAAATCAAGTCACGTGCTGGTCAGGCCAATTTGCCTGCTCTCTCCATTTCAACTTCACGTGCTTTCACATTATTTCCCTTAAATGTCTCTCTCTCTCCTTCGTCTTCTTCATTATTTACACTTCTATGCCACTCTGATTTTTTTTTTAATTTACCATATGATTTTTGATAATACAAAAAAATCATATAATTAAAAATAAACAAATCTAGCTACTATCTCCATCTACACATATAATACGGAAATTAAATGTGGTTGTTGCCATTTCTTACATCATGTAAGCTTTTATAAAGTCAAATCATTTTGGCCTCATAAAAATATTAAGAGAAAATAAAACATAAAAAATAGGATTAAATAATCTGATAATAGCATCATTGATACGCTGAACAAGTCAAATGTCAAACACCATACAGCATATCATTACCAGAAACACAAACACAAACACATCTTTTTGTCTTAAACGGTTTTATTAATTTAGTTAATTATACTGTAAATTTTTTGGAACTTTTCTAAAAGGTTCGCGCCAGTTAGGATATATATTCCATTACCTGTCAGTTTTTTTTTTTTCTTTTTTTCTGTCCTATTCTAAACATATTATTTGGTTATGGTGTGAGAGATGATGTATCATTTTTTTTTATTTATTTATTTATTTTTTTGACATCCAATAAGATGTATCATTTTATTTGAAATTTCAAATCATATATTATATAAGCTTTGTTGCTCTGTAAGATTTAACACGACATCACAAAAAAAGAAAGGACAGAATCTTTCTGACCTTAGCCTATAAACAACACTATATCCGTAAGAAAAAGAAAAACTCACCAATGACAATGACTATTTCTTCAAATCCAATTTTCAATTTTTTTTAATTATGTAATATTCTTTTTATTATTGTCATAATTTTTTGGAATTATAAAAAAGTAACTGAGCAATTAGGAAGAATAATGAAAGGCAACGAAATGTAGTCAAAACATACATTTATAAGCTCAATAAATTAAAGCAATTTTCAAAAAGAAAATAAAACATATATTAAATGGAATTAAATTGTGAATGTGATGTTAATTTTTCGTCCTGGGTAAACGGCAGAAACCGTTAAAACCGAACCGATCAACCCGAGAATTTCGGTTATCGGCGAAAACCGAAGAGATTTTGTCAAACCGTTCGGTGATATTGATTTGAGAAATCGGATTTCGGTTCGGGTCGGTTCGGTAATCGGTACCGATCGGTTTTGCTGAAACTGAGATTCTGCAGCCATATATAAAGTTTGTGATGAGTCGTTAACCCTAATATGTTTTAATCTTTTTCTTTGGCTGCCGCTTGCAACAAAAACGAGAGACTTCATTTGTACTTCTTTCTTCCTAATTCTAATCATATCACTAGTCCTAGATCTTTCTTCATCTGTTCATGATTCATCACGTCTCTTCTCCCTCGTGAGTTCATCATCTTCTACATCCTCTTTCATTCTCTAAATCTCAATCGTTGTTAACACTTCTTCTTTCTAAACCCGTAACCACGAACCACTTCTTCCTCTCTCTCATTACCAAACTTATCGGTAATCTTCAGATCTATTATTTATGGTTTTCGAACAAGCTTCATCGAACGGAGAGACTGAACGGTCGGTCATGCCGTCGCTGCCGCCGCGCTGCCGAGTCGAACCCTAATTGTTGTTAATGGATTCACTTTGTAAATTTATTAAATGGGCTTTTAAGTTTCTTTGTTAATATCATTTTCAAAGATATAATGGATTTGGGCTTCTTTTAACCCATTATACATTGTTATTCTTTTATTCGGTTTATATTAACCGAAATAGAAAAAATTCGGTTAAATTTCGGAAATGATTTAAAAGCCAATAACCGAACCGAATAACCCGAGTACCGACCGAACCGAACCGAAATAAATTTCGATTTAGTTCGGTGGATTTTTTTGTAAACCGAATTTTGTCATAACCGAATAACCCGACCCGATTAACCCGAATTCGCCGAACGCCCAGGACAATTAATTTTTCTAACAAATTATTTTGAAAACGTACTAGTATACAAAATTAAACGGACCACAGAATTGGAATTAATACTGGTAGTAAAAGAAATAAGAGTAAAAATAAATGAAATAGAATGTTTGAATTGAACAAACTAGTTAGAGTTTATCCACTTTTATAGTTAGATAAAAAAAAAATATATACATTGCAATATCTTTGGACTTATATATATCTTCAACTTTATAATCTTTCTTAGAAATAGTATTAAATATGTATATTTATTTATCAAGATGAAAATAGTAAACATTATTATTAATTATTTTTATAATTATGATTGTTTGTTACATTGTACATTACACCACTCTCTCCTTCCCTCTTCTTTGTAGTGTGGGAATTTAGCATTTAAAAACCCCAAATAACCCAAAACCGTCTCTACTCATCATAACCGGAGTCGGAGAAGTCTCTCTGCCGCCATTTAATGCCACCACGTTCTATCTCATAACCAACTTTAACCGGAGAATAAAATCAAATTTAATGTCGGTTCACGGAAGATTCCCGGCGAGTCCACCGGTTTCATCATCTTCCACGTCGCCGTCGTCAACGCCACCTGATCTGAAGCAACGAGTCATCGCTTGTCTCAACAAGCTAGCCGATCGAGACACGTTAGCTCTCGCTTCAGCTGAGCTTGACTTGATCGCGAAGAGCCTCACTCACGACTCCTTCTCTCCGTTTCTCAACTGTATCCACAACACTGACTCTTCCGTTAAATCTCCGGTGAGGAAACAGTGCGTCGCTCTCTTGTCGCTTCTCTCTCGTTACCACGGCGATTCTCTCACGCCTCACCTTGCTAAGATGGTTTCCACCGTCATCCGCCGTTTACGAGATCCGGATTCCTCTGTTCGGTCCGCTTGTGCCGTCGCGACGGCGGATATGTCGGCTCACGTCACGAGGCAGCCGTTTGCTTCCGTCGCGAAGCCGTTGATTGAGACTTTGGTTCAGGAAGGTGATTCGAATCTGCAGATCGGAGCTGCCTTGTGTTTGGCGGCGTCTGTTGAAGCGGCGACGGATCCGGAGTCGGAGCAGTTGAGGAAGTCGTTGCCTAAGATTGGGAAGTTGCTAAAGAGTGAAGCTTTCAAGGCTAAAGCTGCGTTGTTGAGTGCCGTGGGGTGTATCATTACCGCCGGTGGTGCCGGGACTAAACCGGTTTTGGATTGGTTAGTTCCGGTTTTGATTGAGTTTTTGAGCAGTGAAGATTGGGCAGCCAGGAAGTCTGCCGCGGAGGCGTTGGGTAAAGTTGCGACGGCGGAAGATTTGGCTTCTCAGTACAAGAAAGCTTGCACGGCGGCTCTTGAGACCAGAAGATTTGATAAGGTAAAGACAAAAAAATGAGACATGTTAGTTTTGGTTTTGTGTTCAGTGAGAATTTAAAAATCCGATTTTTTTATTTAAACGCTTAGTGGATTCGAAATGTAGGTGAAAAGTGTTAGAGAAACAATGAATCGAGCATTGAATCTGTGGAAAGAAGTTTCAAATGATGATGAAGCTTCTTTATCTCCATCAAGATCTTCAACAGGTATGTGTAGTTTGTTGTCTCTGTACAGTGAAATTTTAAATTTTTAACTTGAATTTGATATCTTGAATTCTACGAATTTGGTTTTCAGATGATGGTAGCATTGGATGCTATACCTCTGTCACGAGAAGTTCGACCATTGACGTTGGTTTTAAATCATCGGCTAGGCCAAAGAAAGTAACGCCTATAATGAAGAGGTCCCCATCTTTGCCTGTGAATAGATCATATGCACCAACTAGACAAAAGGAGAACCTTCCAAAACGAAATCAAGGGAATGTGACCATGTTAGCACCAGAAGCCTCTATTGTGGATAACAAGGGACCACTGTTTACGCCGGTTAAACAATCTTCGGTGGAACCGGATGAGAAGGCCAACTCTGGGGGACCAGATATAATCAAACATACTATCTCTGAGAAAAGCCGGGAAGATTACAAAGTATCCAACTCTGGTGGCTTGAGGTCTAGCTCAAGGGTTGCTCCTTGCAGTAGTGACGATGGTGATTCTTATGATTCTGTTACCAAGAGTTGTAAAGATGATGTTGATGAGAGCAGGAAGGATAGTGAGGAACTCTCTTTGATACGTGAACAGCTTGCTCTGATTGAGAATCAACAGTCTAGTCTCTTAGACCTACTACAGGTATATACAATTGGTATTAGCAATCTTAGTGTCCATTAGTGTAAGTGAAATGTTTGGTTTATGAAGATGAAGCTCAGTCCTCCTCATTGATATACTTACAAATTTTTCATTTTGAATTTAGAAATTCATGGGAACATCACAGAGTGGCATCCAGTCTCTGGAGTCTCGTGTCAGCGGTCTAGAGATGGCTTTGGATGAAATATCATGCGATCTGGCGGTTTCTAACGGGAGAGTTCCTAAGAATAGTGGTAGCTGTGCAGGGGAGAGCTGTTCCAAACTACCTGGTACAGAGTTCTTAAGTCCCAAGTTCTGGCGAAAAACGGAGGAGAGACCACGGATTAGAAACACAGCTAGTGAAATGGCTGCTCATGACCGAGTATCAACAGACGCGAACAACATTCAAAGGGGAGGTTCGGTTTTTCAGAAGAGATCACCAAGAGACCAGTTCCAAGACTCCATGCATACAACAATTCATAAACCGACCACCAGGTAAAAGCAATTTTAATTGCTTTCCTTAGTGATTTTACCTATGAAGCTTGGTTTTTAAAGGTTTGCTTTGCATATTTTCAGATTATCTACTTGAAGCAAAAGAGAGAAAGAGTGCACTTGAGTGGTTTCAATTTTTTGAGGAAGAGAGTGATTGATGATGTGAGGATTGAAGCACAAAGAGAAGCTGAACAGAGACACTGACTCAAGAAAGCTGAAAATGAAAAGCCAAAATCTCAGATTCTATGCTTTGCTTCAAACCGCTTGTTTGAAATATTCAGCTCTCTCTCACACATGTTTAAGCAAGCTTCAAATTATTAATTTAATCAGCGAGTGAATCAATAGAGAGAGTTTCAAAAGATTAAAAATGCATGTGAATAGATCTGATATTTATGTAATGTGAGAGCATTTTAGAGTTATTGACAAAACCATGATGAATAGAGGAGATGTAAAGATTTGTGTGACTCTCTCTGATCTTGTACTGTAAATCTTTTGGGAAAGAAAGGAATGATTGGTTTGCTACATGAGAATCAAGACAATAACACAGATGAGTTCACTACAGTCAATAATAATATGTCAGCATCAGAAATTATTGAATGCCAACTCCTATTCATATGACGGTCTCTGATACACCATTTTTAACATAAGTGATAAATGGGTGACAAAGATAAGGTTGGTGAAAAAACATGCATACCACAAAAGTCCTGCATTGGTTTCAGCTTCAGGGTCCCCAGTTGCAATGGACGGACGAACCTAATAATTTTTTAAAAAAAAATAGAGACAACAAATGCAAAGAAGAACATTAATGGAAGGAATTAATCAGTTGGCAAAGCCGGTGGCCGCAAATTTTGAATAATATTTTATCTATGTTACTATGTAAGCAGTTTATCCCATTTTATATGTGTTTGGATTACCAATTACCAAAGAGATAAACTCAACGGACCAGAGACTAAAACAAGTATGTAAACTATGTTCGGTATTGATATGAAAGCTGGCTCGTGTCCACGATGAAGTAGACCGCATCAGAATAGGTAAGTACAACCGAGTGAGTCAAAGTAAGAGTCATCTTGATGTCCTTTTGGTTTTGTTTTGTTTATGCAGTGCAACTAATCAACTGTATAGTGTATACAGCCCTCGCACGTGGTTGGTTTGAGGTCAGCATATCCATCCGATCGTCGCGCTCTTTTTTATTTTATTTTTTAAGGCCGCCCCAGTTAGGGCCCAATTTGGTTGTATAGCTTTGTGACCCAACCGTTGTGGAATTTTGTAGCTTTTAAATTCTAGAGGAGGAACATTTATTATTGACAAATGTGGTACGAATTTGGTTTTGGAAAAGTACCAAATTACAATGGTTCCAAAGTCGGAACAGAAGTCAAATCGGCTCAATCTATTCCATTTAAGTATGCTTTTGGAGCTAACAACGAGATCTTCATGTTTCATTTTATACCTAATAAATTGTGTTTAATTATTTATGCATATTGTATATGCTAAAAAATAGTGGTATATGTTGTAAGTTCTGAGGTCTATTGGGTTTTACATAAACCTAACAGAGCCATGCATGGATTTTGTTTCGTGGTGGAACCAAATCGTTAGAATTTAGGAGATTGTGAAAATTTGGAAATTGTTGTTCGATATACAGTTAACCCACAACCACAAGTGAAAGAAAATGTACTTGGATGAGCTTCAAACTCAATATACTTGTATTTTATTTGAAAGATTTTACGTAGAGACTTAAAAGGTGTTTTGGATGTTACCATGCATATATAACCTACGATGGCCACAACATTTATACGCCGAGGATTATATATATTTTAGGTTTGTTTGGAAGTTGTTTGACTCATTGTGGATAATAAACATGCATGTGTATTTCAGTATGTGTATTATATGGTAGATGAACATATATTATTAAGTTTTCTTTTGTATATATATAAAGCAGAAATGATTAAACAACAACAAAGATAAAGTTTGGGAAAACGGAAAGAAGAATGTAGCTGGTTTGGGGTATGCAATCATTCAGAAAAGAAAGAGCCAAAACAAGAATACCAAACATGATAAAAGCGAATATCTAAATCTAAATGATGGATGTATAATTGTAATGGAAGGCACATTCCATATTTTTTTCTTATACATATTGTAATCATTTGTTATAAACTTATACATATATAAAACAAAATGGGGGACGAGAGAACAAAGGAACATGATTCCAGCGATGGATATATTTTAAGCAATGTGCAAAGACAACTTCCCACTATCCTATAAACTCTTATACCTAATCTCCACGTTCTTCATACCCCATTTTGGCTGCTAATCTCTTCTTAATTTATATGACCATTTAATCAGTATATGATTTACAAAGACAATACAACTCCAATTACAAGAACCATGCATGTTTACTCTGCAAAACATATTGATTTGGCTAAGACCAGCAAAAAACTTACTAATAAATCTGTATTTGGGATCAATATATACATACATATATGGGATATATATAGCTACATTCGGGATCAATACATAATTCATCGAACACTCTCTATTTCTTTTGTCCTTTTTTCCAAATTTTCAATATAGAATTACTTGAACATATTTAAATATAAATATTAAATGTCTTTATGTATAACTTACAAAATCCATAACAACCACGATAATTAATTCCACAAGACACGTATTAATAAACTGATTATAATGTAGGTTGAAAATGAAATGAAATGAAATATTAGACGTCGGTTATAGAGGACAAAACTAAGCATTCCAAATATCTCAAAATGCAAAAGAAAACATTATTATTGACTAGTATAACCTTACCAAAATCGTGAGTCCTTTGCTTCTTCAAAACTCACCATATATATGAATGAACCAACTTTTGAGGTCGGCAACGCAATTTGGATGAATTGAAGAGCAATCGTCTTCAGCGTCGCATCGATCAAGACCTACATTGTGATAAGACGAAACTTGTGAATGTAAGAATCACATTTTAAAAGACATAAGAGCATCTTCAAAGAGAGATGCTTGATTTGGGGTGTTAAACAATTTTTAAAAAATTTAATGATTAATAAAAATTTATTGAACTCTAAAAAATGTTTAATTTTTGTTGCTCTAATGGTGAACTCAGTAAGAATAAATTGAGTTATTGTGAGTGAGAGAGAGAAATCCTTCATCCCCTTTTTTTTTCTTCCTTTCTCTATACTTTCCACCCAATAAAAAATAAACATGTGTCATAGAGACTGATGCTTAAAGACTTTAGTTTAGCAGCGCTCCTAATCATTTTAACACATTATGATTTATTTTTAATACCATTAATCAACCCAAACTCTAAACTTTTATGATAAGACTCTCCTAACAAAACTAATAATATTATAATAGTCTTTTACGTTACAAAGTGATTTTAACTAACAATTTGATTTTTTTAGGAATTCAAATATTAAATATTGGAAAGATATACGTACTTGGTAGTGACAAAACATGTTCACAAGATTTTGTTTTACCAATTGAAAACTATATGGAACATGTCATTTCCTAAACAATTCGTTAAGAAAATACTATAGTATATAGATATAAACAGGTTTATCTAAGTACTAGCTAGTATATAATTAGGTTCAATTCATATCATCTTTGATGTCATCATCATTCAACGCCTTAATTATTAAATTTTGTACAGCCAAAATTAAACAAATCAACCATACATATTCCTCACCGACCAATCGTGTTGCTACACACATTAATCAGCAGCCTTTAATTTACTAATTAAAAATCCAATCATGCTTTGTACCAAGAGGTTTGGTCCTCCTCCTCCTACTTCCTCATCCTCCGGCGAATCTTGAAAAAACAATTAATTATTATTAATTTGCCCGTAAAACGAAAAGACCACGCAACTACACAACTGTCACAGAATCATACGTCTCTCTCTTCTTCTAAACAAAAGAGACGAGAGAGAATATGGTCCACCTCATCGTCGCATCTTTGGACACAAGTCGCATAACTAGTGGCAGCCATCAGCATCTTTCTCGCCTTTGAAAGAAAATGACTTTTAACTCTAATCCTACTTTAATTAACCCAAAACCAAATGATTGATTAATACACTCACTAATATCGGTGGCTTCAATTACAAAACGCGTCTTACTTGTTTCTTTCCTTCTTTTATCACAACGATTATTTCAGTAAAATAAAGTTGTATTTAAATGGGAATTCCATTTATATATTCCTTTCTTTAATCTCTTTGTATATATATTAAAGAAAAAAAAATAAGGAACAAGAAGTAGAGGAAGGTACTTTTGTCGGCCGGCGCAAGAAAAAAAAAACCAGATCTCTTCTTCTTCTTCTTCTCCCTAAGTAAAAACCTTCTCCAGATCAGTGTTTATTAAGCACGACGGCGAACTTTGTTCTGTTTCTAAAAACAACAAAAAACACAGAAAGTTTCGATTTTTATTTTGGTGGCTAAGCAAAAGAAGAGAGATGATGGAGTATGAGAATGGGAAGAAGAGGAAAGTACGAAACAAACAACAACTAAAAGCACAGTTCTTGTCTCAGAGGTATCTAATCTTGTACTTTTGTTGTTTCTTCGTGTTGCTCTTCTTCTTATCTTCCGACCGTATCTCCACTACACTCTCTGTTCGCTCCGATTCTCTGAGACCGTCTCTTCGTGTTCCTGCTCTCTCCGTTTTATCGTCCATGGATTCGATTCACCGTTCGTTTCACGGCGGTAGGTTCCCTCAGTTGAGGGTTGATGACAGAGTTCAATTCCCCGACCATTTATTGCTGATTCTCTCGAGTAGGATCGGGAGAGGTGAGAAGAACCTAGTTTGTGTGTATCGTGGAGTAAAGGAAGAGACTTTGGTGTTGCCCTCGATTTCTAGTGATGAATTCGATGAGTTTAGATCGATTGTTCGGTGCCCTAATGCTCCTTTGAACTACTCTTCGTCTGTTGATTTGAAATTCCGGGGAGATTTCGTGAAGAAGAAGGAGCAGAGGCAGAGCCGTCGTGTTCATAATTGGGAAAAAATTGGTTACGAGGCGGTGGTTGATGGTGACACGGTGGTTGTGTTTGTTAAAGGATTGACTCGAAGGCCTCACAAGGAATCAGATCCTTCTTACTACAAATGTCAATTTGAGATTGGTGATTCGGATGAGAAAGAGGTAACTCAAGCTGTTGCTGCAGCGCAAGAAGTTGTGAGGTGTGTTTCGCCTGAGAGTTTGAAGCTAAATCCAGAGGTGATGTTTCGTGTGAGCGTAATTCATGTTGATCCTAGGGGAAGAACTACGCCTGCTTTGCCTTCAGTTGCGAGACTCTACGGTTCTGATTTGGTTGAGAAGAAGCAGAAGAGTGGGATTAAGCATGAGCTTTGTGTTTGTACAATGCTGTGGAACCAAGCTCCGTTCTTGCGTGAATGGATCATGTATCACTCGTGGCTTGGTGTCGAGCGCTGGTTTATATATGATAACAACAGCGATGATGGGATACAAGATGAGATTGAATTGCTCAGTTCGGAGAATTACAATGTGAGTCGACATGTGTGGCCTTGGATTAAGACTCAAGAAGCCGGCTTCTCGCATTGTGCGGTTAGAGCGAAAGAAGAATGCAATTGGGTCGGATTCTTTGATGTCGACGAGTTCTACTACTTCCCTACCCATCGCTCTCAAGGGTTACCTAGCAAAAACGCTTTGAGGTCTCTTGTATCGAACTACACTTCTTGGGATCTTGTTGGAGAGATCAGAACAGAATGTCACAGTTACGGTCCATCCGGTCTAACCTCGGTTCCATCACAAGGCGTGACCGTAGGATACACTTGCAGACAAGCGAACCCCGAGAGGCATAAGTCGATCATCCGACCCGAGTTGCTCACAAGCTCATTGCTCAACGAAGTACATCATTTTCATTTGAAAGAAGGAATCGGGCATATGAGTTTAGTGGAGAGCGTGGCGGTAGTGAACCATTACAAGTACCAAGTTTGGGAGACTTTTAAAGCAAAGTTTTACAGAAGAGTGGCAACTTATGTAGTGGACTGGCAAGAAAATCAGAACCAAGGGTCTAAAGACCGAGCTCCGGGGCTCGGGACAGAGGCGATTGAGCCGCCAGATTGGAAACGAAGGTTCTGTGAAGTGTGGGATACTGGATTGAAGGATTTGGTATTGTCGAATTTTGCTGATCAAGTGACTGGCTATTTGCCGTGGCAGAGACAACAACTACAGGAATGACTGTTTTTTAGTTGGGTTTGGTTGGTTGGCTGCTGAGATAACTTGATTGTGTATATTTATTTACATTTGACAAAGGAGATTACATACAAATTCTACTACTACATTAATATTTCTTCTTTTGTTACTTCATTTTTTTCTTCTTTTGGGTTGGTGGGTGAGAGAGTTCAATGGCTTCTTCTAATCTTTTGTTTTTTTTTTCAGAGTTTACCACATATGTAAATTTTGGTAACACTGCAATATCCTTCTTTTTATGGTTCGTTTATGAATTTACAAGTCTTTTCGATCCTTGTTTGGTTGATGACATTTGTGGTATGTTTTTGTCCCCACGAGATCAAAACTATGCTTCTGAATTCGAGTCTCTCTCCCACTAGTCTACAATAAGAAGATTTACACATTACCCATTACTCAATACCCATGTATGTATCTTGGGTTTCTATATGGGCTGAAATGTAAGTAGATAGTGTAAAAGCCCATAGTCCAAAACATATTTTTGGTCAAGTGAAGTGATGTCTCTTTTTTAAATATTTTGTCTTTTTCTTTATAACAAGTTCACTCCTGTGACTTATTTATTACCAGCCAACCTTTTTCACAAATAAAGAATCTCATTTAAGTCACATTATTAATAGAGGCAAAATTCAAAAATTTGATAAGTTGATATGTTGAGTAAAGAGATTCATAGTTATAAAATAACATGGCTGATTCTAAAGGCAAAACTATCAATACAGAAAATTAAAATCCATCATCCAAAAATTCTTATTGTAGTTTTGCATTGTTTTTTTATAAAATAGCTTTCCCTTTCATTGAAAACATGGAGACTCTCAGACATGATTGTCCCAAACGTCGTCGTTTTGTTAGAAGATTCTTTTTTCCCAAATAAAACAAACCATCAAATACCAAACAAAAAACAAAAAAGATAAATACTAAATTCCACTAAGTTACTAAAGACCAAATAAATAAAAATAAGTCAAAAGAAAAGACCATTTAAAAATAAAAATAAAAAGTTTCTCTTTTTTTTTTTCTCTCAGTATCACACACAGTCAATGAACCTTCTTCCGCCATAGAAGCTCCCTCTCTCTCTCTCTTTGCCTCTCTGGTTTGAAGAACCCTAGAAGAACCAACAAGATCCACCTCTTTACCATGAAGAAGTTCTTCATCACACTCTTATGGCTTCTCTTTATCAGCTCATTTCTATGTTTTTCTTCTTCTGCTGAGGACGACGTTCTCTGTCTCCAAGGTTTGAAAAACTCGCTCACCGATCCTTCTTCTCGACTCAGTACCTGGTCTTTCCCAAACTCTTCGGCTTCTTCGATTTGTAAGCTCAGTGGTGTTTCCTGCTGGAACGAGAAAGAGAATCGGATTATTTCTCTCCAGCTTCAGTCGATGCAGCTCGCTGGTGAGATTCCCGAGTCGCTTAAGCTTTGTCGTAGTTTACAGTCTCTGGATCTCTCTGGGAACGATCTCTCTGGTTCGATTCCTTCTCAAATCTGTTCGTGGCTTCCGTATCTCGTTACGTTAGATCTGTCTGGGAATAAGCTTGGTGGATCGATTCCTACTCAGATCGTTGAGTGTAAGTTCTTGAACGCTTTGATTTTGAGTGATAATAAGCTTTCCGGTTCGATTCCTTCTCAGTTGAGTAGATTAGATCGGCTTAGACGTCTTTCTCTCGCTGGTAATGATCTCTCCGGTTCGATTCCTTCTGAGCTTTCGAGGTTTGGAGAAGACGATTTTAGTGGTAATAATGGACTTTGCGGGAAGCCTTTATCGAGGTGTGGAGCTTTGAACGGGAGAAACCTGAGTATTATCATAGTGGCTGGTGTTCTTGGCGCTGTTGGATCTTTGTGTGTTGGTTTAGTGATATTCTGGTGGTTCTTTATTAGAGAAGGTAGTAGGAAGAAGAAAGGTTACGGTGCTGGGAAATCTAAGGATGATAGTGATTGGATTGGTTTGTTGAGGTCACATAAGCTTGTTCAGGTGACTTTGTTTCAGAAACCTATTGTCAAGATCAAATTGGGTGACTTAATGGCTGCTACAAACAATTTTAGTTCAGGGAATATCGATGTTTCCTCGAGAACTGGGGTTTCGTATAAAGCAGATTTACCTGATGGGTCTGCGCTTGCGGTGAAGAGGCTTAGTGCTTGTGGGTTTGGTGAGAAACAGTTCAGGTCGGAGATGAATAGGTTAGGAGAGCTTAGACATCCGAATTTGGTGCCGCTTTTAGGTTATTGTGTTGTGGAAGATGAGAGACTTTTGGTGTATAAGCATATGCCTAATGGCACATTGTTTTATCAGTTGCACAATGGTGGACTGTGTGATGCTGTTTTGGATTGGCCAACTCGGCTTGCGATTGGCGTAGGAGCTGCTAAAGGGTTAGCTTGGCTGCATCATGGATGCCAACCGCCGTATTTGCATCAGTTCATTAGCTCCAATGTTATACTTCTTGATGATGATTTTGATGCTCGGATAACAGATTACGGATTGGCAAGGCTAGTTGGATCTCGTGATTCTAACGATAGCTCGTTCAATAATGGAGATTTGGGAGAGTTAGGTTATGTGGCACCTGAGTATTCAAGCACCATGGTTGCATCTTTGAAAGGAGATGTGTATGGGTTTGGAATTGTGCTTCTTGAATTGGTTACAGGGCAAAAGCCTTTGTCTGTTATTAACGGTGTGGAAGGATTTAAAGGGAGTTTGGTTGACTGGGTGAGTCAGTATTTGGGTACGGGTAGAAGCAAAGACGCTATTGATAGAAGCATATGTGGTAAAGGGCACGACGAGGAGATATTGCAGTTCTTGAAAATCGCATGTAGCTGTGTTGTGTCAAGGCCGAAGGAAAGGCCAACAATGATTCAGGTGTATGAATCTTTGAAGAGCATGGCAGATAAGCACGGTGTTTCGGAGCATTATGATGAATTTCCACTGGTCTTCAACAAACAAGAAGCTTAAGTATCAGACCAGAAACTGGAAGTAGTCTTTTTTTTTGGCAGCTTAAGCGCTCAAAGGTATGAGAAATCTACTTTGTATCAAAAGCCTTTTTTTTTGTTACTTTTATATCTCATTCTTTGTTCCTTCCTTCCTCACTGTTCTTAGTTTTTAACCGTGTCAATGCTTGTGTTTGTCTTGTATCCTCCTACCGTATAATTCTGTACATTCGTTTGGGTCATCAATGTACTCTTTTGGAATGTAACAACCTCTTCTGATAAAATGAGAAGATTTTTCTGTCTTGTTTCATAATTGTATGTACAAAAGCTAACAAGTTCTTCTTGCTCTCCTACTTTGATATTTGTTATATAATTCCTTAGATTCTAAACGGCTCTATGCCTTGGAGTTGAATTTTGACTGTTGGATTTGTCTTTTGAATAATTTCTTTGATGGTCAAAAGAGTCAATCCTTAGTTTGTTGTTGTGTTGTGATGATATCTTTTGGATGAGATGTGGGGTTCTGGTCTAATAATAAAGACAAGAGAGTTAAAAGAAACGGTATGTTGGAGGCAGATTTAGAGATGTCTGCGTCTTGCCTGAAGGCATAGACACATGAACTTCGACCCCACTTCTCTCATCTTTTGAATAATGCTATCGTCTTGTCACCATTTGTTTTGACAATCTGTTACTTTCTTGTTTGTTACTGTGACGAAGCTGTGGAAGTCAAGTTTTTTTCCTTGTGTCGAGTGATTGAAATCTGGCAGATCAATATTAACATAAGACTTCTTCCAATTGATTCTCTCACTCTCCAGTCTCTTAAGTCTTATGTTTTTTCATTATCTGAAATGATTCCTACATCCAAAGAAAGTAATGTCAATATAGGAACCGTCCAGATTTTTAGGGGTCTATCCACTTAGAGAAGAATGTGAGAATTGAAATTTGGTTCCCATTTCATCTTTTTATTCTATGCACAAGTACATTTTACATATACTACACATCATCTTTTCACTGTTTGGGATCAGAATCGCCAAATTGTGGGAAACAAGAGCTTCTTCTTTTTGGTTTTTATTAATTATAAAAGCATAGGAATAATCTTAAAAAGACAAATAAGTTTGAGAAAAAGAAAATATGGAGAAATGGAGAAAATGTAATAAGACGAACACAAAAGCTAAATCCCAGTTTGGACACGCTACATTACCATGTCTCCTATATGAGCAACAGTTTGTGTGCACTTTCTTAACTTCTCTGGGGTAGCAGACTAGCAGTTCATGTAACTCTAGAATCAACTTCTGAGCTCGTTTCACCTTCTTTGAAAAAGTTGGTAGCGTTTTTGAGAAACCGTTTGTCTCAGTTAAGCAATCTTCTTTTCAAGTAATATCATCATCACCCTCTTAAACCAGATGAATCCCATGCATCTTTAGCTCAACTTTTTTGATTGTCAGTTCTGGTTTGATCACCTGGCTGTATGGTGTACCCATCTTCAACATCGTAACCATTGGGTGCAGAGCTGAGTGTATTGGCAGATGTGGAGTTGATCATTACTTGTTCTAGGCACTCGACACAGGTTCGATGTGTGGGAAAATCTGTGCGCGAGATCAAGTTGGAAAACTTGGACTCGAACCGCCACCATCTGCGGTTTCATGGTTAAGGGCCACATTAACGGCCAGGATTACACCTCTGAGTTCTCTGTTCGGTTGAGCTGAGCATGTACCAGGGCCTTGTGAGAACCATTCCGGGATTCTGTTTCCAGGCAAGCTAAGATTCCGCAGCATTTTCAAAGAAACCTACAATGAGAATTTCACAAGATTGCATGTAAGTCGTTAACAAAACCTGAGACATTAAACTAATTGAGATTTCTTGGAGTTTGAAGAAAGTTATAGTGTAGTTCCTTAATATGTCTGGTTGAGGGAATAAAGTAGGAAAACTATAAAGAAATGTTTTCAGTTTTGCTATTTAGTGGCTTACCTGTTTGAAGGAAACATCATACCTGAGCAACCAACAGTTTGTATAGATAATATTGATTGTGAGCAGTTTTGATAACTTCTCTGTTGTAGCAGATCATGTAACAGTAGATTAACTTTCTGAGCTGGCTTCACCTCCTTTGAAAGAGCGGAAAAAACTGGCAAGTTTCTGAGAGACGGATTGTTGTGTCTCGGTTAACAAATGTTCTTCGCCTTTAAAATCATCATCCCCTTCGTAAACCAGATGAATCCCATGGATCTTTAACTCCACGCCTTGTTTGATTGGTGGTTGTCGTTTGATCACTTGGATGGTATACCCGTCTTTTATCGTCATAAACATTGGGTGCAAAGCTGAGTAACGACAGATGTGGAGTTGATCATTACTTGTTCTAGGAACTCCAGAGAGGTTCAATGTGTGGGTGCATAAGGCTTCGCCAAGTTTGAGAATTTGGGCTTGAACCTCCACCACATCAGGCAGCTGGTAGTCATCTCTTGTTTCGTGTTTAAGAGCCACAACAACAGCAAGGTCTACGCCTGTTAGCTCTCTGTTCGGTTGAGCTAGAAACGTGACAGGTCCCTGTGAAAACCAGTCAGGGATTCTGTTTCCAGGCAAGCTCAGATTCCTCAGCAATTTCAAAGAAGCCTGCAATGAGATAAGCAATGTTTTAACAGACCTTTCATATTCACCTAATTGAGATTCTATAGAGTTTGCAGAATCACCTTGGATAGTCTTTTCTTTACTGCAAGGGAGCAGGTGGAGTTACAGCCACTCATGTATAATCTTTGCAGAGCCGTCAAGTGCTCTAGGCCTGGAATATCAATCACTTTCTCACAGTTTGTGAAATTGAGCTCATGCAAGATCTTCAAGTTGGAAAGGTTGGATATACTTTCCAATGAAAAGCAGTTTGCCAGAGTTAGCTGCTCCAGTTTCCACGGAAGAGGAGGGAGACACTTGAGCTCTCGGCAGTCATACAATGAAAGGTTTTTGAGATTTGATAACCCCTTGAGGCTAGTCGGAAGGCTGTGAAAATAATTATTCCCCAGATTCAGTATTTTCACAGACGACATCTTCTCAAGAACATCTGGGATTTTACCGGATATTCCACAACTACGAGCATCCAGATCCTCAAGCAACAAGAGGTTTGAGAAAGAATTTGGTACTTCTACAAAATGAGGTTCTTCACTCTCAGAGCTTCTAAAAAGAGGTTTCTTCAACATCTTCAATACCCTTAGATTTGAAAGGTTTCCAAAACTTTCTGGCAACTTTGTCACCGAAGTTTCCTGCATAAACAGATGGTGAAGAGACTTCAAGTCTCCAAATGATTCAGGAAGCCTCTTAAGCTTTTTACAGTTGTTCATTCTGAGCAAGACTAGGTTTTCCAGCTTTCCAAACTCTTCCGGCAGTTTCTCAATGCTAGAGCCTTCAAGATATAAGCTATGAAGTGTGTCCATATCTCTGATTGATTCAGGTAAAACCTTTAGCGATTTGCAGTTCCTCAACTCAAGTTTGCGAATAAAGTGCAAGGCACCAATCTCCTCTGGTAGAGTTTCAATTGGGGTCTTATCCAGCTGAAGTTGAAGAAGAGAATTTAATCCACCAATTGAACTCGGAATCTGTTTCAAGAAATTGCAACCTCCTACTGAGAAGTCAGTCAGACATTGCAGTGAACCAGGGCTTAGAGGTAGCTCTTCCATTGCGCTTCCATTGAGAAATAATTCCTTCAATGATTTGAGCTCATTGATAGTGTCAGGTATCTTAGAAAGGGATGCACAGTGCATCAAATGCAGCTTCTGGAGACTTTTTAGATATCCAATAGAATTCGGAAGAGTTTGCAATCCAGTACCATCAAGATATAGTTCTTCCAGTGATGTCAATGTTCCTATGCACAAAGGTAGCTCTTTAATAGATCTGCAACCCTTTAGACTAAGCTTTTCAAGATTTTCGAGGCGGTAAATAGATTCTGGTAAGTTCTTTATAGCAGTTCCATCAAGAAGGAGCTCTTTCAAACATGGCATGGCACCAATGTTTTCTGGTAACACACTAAGATTTGAACAGCCAGAGAGGAAAAGTTTTTCAAGACGCTTCAGCCCAGAAACATCCACAAGAAATTTAGAAAGATTTGAACAGTTTCTGAGGTCCAGCTGAAGTAACGTTTTTAGATTACCAACTGATCTAGGAACCTTCACCAGGAGGTTGCATCGCTCAAGAACAAGCTTCTCTAGGGCTTTATGGTTTGACAAATCAGGAATGGCTTCTAAGCTGTGGCAGCCACGCAAATTTAGAACCTTCAAATTCTCATCAACCTGAAAATCAGAAATATTTTTTTTTAGCGGTGAGACTCTAACTGAAACTATATACTTGCCCATTAGAAGAAATAAGAAAAGTTTACCCCTTTACTATGAATATTCTGGACTCGTCTTATTCTACTCTCTGAAAGATCAACAACAGCAATTTGCCCAGCAAGAAAATCCGGAGGGAGATTTTCTAACGGGCAACCTTTCCACTGTATCCACTTGAGTTCAGATGGGAGAAGTTTAAGATTTCCTTCCAGGTTCACATGATTAATCTGAAGAAGTCTCAACTTATTCATTGGAACGAAAGGCTCTACCCGAATGGTGATTTCATAACATTTTGGCTTTTCCTCTTCTTGAAATGGTATAAATTTATTCTTCAGGTAACTATACATAGATTTGATTCCCGGATTGTTCTGCAAATTCCTCACCGCAATATCCTCTGCACTCGAGTCCCAAGAAGTCTTCTTTTTGAAGTCAAATATGATTCCTTGGATGGATGATGTTCCCTGTTATCTCATTACAGGAAAAAAAGAAAAAAAAAAAAGATTATGAGAATGGGAGTTAAATACAAATGATATATAACTGTAGATATAAATACCTTCATATTGTTCAATAAGGTCATAATTTCAGTACGATCCCAGAATCTACTTCGCATTGTAGAATCCCCAGGAATTTCTATAAGGTCCATCTGCCTACCCATGTCTCTAATCTGATCATGCATCCAAAGAGTATTGTCTGCAAAGATCTTAATAAGAGATTTCTGTCTGAGGACACTGAGAGCAGCCTCAGCGTTAAACCCACATCCTTTCAGTACCTCAACGACCTCTTCTTTTGTCATTTGCATTCTGAGAAAGAGACATGCAATGTCGAGGAATACTTTCTTTTCTTCATCGTCTAAAGATTCGAAACTCAGCGCCAGCACATCCTTAAGATTATCTGGTTGGGTGTTCTTTAGCTTCCCCAGTTGAATTTGCCATTCCTTAACTCCCTTCTTGTCAAACAAAAGAGAACCAAACACTTCAACAGCCAGTGGCAAGTACCCCGATATCCGGACAATCTTCGTGGACAAGTCTAGTAAACTCTCTGTTGGTTTTTCCTTTCGTAGTGAATGATAACTAAACAGTTTCAATGCTTGTTCCTCAGTCAAGCACTGGACCTCATACTGTTGGGTCACTGAGAGCTTACTCAGAATCTCTTCATCTCTGGTAATGATGATTATAAGACTTCCTTCACCATACCATCTTGTTTCACCAACCAGCGCATCAACTTGATTTATGTTATCAACATCATCTAAAACCGCAAGAATCTTCTTCTCAGGTACATTTTCTTTGATCTTTTCCCGGCCTCTGTCAACATCTTCTATTTGAGGTACCAAAGAAGTAAGTACATTGATGAACTCTTTTTGTAGATTGACTATGCCATCTTGGTCTGATGATCTTTCTCTAACATTTTTGATGAAAACTCGATGATTGAAGTTTCCAATGATCTTGTTATAGAAGGCTTTTGAAAGGGTAGTCTTCCCAATACCACCCATACCGTAAATTCCCAGGATTTGAACGCCGGAACTGGATTCAACATCGAACATATCCATCAAATCCTGGACACGTGATTCCAGCCCAACAGTGTATTCTCCCACAGTCTCTGGTGTATTGCTCACTTCAGCTAAAACCCTTTTCACCACAAGCCCAATCATGTCATCATCAGCCGAGTCTTCTCTGCCAAATTCCAAAAAACACCACATAAATTCAAACACAGCAGTGACTTCCTAAATTCATTTCATGGTGTATGAGTACGTCTACATGATTAGAAATGCAGATGATTAGAGATGGGACAAATGGAGTCCTGTCCTACCTCCAAACAAATCCAGAGAGATTCCCAACTAATTTCATAGCTCCTCTCCATCTCTCTATCTTCTCCTCGCCAAATCGTTTCGAGTGTTTTTCAAAATCCTTCACAAAATGATCGCTCTGTTTGCGGACATGAGAGGGATCGACCTCATAAAAGATGGGTATCATGGGACGTTTCAGAGAAGCTCTCAGAGAACAGAGCATAGCTAATTCATCTAGGCACCAGTGAGAATCAGCGTACCTAGGTGATAAGACAACGACGGAGGCAGCAGAGTCCTCCATGGCTGCGACGAGACTCGGAGCAATCTCATCACCTCGTTCCATACCTTCGTTGTCGCGGAAGACCCGGACCTTCTCCTTGCGGTTGAGCGCGTCATAGAGACGCTCTGTGATGTTGTGGCGCGTGTCTTCGCCTCGGAAGCTAAGAAAGACGTCAAACTTGAGCCTATGCGGTTTCGAAACTACTTCAGTCTCCATATTTGGAATCTATCAACTCCAGTCTTCTGCAAAACCACTTCACGGTGGTTGATTCTAGCTTAGGATTCGAAATTATCACCAACGCCACCACTGACGGTGGTCTGAGAAGGTACGATGAGGAGAACACACACCGTCCGGTTGGTTGCTCAATTACAATCCTTGGCAAGTCGATGAAGACGAAGAAGGTTTCGAATTTGGAAAATCCCTAATTTGAGAAAGTTCTAGCTTTTGGCTTTTTGAGATATTTTGGAAGTGTCATCACATCACTGTGTCAGTCACTTTCTAATTTCCTTCCAAATTCTAATGTAAAAAACTAAATACAAGCAAAAGTCTCGCTTTGGCCTTGACATCGGGTCTGGACTCTGGAGACCAACGTCAACGCCTTTTCGAAACGTCGCGCAGTTCCATGATAAATAAGTAAGAACGACACGCAGTGTTATATTCCTTGACTTATTCTTTTTTACTGTTATGCTTAGCTTTATTGAAGAAGAAGAAGAAGCCAAGAGAGTTATTTGGTCTATTTGAGTTTGTTTCAAAGGTTGTAAAACTACTTCTCAGCGTGAATGATTAAAGTTTTAGATGAGATATGTATACAATGTCAAAGTATCTAAAGAACATATGATATAAAATGTTGTCCGGTTTCAAAAATGCAGAGGTTGCGTGAGTAGTAAGATTAGAGATGAAGTTATTGGAATCCATACCTGAAAACAAATCCGGATATATTTCCAACTAAATTCATTGCTTTCCTCCATCTCTGTATCTTCTCCTCGCTGAATCTTTTCGAGTGCTCTTTAAAATCCATCTCGAAAGGACCCTTCTGTTTCCGAAAAATCCAGGGTTCAACCTCGTAAAAGATGGGTAGCACAAGCCGACCCAGGGAGGTTTTCAGATGGCAGATCTTGGCTAACTCTTCAAGGCACCGGTGAGACTTAGCATAGTTAGGAGATAAGACGACGACTAAAGCGACAGAGTCCTCCATAGCCTCCTCCAGGAGACTTGCACCGAGCTCATCATTCTCACGTTCCACATCATCGTTCCAAACCCGGACCTGTTCCTTGACGAGCACTTCATAAAGACGATCCGTGAATTTGTGGCGCGTATCTCTTTGAAAACTGAGGAATACATCCCACTTGAGCCTCGAACGAAGATCGGAAACATCACTGCTCTTCATCATCTCTGATTCTTTCCTCTTTCGAAATCAAGTTTTGAAAATATGTTAATGACGGTGCAGAGAAATTCTCAACGTGAAGCAATGCTATAAGAATTTTGAAAAACATATTCTTGTCGTGACAATGGAGACTAGAGAGAAAGCGTCTTCAGTTTTTTTGTCGGCAAAAGCTTTATAATTTAGCTAAAGCACACAACAACAGTTGTTATGTTACATTTCTACGCATTGACTTTTAATAGGTGGAATCCGTCATAGCTTTTCTTCAGACTTGAAGCAGGAAGACGTTACGCAGTTCCAGGTTCCAACTTATCACAAATAATGAAAATACAACAAGTTACAACACTATAAGCAGACCATACAAATCGCAAACTGTTTGATTAATTTATTGAGACATTGTATGGGGTATGTATAAAGAATCTTGGACAGAAGCAGCAACAGCCTTGTTCCATAGCTTCTTCCTCCTACAACTTCTAATTTTCCACACTCCAGTTACCTGCATAACCAACAATTACATAATTATCATCCCAACACACTACATGTGCACTAATCCAATCTGCAAAATTCCATCTCATCAATAAGAGTTTTCTACCTTCTTCTCTGCAATTGTTTTTTTGGGTTTTGCTGACTTGAAAACTTCTCCGTGCTTTGCTTTCTCCAAAGCTTTCTGCTTTTTCTTTCTCTTTTTCTTTAGCCTTCTCTTGGTTCCTCTGTTTCCGTTCCATCTCCATAGCAATCTTCTTCTTCTCCTCTTCTTCAGACATCTAGATTTTTTTTTTATCAAAGTATCTTCTGTGATTTGTGGATCAGAGATGAATGTTATAGAGTACTACAAACGTAAAAGCTAGGTTAGTGAACTATATATATATAGGGAAGGAACACATGTAAAGAAAGAGAAATATGGAAAATCTGAATTTATAAAATATGGAAAAACGTACAAACACACACGATTTGCAAAAAGATTTTACTTTTTTATTAAAAAAAAAAAAACATGTACAATATATGTAATTCATTCAGTCATTATTTTTGGGTTTTGAAGAAGAGTTTAGAAATAAGAGGATTCCAGTTTCTTAGCTCTTTCTCCTGCACTCATCGCCTCTGCATTGCCTTCCATGGTGTAACTCTTCTCCTGCCACAAACAAACGAACATTACTTTTTCATTGCCCAATACCCATTGTTGACATGTGATAAAACAAAATTGACGTCCTCCTGTGTAAGAATGCATATATTAACTTACTAGCAAACGCCAGATGAAAGGAACACCATCTCTGACCTTTATCTTCTTTCTGATCACTTCCCTGGCTGCATACATTAGAGCCAAGAACGGTTATATATACTAAACAAGATGATTATTCAATTGTACTGAGACTACAACAAGCCATACCAGTGGAGGATTGGCCTGTCTTTAGCAGTAGCTGGCACCACATTTCGTTGAAAACATCTATCTGTTCATCTGATGCCCCGACAATCTATTGTTTATGATCGAACAGTTTTAAAAAGAACCATCAAAGGTGTTTGACCAAAACAATTCATGAGTTAGATGCTAGAGGTTTATTTTACCTTGTAAACAAAGGCGTTAAACTCTGACCCGAGTAATTCTAAAGCCTCTCTGTAGTTACCCCTCGCAAATTCATACACAGCTTCCCCCAGCTGATATGAAAGCAAAACTGATATTGTAGTAGTTACAGTGATAAGATGATCAAAGAGGGGGGAATAAACAAACCTGAATCCCTTTCTGCATCACTTGTTGTTTCTTCTTATTCATCTTTGATAATCTGCAAGAAGAACACAGGTTCAGGACAAATCCCGTATCAGTTAGAAACAGTAGAAGAAAATATATTCACACTAACCGGAACTTCAGACCCTCAAGTAATTCATGAGCTCTTGAAGTCTCTCCAACCTTTGCTAACGCCCAAACAATCAATAAATCGAGGTGCCAGTCCAAATACCAGTTTGCCTGACATGTCAAAGCAAGTGGTAGAGCAATAAAAACCTATTGAACAGGATAACTTATAACTGCAAACGACATGGATGATATATCACTAGTGCATGGTTTACCTGATCAGTTAAACGAACTGCAACCATTTTGAGACGGTCTTCAAAACCATCAAGAGCATCTCTTACATCTAAACGCAGCAGCAAGCCCAATGCATTGAGATAAACCTAAAGAGTTGCAGACAGTTGAATATTGGATAGAGGAAGCAAAAGCATAAAATTCTGAATCGAACAGAAGATTACTTCAGGAGGAACGGCATCGTCTTTCTCTAATTCTTTCCAGATGTGATGATCATAAATCTCTTCTACTTTACTCAATGGTGCCCCTCCTTCCAAGTAACAAAGAGCAACATGCCACCAATTGTGTGTATACCTTACAGTTTTCATACATGTTCAAATAAAATTTATTAGGGATTCTCAATGTTAAGAGAAGAGCTTGATAATATGCAAGGGACTTCAAGTAGGTGGGAAATGCTTTACATGAAAGATGAGCAAGGAGGCCAAGATTCTGAATGTTCTTCCATGAATTCCACTGCTTCTTTGAAACGACATTCATGTTGAAGAACATGACATAACTGAAAAAAAAATTATCAGTAAAGAACTACTGAGTAATAAGTTTTCAGTGGAAACTAAGAATATAGGATGCAAGTGTTTATTGCCATGTAAAATTGTTAGACAAACTCACACAGTGATGTGCCCATGCGTCTTCTTTGTTTATCTCATAGCCTTTTCTGGAAGCTGCAGCAGCTTCTTCCATTCGACCTAGTTCTAACAATGGGAACGCAAGCATACCATGTATGTAACTTTCTTCTTGATTCGCAGGTAGAACCTACAATATCAAGCAGATACAATCAACATTAATAGCCTTCGATAGTGAATCATTCGCTGACCATCAATTCAATAAGAACTAAATTACCTGCTGAACAAGACCCAAAAAGGGTTGAGGTTGACCCATGTAGAAACATAAAAGCTGTGCTCTCTTCAGAGAGACCAAATCCTTTGGGAACTTTTTAAGTAGCTGCAAACAACAATATGGATTCAAAAAATGAGACTCAAAAATGACAAAGATATTTAACTACAAGAGGTTTCAGAGAATATGCATGTGTACTTAGGACCTGAGAATCATCAGAAAGACACAGAACTTCACATTCCAAAACCAGAACCGTTGTATTGGTGCCAGATTCAATAAAATAACACTAGACTCTACAATAATATCCGAGAACCAACCTCGGTGTGCATTTCAAAAGCTAAGTCGTCATCCCTGTCCGCGGAGATCAGGTACGTAACAGCCTCAAAAACCGCTTTCTCATAAGGTGTAGATTGCTCCTGACAACAACAAAAAAAGGAATTAACCTTCACGAAATTACCCCAAATCCAAAGTAGAATATGAACTAAAAGGTAGTGGAAATAAGACTAACGAGATTGGATGTGGCAGCTTCAACATAGGAATTAGCTCTGGAAGGATCAGATGAAGAAAGGTAATGAGCAGCTAAAATATTGGCCAAAACACAATCTTTATCGTAGAGTGGTGCCTCTAGAATCACTTTCCTATTCCTCCCATGGCTAAGAACCTTCATTAAAAAAAACAGAACCTGATCAACAACAAGAACCACTGAGATAAATTACAAAGATAGAAACTTTTAGAGGGAAAAAAAAAAAACACAACAGAAGATAACCACAAGATAGAAATTAAAAACCCCCAAAATTAAGCTACATAATGGGTCAAAACGTATCAAGACTCATCAAAATGATCAAAACCTAGTTATATATCCGATTACAGAATCACAATTGATACATCATTTCATGAAACCCCACTAGATACCATAGAAAAAGAAAAAGAAAAAACCTCTTGCATCGATAATCTGAAGCTCAATCATCAAATTTTTAAATCAATTTCATGATAATCAAAGAGGAACCTGTTGAAAATATGAGTTGATTGCGTCGATGCAATCATCGGAAGAGGCATTAACTTCATAACCCCACCGAACACATCTAAGTGTTTTCTCCATTTCGAAAGTCACAGGCTCCTTCTTCTAGCTGAAAAATCGTTAGCTTTCGAACACTTTTGTATCTGTTCTGGGTTCGAGATATAAGACAGCGAAGTTATTATTGTAGTTTCCTTGCCGTCGTCATTAATCACTTCAAGTTAACACGAGCAAGTTCGTGTCTTTGTCATACGAGTGACGTCTCACTTTGGTTTTTCTCGCCTTTTGGATAATACTTCTTTTTTATTTTTAAAGTAAGATAAACAATTAAAGCCAAAGTCTTTTAAAAATGAACTTGTCTTAATCTAAATTAATCATAGGGAGTTAGTGACACACAAAGACAAAGACCAACTAATCACATGAGATAGAGAGAAAAATCCAAGTGGCCATCTGTTTTGGCAGATACAGATAACTTCAAACAAGCTCTCAAAGAAGACAAATCTTATTCATTCGTTCATTTATTCATTACCAAGTACCAACACACATTACTACAACTTTGGAAGGAAGCATACACATCACTGAACACTGAACTTCTTCTTTGCGAATGCTACGAACTCTTCAACAGTAGGCATGTAAGGCTTAACAGCTTCATGTGCCCTGAACCGCTCGGCCCATTTGATCAATCCTGGTGTTGTCTCTTCCCGGAGAAACTTGACGCCGGAAAACGCCTCGATCACGGAGATCGGACCCAAAAGTGTCCCACATGCAATGTCGAGGTAGCCGATGTTTTCTCCTCCGAAGAACCCTGATCCTTTACTGATCTTCTGAAACGTCTGTTCTAGTATAGCCAAACACTCCATCAGCTTTCCCGCCGCAGCCATTCTCCCTTCGTCATCTTTTGCTCCGGCCACCGCATCTAACGACTCAAAACACTGTTTCATACACTCATAACATAGAACTCTTGAGTTGACTATACATAGAAAATTTTGATTTTGTTTATGTCCTAAAGATTCCTCTGTTCATTTATATAAGATTGTTTGACCCATGTTTAAAGATTTATTGAAACCCCATATTTGTTTTAATCAGATGATCGTTTACATATGCGAAACAGAGCATGTGTAACAGAGAGCCATGCAAGTGAGTGTAAACTCGTTTACCTTGTCGTCGACGTACTGAGCCCAGAACCGAGCAGATGCGCGATCGTAAGGATGAGAAGGAAGGATAGAAGGATCGGAGGACCAAGCCTCATCGATGTACTGAACGATGTTGAGGGATTCACAGACGGAGACGTCGCCATGGATGAGAACAGGGACTTTCTTGTGAATGGGGTTAGACTTGATAAGGAGTTCACTCTTTGACTTAAGAACATCAGGTTCGTCTACGTACTCGTACTTGACAGATTTCAAGTGTAGAGCCACTCGTGCCCTAAGGGCAAAAGGGCTTGACCAAGAACCTATCAGCGTCACTGTATCATTCTGAGCCATGTTTTCTCCTGGTTTTATTGATCTGAACCTATTCAGGCGAGTGTGTGTTTATATAGAGTGACTTAGGGAGAAAAGTGGAATTAGGGGTCGTGTTTCTCGTCAGGTTAGTCAAAGTTGGCGTCTTGTAGAATCTTGATTTTTCTATTACTTTGCCTACCAAGTACGAAGTACTATCAGATAGTTTAAATGTTTGGATATTGTATTTTACTGTAGTCAAGAGTTCAATGTTTGACCTCTGCAGCAAATACTTATTGTGGGTGCTAACCAAGAACTGTTCACTAGATCCAAGATTGCTTTTGCCGCCTACATGTTGCAATATTTTGATTGCATGAGAGAACTATATTTGGTTACATTAGGCGTTATGCCTTTGGCCAACATCCAAAGCTTTTCATTATCTTCTAACATCCCATGCAAAAAAAACGACAATGTGGCCAAGAAGCTTTCTCCCTTGCTTTACACTAGGCAGCTATTATGGTTGTAAACCTGACCGCGTCTCCTTTACAAATTAGCCATGACGTTTACAATTTACCTTTGGTCCCTCTTAACTACCTATAAGAGAATGTGCCGCTTTGAGGCTAACACTAACAGCAACTTAAAACACAATGCAAGCAAGAGCCACATAGTCAAAGAAAGCCAGAACCAACCTGTAATCACTCTTAATCTTCATCAGACATTCAAAACCTTGATCAAATGATCAGGCCTGAATTAGTTCATAAGGCTTTAAACTCTGCCTCAGAGGCTAGCAGCTTTGTCACATTGCTAAGTTGAAAAATAATTAGGAGAGGTCTGGCATTGGTTACTGTTGTGAACTTGTGAAGTGTGAAAACTGAGTCCACCAGAGTCTAGCTTAGGGAGTATCGGGAAAAAAAAAAAAAAAAGAGAAAAAGCTAAATGAAACGAGAAAAAAGCCAGAAGTGGAAAACATTTTCATCATTATGACAAAAGCATTAAAACCAATGGATAACAAAGCAGCATCAGGATTTTCAATGTTGAAAAGCCAAAAACACAATGGGACTGCAAGATTTATTGAAAAGGGAACAATAAGCAGGAACTGAAGCAACCATGAAATCATTTTGCTTACAAATCAAAACAAAGTCAATAGCCTCCAACAATTACCAAGTGAACATGTAAATCACAAAATGAAATTGTGAAGAGCAAATACTGCACCTGTGTTTTGTGCATCCTGTCACACAATATTTAACAGTCAACGTATTCTTGAGGGTAGATCTTAATTCCAGTCACCACCTAACATTTCTATAAGCACAAGCTTCCAAAATTTATTAAAATAATCTACTAATAGAACACTACAAACATTTCTTTATAGCTTTTCCACTGTCTCCCTTCAGAAACAGGCTAATCAAGAAATCTATACTTTAAACTTTCTTCCAAGAAAGTATACCCCTAACTAGCCAAGTTTAGAAACAAAGCCCTAGCCAGGCACGTTTATAAGATCTTGACAAAAGAAGTTCCAGTGTTAGAAATCAGTACCTGAAAGGATTCAAAACCCTCATCTTGATAAAGATGTTAGAGAGATACCATACCATCTTGGCTTGTCTCGTTGGCGTTACACAGAGTACTTAAAAGTACAGGAGAATTTACGTTCTTCTCTGATTACTTGCAGTACCGCTGGATTATATATTGTGTAAACACTGCAAAAACTATGGACTTTTCAGTCAAAACTTTTCAAGAGCTCTTCATTATATTATATATATAGATACATTATATATTGTTTCTATATATACAGAGATCTAAACAGTTAGCTCCATAATCTCCCATCTGCTTCTTCATTTCCCTTTCTAACGAAAAATTCCAGAATCCGGCAAAAACAATGTTAAGTCATCTCATGTTGCAGCAATGGGGCTTCCCGAGTCTCTGCAGCTTATCCCACATGCAAATCATCTGGCGAGGCGACTGATAATGAGCAGTGAAGTAGTCTTCTATGCAACCAAACTGGCAGAATTTGAGGCTGTGAACCACTGCCACTGGTCTAGTCTCGTTGAACTTCTCCACCCACATTCCCATGCTCACATCTTCCATCTTAAATAACTGCAATAACCAAGAAGAACAAGAGCATTTTATATGTTTCTTGGATGGTCACCACAAAATCTTGGATATGCGTGAAGGAAAACTTACCCTTAATCTCTTCTGTTCAAAATCATCAACAATAAACTTAGCTATATCATATGACAAGATGTAACCCGGACCATTTGCGTATGGAGGATAATACTCTTCTGGCCATTCCTGGTTTCACACAATAAAGAAAAATCAAAATATTGTCTAAACACCATATGTTTCCTGTTACCTGTTTAGATCAACTGAGTTTCGGGTTTGCTACAAAATCTATACCTCGTATGTCACAGCCCATTTCCCAGTACGCAGAGGCTTATGGTAGAAATTAATGTTTCCAATATAAAGGCTCTCTCTTCCCTTAACGTTTTCTGCTTCCTGGATCACGGCATCCACTCGCACAAATGTATCATCGTCACATTTCATAACATACTTGGCCGCCACTGTGTTAACCTACGATTTCCGAGTTGAATAATTAGAAAAAACAATAAGAAGTAAGGGGAACACAAAAGAGCAAGAACGAAGAAATTACCCCATATTCGCAGATGGCAACCGTCTTGAGCACAACAAGGTCATAATGATCCATGTACGGTACTATGACAATATCACCAAAGTACTCGGCTTCTTTCTTTAGATCCACATTGACTTCCTTTCTTGAATGCTGCAAGATGAATTAGCATAATCAACAAATGGAATTAAACCAATGACTATATTCAGGTGAATTTTGTCTCTCATGAGTTGTGCTTACCAATGCCACAAAGAACCGGGCAACAACTTTGGATGATCTGACTAGCTTTTGCTGCATCCATGACTTCCTCACTGCCATTCTCTCTGCAAAATGGTTACCAGCAGAGAGAATTCCTATAAACAACTCTACAGGCTTTTCAGGTAACGAAGGGGCTTTCCATATGCTTTGCATCTCGAGATGCTTTTGCGGAGCAAAACTCGGATTTGTAGAGGGTAACGAGGCAGCATATACAGAATGCACATCAATATTTCCCTTGACTGCTAATCCAGTGGCATCCTCAAGAACAAACCCCTGAGAAAAGACATTATACAGACCAATGTTAAAACCATTCCATCAACGAATCTGGCAATTATCAAGCAATTTATATTAGTTTACTCACAGTTCTATAAGGGAAAGAAGTGATATGTCTTCCATTAACACTAATGTGATAACCTTCCATTCCAGCTCGAAGTGTAAGAACAAAAAGCTTCCCTTCAGCAAAAGGGAATGGCCAATCATGAGCAATCATCTTCTTTCTCCGACCCATGAGCCTATTCAACCACCATGTCTTCTTCGACTCATCAGAACCATCACCATTCCCACCATCATCATCCCTCTTCCACTTCTCACACTTCACCTCTCCATCAACTATCACAAAAGGAAAAAAAAACACAAACCAAATTAAAAGTTCTTATCTTTCTCATCAATGTGTTTTAAAAAACGAACCTTTAATATAAACAACTTCAACACTGAACGATCTAAGTCAAATTAAACAATAGTTTAAAGTCAACTCTAGTCAGACAAATCACATAAGAAAACATAAATTACCAGATTCGTCTTCATCACTAGATTCACGACCATCACAGCGTAAACTTGTGCCCCATTGCATACGGTAACAAGTGTTCTGCTCAATCACTGGCTTCCCACTCCAATCACCTTTAATCCTCGGGTTAAAATGAAGAATCCTCGGCGGATCTTCACCGTCAACAGCCTTCAATCCCTGCAGCTCCATCATAAACTGAGTCACCATCGCCGTCTTATCTCCACTCTTCTCAACGTGAGCCCAATGCGGCGTAGCCACAACGGTAATATGAGATCCCAACGTCAAACCACAAGGCAGAACCAAGATCCGGCTCCGGTTAACAAACTCAGACCCAGTAACCGTAACATTATCAGGACATTTCTCAATCCGGGTTGTAACCGGAGCTTCGTCGGGTTTGATTACACCCGAATCGAGACCATCCCACATTTGCTTCCCCATGGAAATCGCATGCTTCGCCGTCTTGTGAAAGATTGAGAATTCATCGCTGAATCCGCCATTTTCGAAGAAGCTCTCGTTGACGAAAATGTCAGAGACGGACTTAAACTCTCGCATTCTCCGCTCCGAGACTCGACCCACCGGATTGACCCGACCCGGGTCTCTTCCTCCTCCTTGGTCTTCTTCACCAACAACCAAATTTGCTTCCCTACTACCACCACTAACAACCATATGCCTCGGCAAGGCGTCAAGAAAAGAGGAAGATGAGACATCATCATCAGAACCGGAGACAGAGCCGGTTCTAAAGATGAAAGGGATCTCGAAGCTCATGCAGAGGAAGTAAAAGAGAAGAAGAGCTAATAAGAACTGAACAAGCCCGAATCGAGACTGTGAAACAGAGTTGTCAAGTTTAGACTTCTTCATTGCTGCTTTCAAGAATCACAAACCCTAAGAAAACAAATTCGGAGAATGATGAATGAATAAGAAGAAGAAGAAAGGGAGAGGAGAACCAAACAAACAAAGAGCTCACAAATTTGGGTAAGCCATTAATAACAAAACTTTTGAGTAATAAGAAGTTATAGAAGATAGTGAAAGAAAATTCAAAAAGGATTCAACTTTATAAATCTTGACTGGGGTGTTTCCAACTTAAATGCAAAGAAAATTTCGCAAAATGGGAAGAAAACAAAATAAAATAAAAAAGCTTTGAACAGAAGAGAGATTACACAAGTCTGTGCGTTTAGCGAGGCTTTTTTTTTTTTTTTTTTTTTATTTTGGTAACCGGCGTGTACGACGAAGATGGAAAGCCAGTTATAATTGTTCAAAACTACGTCGTTTTTATGGAATTGGTTACTTTGTTAATATTTGTGTGTGTTTAGTTAAGTTAAGTATTAGTGATTAAGTCCTTTTTATAAATAAGCTTTAAGAGAAGAAAGCTTATGATGATTATGAACGGTAAAACACACACACACAAACTTAAACGGTGATCATTGGACGTTCACATTGTTGTATTACAAAACTCCAAATTAGAATGCAAATAACCGCTAAAATATAACGTTATTAATTTGTAACATTCGGTTTCGGTTATATATTTCTTGGCTCAAATTCCATGTGAAGAAAAAATATCACATCAAGGGAAAAAAAAAGTAGTAAAGAGTTTTATTTGAATGATTAGAATAATGACAGCCAGGTGGTTTTCGAATTGGATGATACCAACCACACATTCTCAACATTTTATAATTCTAGAAAAAAACGTAACCATTTTTTCATATGTATTATTAGTATATTAAATTTTTGAAAGTTATATATTAACATGAAACCAATATTATATATATTTTTATGAGTTTTGCAATTAGACAAAGTGACAACGTCGTTTGTGGTCGTCGTGTCGGTGTGAATGTTAGTTTACAATTCCATTTATATTATTAAGTCGTTGTCCATGTCGTTTAGTTTCGCTTTCAAAACTCTCATTTCCCAAAATTTTCAAAATTTTAAAATTCATTTTCTTTCTTGGACCATATATACCACAGAAATTGTATACGAAAAATGCATTTTTCATATATATGAAAGGTTTTGATACATTTTTAAAAGCTGATTATGTTTTGCTGGAATTATGGGTTGCTAAATTTTGGTAAGAATGATATAACCCATGATTTGTGATCTGTAGCATGTGCTAGAAAGGTCTCTCTATTAGCTTTATTACCTATTATAGTTGAATTTTTCAATATGTATATAAAATACGAAGCGTAACTAATAACATTATGTGTCTTTTTAAACAAAGTTATTTGTTAGATTCAGTCTAAGTTAATTATCTTTTAGCTATTTTTAAGGGAATTCAAAACTGTGAGATTGAAGTCATTCAGAACTTGTCGCTTTTTTTTTTACTTAGACATGAAAGTTAGGCTTTCAGGTTTTTAACCAAGAAACAGTTGACCAACACAGCAACCAAACCAAAAAAAAAAAGTTAGGTTTTGTAGAATTTTTAACTGAAAATTTGGCAGCTCATCTGTCTTCATATGAATAGGATCAAAGTCAGAAGAGATCATTCAACTTACAAGCTATGTAATGTAAAAGTAAAACTACGAGTTATTATATCATTCAACTTCAATTTAAAAAAAGTTGACTAGTTATTGAAAGTTTTCAATTTCCAGAAAAAAGATTAGCATCAAAACTGCCAAACGAAAGTGAGAAATAATTTTACCCAAACTTTAAAGGTGGCACCAATTGACTGTGTGATACTATTGGTCCCATTGTGTGGAACTAGTCAGAGAGTGCTTACAACGTGTTTTGAGGAACATATGGAGACAAATTATACATTTGTCCAATCATGTTTATTTTATTTTTTTGCGATCGTTGTTTGTTGCCTTGTTGATTTTATTAAGTTTTTGTCTCGGTTTAGCATTTTTCTATGCTTATCTCGGCAGAGTTTGTATAACCAAACGGGCTTGTATTATGTGTCCTTTTATAGCAAATCTAGTGTTGGAAAAATGCGTAACTCTATAGTCTAGGTTGATCATAAGTTATTGTAATTTGCAGAGAGCGAGAGAGGAAGAGGCCGATGCCATCTATCTAGTGGTCGGATTGACCACATAACCGGATTTGTAAGTGACCTTAGAGACAGAAGATGAGACCGTCATAGGTACTATAAGAAACATAGTAAGTGAACCCAACACAAGTGTTCTTGGTAAATATCTCAACTCTTTGCTTTTCTTTTCTTTTCTTGAATCTAAAATTTCAATAAGAAAATTTCAACAGATGAAAAGGATCTTCTCTGTTTCTCAGGGCACAGAACTTGTTGACCTAACTAAGCTCAGACATCTCTATGAACCCAAATATGATTTGAGACATGGTCATGATCTTTTGAATTGTAACTAAAACCGACAAACACTTAAAAGTAAAGAAAAAATGGAACCCACCAGATGAATTGAAGTATACTGAACCAGGGATAGAAACAACTTGTGTGGAATTGTATTCACAAAAATTTACAAAAAATAATCTGGGGTCTTACGAGTCGTTTCTGGTTCGACTTGACGTGGTGCAGGATCAAACTGAAGGAAATTCTGCTCCATGTTCTCTCCAATCTCTAGAATCGCAGCCATGTTCCCACATCGGTAACAATAGTTAGGAGCACTAAACACAGTCACAACGTTCTTTTCCTGAAGAAATCATAATCAGATGTCAGTAGACAGATAAGAGAGAAGAGGTCCCCAGCTATAGAAATTTGGTATTTGCTTGTTCTTTACCTGACACCAATTGTATCCTTCCATGACAAGCTGATGAGCGCGGGATATAAGAGTTAGCCCGTTGGTGTGGTTAAACTGAGTGGCGATATCTTGTCCAAAAGTATATCCAGCTCCACGAGGAGATATACCCCAACCGCAACGATCATCTGGATCAGACCATAAGAGGTCACACATTGGACCTTCGTGTGGGACCTATAAGTTCTCAACAACAGAAAGATAATGCTTAAATCCAGAATCAATAAAGAAAATATGTTGCTTGTCTGGTTAACAAGGAAAAGAAGTTACCTCCTGAATGCGATCTAATGCTCGGATGTTGTCAAGCGTGTCTAAAGAAGGCGAAAGCCCGCCATGTAAACAGAATATCTACAGGATGAAAAGGTGATGCAGCAAGTCAAAAAGAGCCATAAGCCATCTAATGAGGTGGAATATAAGGTGAAACTCATGGGTTATACCTGACTCTCGACGAGAGCAGTAAGAGGAAGGTAATCAAAAAGGTCTGTAAATGACTTCCAGACATTTGCATTACCATACTTTCTCAAGCATTCATCATAAAACCCATACCTACAAAGGGTAAGCAAAAGAATAATCAGCAACCTTAACCCTTGAGTTAGCTTCAGAACACAAAAGTCCATATAGGCAAATCATGTCGACTAGAATAGCATGAATTTGAAACATACAACACTTGTACTCAAATTAGGAAAAAGAGAAATGCTTACACTTGAGTAATTTGGCGACTTTCATGATTCCCTCTCAAGATTGTAATTCTATCTCTATACCGAACTTTCAAAGCTACCAAAAGCGTTACTGTCTCCACAGAATAGTAACCACGATCTGTGCACATATATAACAACAACAACAACAACTATGTCAAAATTTGATACTCATGACCATTTCCTCTATAGAAAACACACAGTAAATCTCCCAATATCCTTAACCCAATATAGATTCTACAAAAAAGAATCAAACTTTGAAGTTGCAACTGTAAGGTTCCAAATTCAACAATGGTGACCATTTCCTCCAAAGCTTACAACTTCAAAACGCAGAAAGAACAAAACTTTAAAGTTTGAAGTCAGAAAAGAAAAAGAACGAACCTACATAATCGCCCATGAAGAGATAATTAGTATCAGGCGCAGAGCCACCGATTCGAAAAAGCTCAATAAGATCGTAAAATTGACCATGAATATCACCACAGATAGTGACCGGACATTTCACCGGTTGAACATTATATTCCTCCACAAGAATCGCTCTCGCTTGGTCGCACAAAGTCTTCACCTCCGCCTCCGTCAGCTGCTTACATCCCATTAACTGATCGATCTGACGGTCTACATCTCCGGTCGCCGGCATCTTAACAACGATGCTTTCCTCCTCGTACCTGGATTCGAATCTATCTACCTACCATTACTCAAAAAGCTTCAGACTTTGTTAATTTTTCTCCAATTCGAGATTGATAAAAGTAGAACTTTCACATGGACGAGGTCCACGGATGGATGACAAAATCACTTTTTTTTGGCGTGACCAAATCACTGTGAAAAGATCGATTTTTTTTTATTTTTCAATTTTGTTTTGTTCTTTTTGTTTTTTTATTTTTTAAGTTCCGTCGGAATTGGGAAAAGGTTTGATCATTATTACTCCCTCCAGCTTCCGGCAGCCGTGCCGGGTCAAACCCCATTGAAACGATGACACGTGGCTATGGTCTCTCGATCCAATTGCTGTCACTTTCTCTGTATAACTTTAGTCGGCCATAGGACAATATAATGGGCCTAACCGGCCCAATATAATTGTAACCCTTCTCTCAAATCTTTTAAGAGCATGCACACAATGATATACGTAGTTCGGAGCAGGTTATATAACACACTTCATGCAATTAGTTTGTTCCTCTTAGTTACATTTAACTATCCTATGTAAATAAAAATCCTAAAACTGTACTAGTAAAATTTTCACGTCTTCATCTGGATCTTGGTCCCAACAAAATGATTCAAATAGAAATTCAAACACCACACAACCTCCATAACCACAAAATATTAATTTGGTTAAATACAAAGAGAGTTGGTTAAAAATCGAAGAAACATAAAAACACGTTTTGTACCAACTAACTGGCCGATTTCTATCTCCTCTTTTGTCTTCTCCTCTTCCATCAACAAAATATCATGTGATTGTGTGGTCAAGCCAGTTTGTTGAAGAATATAGACCATGCAATTTTATAATCGATCTCTAACAACGTTTTTGGTTGTATATTGTAAAAGAACTAGTATTTAAGCAGGCCTTGTGTTTCATCATCACTTCATCGATACAAGCTTAATTATTATAACTGTTAGTGTTTTCTCTACTTATATTTTGTAACCAAGCAAGTCCCTCAATTGTAAGATGGAAGGCAAATTTGTTGTTTTAAGTGTGTTCATAATGAGTCTAGTCATTGCGCAAATTCAAGTTGAAGCAAAGATCTGTTGCCCGTCCCAGAATGCTAGAACTGCGTATACTGTCTGCTATTATACGCCAAAAATCCCCAATAGTTTCTGCCTATATACCACTGGGTGCACAAAAGTTTCTGACAATGGTCGATGTCCTTCGGGGTCTATATACAGCCGTCTCGAAAGCTCAGGTAAATTGTTTTTTTGTTCTATCTTTCTTTCTTTCTAGTGTTTTGTTCCAAAGATGGATTTCAATTTTTAATGCAAGTTGCAAGTATTTTGATTAGTGACTCAAGGTGGTAATGTCAATGAATACTGCAAATTGGGGTGTGCTTCCTCTGTCTGTAGTGCCATGACCACTCTCAACAACTCCGGTAAATATTTAGATTCCCCAAGATTAATGTATTATTATTGTTTTTGGAAAAAGTAATTAATTAATAATTCATTGTAATCTTGTTTTGGCCGGTGTTTAGATGGTAGTGAAATTGTGAGTGGAGCCGTTGAAAAATGTACCGAGGCATGTTCTATTCTCTGCACCAAAGGCTTTGTGAAGCCATCACTTGAAACTGCCTAAACGAGCATATCCACGAAGCCAAGATACCATATCAATGTCTCAGAAATTAAAGTGTCGTTTTTCATGTTTTCAACGTGTGTTGTTTTCCCTATTTTCAATAATTGTCAGTCTATTTGACAAAAATGCTAGACTCTTGTGTTAGCTGCTACTATTTCTGGTTTGTCTATGTTTACTATTTTCAGTTTGTCTATGTGTCGTGTCGTAGAAGGTTGTGTATCCCTTCTACATGTCCTTATCTAAATAAAAATAAGTATTGCGTCCTTCTTCTTCTTCATGCCATTAGTTTGTTCCTCTTACATTTAACTACCTTACGGAGTCTAAGGACATATCAGATAGATAGAAAGAAGAAGATTCACTGCTAATATCTTTACTAGTCTTATATGACTTTGGTCATAAGACACTTTTATGCATAATCGCTTTGACATAGGGCTATACTAGAATTAAGGCCGTCTATCAAGTTACGATTTGGGATGATCTTTTTTAACCAAAGAAAACTCAGCTGAGAATATAAACTATAAGGATAAATAGCTAGTAATTTAGGATTCAACCTTAAAAACGTTTTTTGGTTGTATATTGTAAAAGAACTAATATTTAAGCAAGTCTTGTTTCATCATCACTTCATCAATACAAGCTTATAACTGTTAGTGTTTTCTCTACTTATATTTTGTAACCAAGCAAGTCCATCAATTGTAAGATGGAAGGCAAATTTTTTGTTTAAATTGTGCTCATAATGAGTCTGGTCATGGCGCAAATTCAAGATGAAGCAAAAAATCCCCAATTTCCTTTGCCTATATACCACTGGATATTTAAAGATTTGCTATAGCATAGTTTGTTAGTGCATAAGACATAATACGAAAATTAAAAGATCCATCTGACTAGACATTGTACATGGTTAGAGAATGTATAGTGCCCAGGAAGAAGCTTTCTGTTGAAGGTGTTGCAGGATCAGATCGTCACACCAAGAAGCTAAAGCTTAGTGCTCATCTGTTTTCTTTACATGAGTTTTCTGAAAGTTTTGTATTTTCGGTGATGTGAGAGGTACATTATGTGGGATGTAGGTTATTAAGGTTCGATGATTTGTCAAATTGTATAAGAATTGAATAGTTTGTTGATTTGCGTTTAATATGAGATCATCACATATGATAACATTAACATTAACAACTCTAGCTATTAATTATCATAATTAACATTTTAACTCCCAATACTGTATATATCTCTTGCTAAAATCCAAAAAAAAATATATAAATAAATTAAAAAACAAAAAAAAACACTTAAAACCATAAACGTTAATTAGACATACCCCAATTGGACAGCTTACTGAATTTATAAACTAGAAACAAAATCACGTGAAGGAAAAGATCACTAGTTCTTAAATGGCTTTTGGATTGGTTTTCATTTTTGGTTCATGCAATATATTTTAAAATATATAGATAAAATCCTAAAACTGTAAACTAGTAAAAATGTCACGTCTTCATGTGGATCTTGGTCGTCTCCGTCACCAGCGTTAATATGTGATGGCTTCATACAAGATGATACATATCTTAGTTACCAAGTTATCTCTAACACGACACTATTGCTCTTTACGAATCCCATTCATAACTCAGGTTTTGACTTTGATCAATGTCGAAAAAAGTATTGTAATAAACAGACAATTATTTAGTCGTGTTCTTTTGATGATCGCTGTGTTAACTACACAAATAATCAGTGTATTTTTGTTTTGTTACTTAAAACACAAGATTGCAGAAAGTAACCTCCATATACGTATAGCCACAAAGGATTTGGTTAACCCCAAGAGAGTTGGTTAGCGAAGTAACATTAAAACACGTTTAAGTAATACCAAATATAAGTATATAACTAACTAGATCTCTATCTACTCTTTTGTCTTCTTCTCTTCCATTAACAAAATATCATCGGATTGTGTGGTCAAGCCAGTTTGTTGAAGAATATAGACCATGCAATTTTATAATCGTCTCTAACAACGTTTTTGGTTGTATATTGTAGAAAAACTAGTATTTAAGCCAGTCTTGTTTCATCATCACTTCATCAATATATACAAGCTTATAACTGTTAGTGTTTTCTCTACTTTTATTTTGTAACCGATCAAATCCATCAATAGAAAGATGGAAGGCAAAGTTGTTGTTTTAAGTGTGCTCATAATGAGTCTGGTCACGGCGCAAATTCAAGTTGAAGCAAAGATCTGTTGCCCGTCCCAGAATGCTAGAACTGGATATACCATCTGCTATTATACGCCAAGAATCCCCAATAGTATTTGCCTATATACCTCTGGATGCCAAGAAATGGCTAGCTATAATCTATGCCCTAAGGGATATATATATAGCCGTCTCGAAAGCTCAGGTAAATTGATTTTTTTTCCTATCTTTCTAGTGTTTTTAATGTTATTTTATTGCAAAGATGATTTCAATTTTAATGCAATTTTCATGGATTTTGATTAGTGACTCAAGGTGGTGATGTCAATGAATACTGCAAATTGGGGTGTGCTTCCTCTGTCTGTAGTGCCATGACCACTCTCAACAACTCCGGTAAATATTAGATTCCCCAAGATTAATGTTTTTGGAAAATAAGTAATTAACGAATAATTCATTCTAATCTTGTTTTGATGTTTAGATGCTAGTGAAATTGTGAATGGAGCCGCTGAAAAATGTACCGAGGCATGTTCTATTCTCTGCACCAAAGGCTTTGTGAAGCCATCACTTGAAACTTCCTAAACGAGCATATCCACGAAGCCAAGATACCAGATCCATGTCTCAAGAAAGTGTCGTTTTTCATGTTTTCAGTGTGTGTTGTTTTCCCTATTTTCAATAATTGACAAAAAAAATGCTAGCTGCGCTACTATTTTCAGGTTGTCTATATTTACTATTTTCGGTTTGTCTATGTGTTGTGTCGTAGAAGGTTGTGTATCCCTTCTACTTGTTCTTATCTAAACAAAATTGAGTATTGCGTCCTTCTTGTTCATGCCATCAATTTGTTCCTCTTACATTTAACTACCTAATATACTAATAGAGTACTCTAAGTAAAGATTAGATAGAGATAAAGAAGTAGATTCACTTCTATAAATCTTATATGACTTTGGCTATAAGAGAGTTTTCTGCATAATCGCTTTGACATACGGCTATACTATAATTAAGGCCGTCGATTAAGTTACCATTTGAGATCTTCTTGAACCAAAGAAAAAAACTCAGCTGAGAATTTAATCTATTAATTAGGATAAATAATTTAGGATTCAACCTTACAAAAACGTATTAATTGAAAGAATGATTTAACCTAAGAGATTTTGGAAATCAATAAAAAAAAATTATCACTATCTTATCATTTTATCAAATTTTGAAGACGAAGAAGAACGCATGAATCCGACGCAGCAGGCAAGGGCAAGATAAGATTGAGGTTTTAGGAGACCTTACAATTGCATTACAAATTAACCTAATAAGAATAATATTATATTTGTTTTATTTTATCTTTGTTTTCTTATTTAATTTTGTTGAAAGGTGTATCAAGAGGATAGTGATAACCAAACATGCATGTACTTCTTCAATAAAGATAAGGAGTCGTGACTTTTAAAGAACCCCTGCTGAAGATCTTTTGCTGTGGCCACAATATTAGGTTAACTCTGTATATCTGACGTTACATTGTTATCCATAAGACTTAGAAGAAACTTTATATCAAACACGTACACTTTTCTATTAACAAAAAAAGAAAATATATATAGAGTATTATTACTATATACATGTTTAGCATATGATTAGTGACCATAATGATGATGATGAACGTGGTATTAATTGATTTAAGAAAATTCAAAACTACAAAGAAAGAGAGAGAGAGAGAGAGGCTATTTTACACAATTTCCAAATCAAAGATAGGCGCAGAGACAAACTTGTTTCAACAAGTACATGACCGCGAGCTAGTTATAAAGTTAATTAGAGATTTGATGGGAAAACTGAAAACAAGGAAGAAATTCAAAATATTTTGGAGATAAAACATTATTACAACTAATTCATTTTCTGAAAATCAAATTAAATATAGCAAGTGTTTTTTTTAAACTTACAAGAGTAATATAATTGTATTAAAATATTTGAAATCATATTAAAGCTTTTTAAAATCTAAAAAGAAGATTATAGAAAATGAGTATGAAATGAACAATCATCTGATTCTAAAGGGATCGGATCGGAACTCCAGTTAACATTTACAAATGATGTGCTGGAGAGATGAGGTTGCTTTGGAGTTTGGATGATAGTGTCAAAGGTTTCGTTTTACAAGTAATTGTTTTTTTAGTTATTTAATTTTGTTAAGATATGTACGTAGAATTAGACAGACACATGTGAGTCCAGATATATTCCAACGCAATTTTTGATTTTTGATTTTTTATTATAACTTAGGAGATTTCTAAAGAAAAATGTAATTTGACTTTAGTTCATTCGAATATCCTACAAAGCTATATATATACCAATACCACACCTTCAGCTCTGTCCCATTCCATCTCTGTTAATAAAGATAAATCAACGGATCATCTAAAGTTTCTGTCAAATCCATATTTTGGTTTAGTTTCTTCCCGACTGATCAATATGAAGGCTTCATGTTGTGTTAGTGTTACTCAGGACGTGTCCATGTCTTTCAAATACATGGTACGTACGTGTGATCTTTCTTCTTTGGTTGCGACTTGCGAGACATATATATGTACTAAATTACTAATTACTACGTTCATGTATTTTGCCTATTTCATTCGCCTTCTCGTTTATAATTCGATATAACTTCGGTTATACGAAAATAATAGATGCATCATGCATGCATATGACAAATCAAAATGCAATTAATACGTTATATGTGGTTTATCTATATTTTCACGGTTAGCCTAATTAGAGTGTGTTTAGAGGCAAAAGCTTTGGTCCTTTCGTTTTTCACAAGTAAAAATGTTTTTAAGTTCATTTACTCAATTTTAAACCGATTCTATAACCAAAATCCACATCTAAAATTAAACCAAACTAACCGATGAAGTCGAAACCAAAATAATCACACTCTGTTTCTGTATTGATTAGCCGCCTCACTCGCAAACTCTGTTTCGTATCTCTCTTTCTTGTATCCAGAGAGAAGACGAAAGTCAAAACCATGAAAAGAGAAAAGGAAGCAGATTCGTTTACTGGGGTTACGAGGTCAATACCTCTTCAGATGATTGCATTGCTGCCATTAACTCCTACTCTCACCAGGTTTGTTACATTATGGTTGTCTTTGTGCTACACAGCTTCTTCTATGGTTTGATTCTTTTGACGATTCAACGTTGTGGGTGGTTTTGTAAATTTGTCTCCTTTTGAAACTTTCGAAGAGGATTTTGGTTGTTGTGTCGATTTGAGGCTTTCCCTTTATAATTGTTTTGCTTAAAGATGATAACTTCATGTTTAGTTGTGTTTTATTTTCTGGCTCATTATGCTCAAAGTTATGATTTTTATGTTTCATGTGACATTGTTCCTCGTCTGATGAAGGTTCTTGGCTATGGAAGAGAGAGGGAAGTGATTCTAGAAGCGCCTTTGTATGATAAAGATTGTGTTTTGGGAAACATTTTAGCTGCACATTACCTTACCTCTTCTGACTTTGCTAGGGCCAAATCATATCTTCGAGCTGCAGAGTCCCATCTTGTAAGTTCTCTACCTTTGATTTTCTCTTTTAGTAGTGTCTATGAATCTTTCTAAATGAATTAATGATGCTCATGTCTATGATTCTGTGATACTCGATGTGTTTGGTGTCATTAAGCTCTGAAATTCATTGGTTATAGGGGGAAGCCACGCCATATGAGAAGGCAGTTTTCAAGGCTGTTGATTACTTATTCTGTGAGAATATGGAAGACGACGTGGCTTTGGAGTTACACTCTAAGGTTAGGATATGTTTCTTGGCTTCTGGTTCTTGTTAGTAGTTCTTCCTCTCCTTATACTAATTAACGTGGATAGCTAATCTTTTTCCAGCTATCCTTTGGAGCAGTTTTTCTAACTCTCATAACGCTTTATGTTCTGCAGCTCTTGGAAAAGTTTCCTAAAGATTTGCTATCTTGGAAGAGAGTAGAGATATTGTGTTTCTACATGGGCCGACCCGATCTCTCTTTGCCTCTGTTTGAGAAGGTATGCTTGCATTCCCTTTAATGGTATCTTCTTATTGCTGTCTTTGATTTTACCTCACTGACCTTGCAAACTTAACAGATTCTACCGGAGAATCGAGAACAAGATTATGTTTACGGTATGTTTGCATTCCCCTTAATGGAGCTTGGACAGTTGGTAGAAGCTGAGAAAGCTGCTAGGAAAGGCTATGAGATCAACAAAAACGACTCTTGGGCTCATCACTGCGTGAGTTTCCAAAGTCTTATCATTACCATATTTTGTTGTTACTTGGTAATATTTCCTCTATTCACATATGCAAGCTTTCATTTGTATTTTTGGACAGTTGTGTCATGTTCTTCAGACTGAATGCCGTTTCAACGAAGCAGTAGAGTTCATGGAAGGATGCTCGGCTTCATGGGATTCTTGCTCTTCCCTAAGGTAACAGCAATTTCAAACAAAGTGTAAACCTCTTCTCTAATCATCTCTAGATTTCACCAATTAATAATCTCTGTAACATTTTACTTAAGGTATTCGCATAATTGGTGGCATGTAGCTGTTTGTTACTTGGAAGCAGGGTCTTCCATAAGTAAAGTGCAAGATATATATGATCATCAGATGTATAAAGAGCTGGAGAAAGATGATGCTGTTGCTACAGATGTAATTCCATAATAATTTTCATTCCCCTTTCGAAAATGAAAAGTTTAACTTCCATTAGCAATCTGATGTCTTATACTTGTACTATTAAATTTCAGGTTTATAAGGATGCTCTTGGTTTGTTGTTGCGCTTGGACACACGCGATAAACTAGATGAGTTTTTAAACAGACTGAAGATCCTTGCAAACTGTTTGACTGATCAAGTAAGTAAATGGACCTGATTCCCTTGTGTTTACATACATTGATTTGTCTTCTAAAAAAAGATTTGTGCAACTTCGATGTTCAGGCAATGTGGTACCAAGAGTGGCTTTTTGATATCACTACAATCTGGGCGTTGAGTAAAGTTGGATACACTTCGCAAGCACATGTATTGCTCGAGGGCCTCAAGTCCAGGTCAGTGCCACTTTCTATTTTGTCGCATCTTTCAAAATGAAACTCTTGTCTCTTAGCTTATCATAAGACTCCTCTAATTCTAACAGAACATCTAATATGGGAGAGAAGAAAAAACAGCTGATGCAGAAAGCAATTGTGGTATGTTCTCTTTTTATCTTTCATAGTTATTTATATCATTCCTTTGTTTGTAACTTTATATTACATCAAATTGTTTCAAAATCAGCTTGCTGAAGCTGTATATGAATATGGCAAAGGCAACTACAAAGAAGCTCTAGAACTGCTTGGTCCAAACTTTGACGCTGATAACTACAAGGTAATGCATATTCTTGCATCAAAAAGACTATAAATGTAATGCATAATCTTGCATGAATTAGAAAACACTGAAAAGAAACTCATCTCGTGATCGAATAGGTGATTGGGGCATCGGGTTTACAGATCGATGTTTTCAATGAAATGTGGTACAAATTGCTGCTACTCAATGGTCAACCATCCCTTGGTAATACTCCCAAAAAAAAACTATTATTCTTCAGCTTGATTTTTTCATTTACTCAGCTAACATTGCATTTTAAACAACCGGATTCACAGCGATTGAAGTACTAGAGAAGAGGATAAAGCAGAGAGATGGTGCTCCATTCTTGTGGCGTATACTGGTACTCTTCAAGTCCTTTACATGACCTTAATTGATGATTCAGGACAACATATACATATGTACGTGTGTGCAGTTTATGAACCGTTGACGTTTTCTTGTGGCAGGAGAAGAGTTACGGCATGGAAGGCAAGGCAGAAGAAGCTGCAAGTGCAGGTGAGAAAGCAAAGGCGTTGGAAACTTCACATTTCAAGCTTGCTTGATGGCCACAAAACGGCATGTGTCTTGTTAAGTGTCTTAGACATCATGCTTTGTTGAATAAGTCTCAATCGTTTTATGGTCAATGTATAAGTTGACCTTGTGACATTTCTATGTAAATTTGCGGTATGACCAATACTAATATGTACTAATAATTAATTCAATTTGTAAATTTACATTCTGTTGACTAGTAAATATATTATGAAACTACAAAAAATAATACATAAAGCATATAATATGACTAGGGGGATTATAAATACTAGTATTTTATAAGATGTTTGTGAGAAAATTCTACCAGAAGACCATTTATAAATGGATCTCGAAGCTCTCTCTATACGTGGAGTTTGAAATGTTGTTCAGTTCAGTTGCAACATGGAAATATGTCTACACAGTAAAAGGGACTTTTACTGATGTGTAACTAATTAACTATAATTCAAAAAAAAAATTGTGATAAGAATTTTTGTTTGACAATAACAATTTTACACTATGCACGAGCTTATTATGATCAGTAGTTGTTTATTTAAAAGAAATAACACATTTTGTATCTTTAATATCTTTAATCTTCTGTGGTTTAAACTACACCCTAAGTGGACTGAATTTTGTAAGTAAATCACAAATTATAAAAATAATGAAGAACTTCCATGGATAAGGCTGATCCTTAATGATTATTTCTCCCACGTATTTTATATAACAAAGCAAATGTCTACCTATTTTTTCTACTCTCATATTTATTAAATTAGTTTTTTAGGACTTGTAATTACATGCATCACCTAACTACAAGTTGTAAAACTTCCATGAATAAGCTTGATCCCTAATGATTTAGTCTCCAGTATATCGTATAAAATATACACTAAACAATCTTCTGTGTTTTAATATTGTGTAAAGAGTCACTTGTAAGACTTGTAGTTTACATGCATCACCTACACATACATTGAAAATTCATGAGTTCCATAAAACAAACCGTATTATTTGGTGTGGGGAGGGACAAATAAAGACCGTTTCTCTCAACGTCGGCCACATAAGCCAACGATTTGGATAAAAAGAATGATTAAAAATCTCAACTATGACATGTTGACAAACAAAAGAAGAATCCAACTCTTGTATTATTAATAATACTTTTCGCTTATCCAGAAGATATGAGACACACGTATGTAACAAGGCAATGTTGTGTATCTATCTATCTATGATCTATATATGTATATGTACGATACAACTGTTTAGAAATTGACCAATCTAAAATATTCTCCTCATGACTTTGTTTAATTTTGCTTTTATGTAGAAGTCATTTCTTCGTTATATGCTCACGCGCACTACGTTTTGACCGATTCATCATAATATGAACATTCTTGTAAGTTGTGGAGCTACGTTTTAACATTGTTTTAACCTAGCGGAACTGATCTATAATGTCACGGTCTTGATTCTTGATGTAATATAACCGATAAAGAACCAAAGATTGAACCACCGCAAAGTTAGACATTGTCTTACAAAGTCTTCACATCACGGACGCACATGACGCGCGTGTGGTAAAAATGTTCAACAAGTTACGTAGATGGAGAGAACCTTCGCAAGAAAAAAATATACACATTTCTTTAGTATTTGATCATTTACTTCCAAGTTTCACACATTGTTAAATATTCTATCATTTAGTCGTTTTCTTCATTTGATTTGTGAAATTTCTAAATAATTGCAACCTGCATAATCCTTCCGAATATTAACTTACAAAGTTGCCTTTTAGCCAGGCTTTTTCTGTCTTTAATTTCTTAAATCATTAAAACTATATAACCAAAAACAAAACTCCATCTTTTTATTCCCCTTCATCCACAAGAAAAAACATTTATTGTCTCTCTTCTTTACAAACCTCACGAAGAAAGAAAAAAATGGAGTTGTTCACGAAAGGTAACAACGTTAAGCTACGAAGCCACCTAGATAAGTTTCTAGTCGCCGACGATGATCAAGAAACCATCCGTCAAAGCCGTAAAGGAGATGCACGGCGAGCCGTTTGGACGGTTGAGCCAGTCGTCGATAAACCTAACCTGATAAGGCTGAGGAGCAGCCACGGTACGTACTTAACGGCTAGCAACAAACCGTTGCTGTTAGGTATGACCGGTGAGAAGGTGACTCAGACGGCGTCGTTTAACAAGCTGATGGATTGGCAAACGCAGTGGGAACCGGAGAGAGATGGGTTTCAGGTGAAGCTCAAGTCTTGGTGCGGCAAGTGGATGAGGGCTAACGGAGGAACGCCGCCGTGGAGAAACTCTGTTACTCACGACGAGCCTCATACGTCGAAGACCAAGAACTGGTTGATCTGGGATGTAATAACTGTTGATGGTTCTGATCTTGAGAACATGTCTGATGGAGATGATGAGAGCTCTGTCTCTTCTCCGGTCGGGTCAGAACCCGGGTCGCCCGCTTCCGTCGGAAATATGAGGAGTATTAGCCGGTTCGCTTCTCTTGGTTTACCTTTGTCTCCAAGATGGTCCCCAAAACCGGTAAGTTTGATTAAGTCTTTCTCTTAGTAGTATATCAAATTTTGCATTTACAATGTCGTGCATTGATTGATTTTTTCTTAATTGAGACTACCATAAAAAAAAAAGATTAGTATTAGTATTGTTCGATGAACTTAGACTTTTTTGTATATGTCAAGAAAATTTTAGTTGGCAAGCATTATTAACATGGAAAAGAGAGAAAAAGGTTGTGATTTACCCGTATTAGTATTAGTATCTAAAACGTAAGAAAATTATGATAAATACATTGACATAGTTATGATTCTTTTCTCCACTAACATATATAATGCTCCACAAGCACACACACGTACACATCGTTTCACCAACCTAATAGCACCAAAATGTTTTTCTAATAGTATATATTTATAAATTGTTTTTTTTTTGTTTATTTACAGTCTCAAAATATGACACTACAAACCCAACTAAAATTTAACTTCGGTGGTTTAAAAGAATTAAGTGGGTTGTTTACAAAAGATTAAGGCTACACCTAATGTTTGAAAATACATTTTTTTGGTTCATCAACAATAAAAGCTTATACCTAAATGGCTTAATATAAAGAGTTTGGTGCCACATAGCATAAGACAAGTGGAACAAAAAAGTAAGGTGAAAGAGTTGGTGTTAGTTATGATTTAGTAGTGATGGAGGAGCATGGTCCATGAAAGCAAATTTAGGACTAGGAGATAGGAGAGTCCCACACTCATGAATTACCTCTCTTGGTCTTTCTTGCGGGCAATGGTTTTATATAACATTTGTTCTCTACATATTCGTCTAAATCCATGCTTTATTGCTTTTATGGCATAGGGACACTATAACATTTTTTTTGGGTGGGAAGGGTTTATATAGTTTACCTATAACATTTTAATTGTCATACCACCTAATATTGCTTATAAATCTTAGATCAAGAATTACTTACGTTCACATAGGAACTCAAGTTTACAAGTAGAAATAAATTGAGAGGATATACACTACTTGTTTTTTGATGATCTTATCCTAAATGATAATGCACAACTATATATGTTTATGAGAAATTAAGAGAATTATAAAGAAAAAAAAAAGTAGAAAGTCACATATGATATTAAATTGGAAATTTTTTTGCCTTTCTCTATCAAAATTTATTAAATTTCAAATGAATCATTATAATATAGCAAATAAAAGTTTATCAAATGTATCTACCTATCACATCTTTTTAGAAAATATTATAAATGAATCTTAAATATTAGACATTGACTCTTACTGTATATATGTTAATATTTCTAATGGACTAATGGAGAATCTGAATCAAAACATTATGAATGATTGGAAGGTATTTAAATGTCTTTTACTGAAATATTTTTTTAGTGCTTATTGCATTAATGAAAAGATACAATACCAATTCTAAAAGTTAGAAAGCAAAAAAAAAAAAAAAAAAAAAAAGTTAGAAAGCATTGACATATATTTTTTAATCTTAACAAAACTTTAATAACAATCTAATTCTGCTTTAGTCTTGGGATTCTCGTAATAAACTTTTTTGCAGGATTTTGATTGGAAGTATGGCAAAGTTACAAAATCATAAACACGTGAAACGACGCGTTTAAAGCTCTACATAACACAAAAAAAAAAAAATGAAAATCATAAAATGCTGACATGGATAATAAATACGCGTTCACTCTTGACTTTTCTTACATCCACGAAGCCATAGCTAGTCCCATGTTCCGCGTAACCCGTCAAAACCCCAAATTAGACCAGTCGTCGAGTCACACACACACATATAAAAACAACACATAACCATAATCTCATCAGACTCACTCATTTGCTTCTCTTTTTTTTTTTTTTTTTTAATACACAGAAGATAACGAGTAGCTTCAACCAAAAGGAAACAGTACCATTAGTCTCAGCAATGGAGTTTTTCCAGAAAGCAAAAGCTGTTCGTATCCGCAACAGCCACAACAAGTACCTAACAGCAGACGACGACGAAGAAACCGTGACCCAGAACCGTAACGGATCAACCAAAAACGCTCGTTGGACCGTCGAACCGGTTCGCGACTCTCACCACATCATACGTCTCAAAAGCTGTTACGGCAAATACCTGACAGCTTCCAACGAGCGGTTCTTGCTCGGAGCTACGGGTAAGAAAGTGATTCAGCTTAAACTGAGCCGGCCCGATTCGTATGTTGAGTGGGAGCCTGTTAGGGAAGGATCTAAGATTAAGCTTAGGACGAGATCTGGTAACTATCTCAGAGGTAATGGTGGTCTTCCTCCGTGGAGGAACTCGGTGACTCATGATAATCCTCACATGTCGGCTACTCAGGATTCGATTTCTTGGGAGGTTGATGTTGTTGAGATCTTAACCGATTCTGAGTTCAAGACCGAGTCTCCGAAAGCTCCACCTCCGCAGAAGACGATGACGCCACCGCCGCATAGGAGACCGTCGAATTCGCCGTTGTCGGTTTCTCATTCCAGGACTCCGTCTTCTCTTTCAGACAGATCCGATTCAGATGTGAGTTGCTTTTTCCTATATTACCAAACCACCCTTCAGTTTTGTTTGAAATTACACTCGTGTCACTTTCACTTTTTCCGGTTATTGAATTTTTTTATAATTTGGTTTTGACCAGTCGGTTGAGTCTCCGCCTAAATCTGAGGGGCGAACCATATATTACCACATCGCCGACGAAGAAGGACACGTGGAGGACGAAACAACCGTTGGATACGCTTTCACTTTTAAAGGAAACAGCGTGGCGGAGCTGACTCAGACGTTGAGAGAAGAAACGTGCTTGGAAGACGCTGTGGTGTGCACTCGCAGTCCTTTAAACGGCAAGCTGTTTCCTCTTCGTTTGCAACTCCCTCCTAACAATGGTACATTGCATGTCGTTTTACTACCCTCCAACGCTAGCCTCTAGACTTTTGCGGGAACGTTGCAAACCAAAAATAATCGAGAGCTATGTGATTGCGATGTTCGACCCGGGAGACACTAGAAACGAGTGATTGAATTCTTAATCTTTAGTAAGCGTCGACATTAAAATGAAAAATTAGTAGTAAGAGTTTTTGATTATAGGAAGGATTTTTATAAGATTCTTTTTTTTTTTTTTGGGAATATAATACAAGCTTTTGTTTGTCTTTGTAAATAAGCGATTTCTTGGTAAACCAACACATTTTGGATTTTTGGGTTTTATTTGCATGAACATGGATTCGCCATAGAAAAATATCATTATTTTTGTTTCTTATAATTCTCTTTATTTCTTATGAAGTCCTATTAATGGAAAATTACTTGAAGTAGATTAACCAACCAAATCAGAATTATCATCATAATACCAAACTAACCAAATATTGGAACACCCGACCGGGTTTATGATCACGGGGTTTGAAGCACTGTCTGAGTATCTCTCTCTCTTATTAAGCTACCATCGTTAAACATAATTAAATTCATGAAGTATACGAAAACCCTTAAGAAGTAAGATCAAGTCATAGAAGGTGAATCTAGAATATACAAAAAGAGGAATATTACTATTTCCTAATATACGTATGATACCATGTACAGTTAAAGAGTTTTCTCATTTATTTCTGTATGTGATGTATCTAGAAGGATCCAGAATACAATCGAATCTAGAACATACAGAAAGAGGTATATTTTCCTAATATCCTAACAATATTGATAATATCTTATTTACAAACTTTTTTATTATAACTTATATATTGTTTTATTTTTTTCATATTTTTAATTCCGAAATTGCTTTTATAATGTAAAAATAAAACAATTAATTTTAAGAAATCATCTTACATGATAATTGCATTATTACATATCCTTTCAAACCATGTTTTACTTTTCATTATTGCATTTATTTTAAAAAGTTAGTAAAAAATTAGAGGAAAAGACTCAAAGAGAATGTCTCTTAATTTACAAAGGAGACTTTTTTTTAATAATACAAATAACTTATATCATATCAAGCAACTCATAATCGATAAATTATTATATATTTGAGAAAATATACTCTAATAAAAAATTATACACATATACTGTAGTTGTAAAATTTTCAACCCTCCTATATTTATTTTTGAAAATTTTTAGACGAATATTTTTACTAATAATATTTACAGTTTTTGTTTTGGTCAATATTAAACTACACTAAAAAAAATGAGGAAAAGAGAGTGACACTTAATTTGTAAGAATTAAGAAAACAATTTTGAACATTTGAATGACATTTTCCAAAGCAAAATCATAAATTAGTTTTAAAGGATCTTTTATATATACTGTATATATATATAAAGAAAATCTAAACAAATCTTTGAAATATTAATATGTATTGGACTTTCCTATTTATTTAAGATTTTTCCAGCTCACTTCTATTTTTTTTTCCTTTTTTTTTGTTATGGATAATTTTCATTTTGCGTATTCCTGGATTTATCATTAGAAAACCAATATTTAACTCAAAACATCTCAACCCAAAAAAAATCAGACGCTTCAGCTTATCCCATTTCCATTTCTCTGAGAAAACCCTAACAAATCCTACTCTCTTCTTCTCTTCCTCCGCCACCGCCGCCGCCGTTACTCAACGGTGGTGATCTTTCTCAGACGGTCAAATCGATCCTCTTTCATCGATAATCTACAACATGGCCGCCACTGCTTCCTCCGAAGCTTCTGAAGGACCAGTGATGGGACTCATCAACAAGCGTCTCCGTGCTCTCCGTAAGAAACTCAACAGAATCACTCAGATGGAAGAATCTGTTTCCCAAGGCAAAACCCTAAACAAGGAGCAAGAGGAAGTCCTCCGCTCGAAACCAGCTGTTGTCGTCCTTATTGAAGAGCTTGAGAAGCTTCGCGCTCCTCTCTCCGCCGCTGTCTCTGAGGAAATCAGTCTCGCTACTAAGCATCACCGTGATTCGTCCGATCCAACCACAGCGTCTGAGCAAAAGGAAATCGAAGTCTGTGACCCTCCTCAGGGAGTTAGCGGCAGCGATGATGGGGCTAAGTTGGAGGATCTGGTGAATCTCTTGTACTTTGGTTCACTCTTCGATGTGAAATCCCAGAACGAGTTCACTTCGATAATGTTGACTAGGACTCACGAGAGAGGGTGCTGTTTGTCTTACGATTACGTTGCTGATGATGCCACTGATCTGCTCGGAGATCGGGATTTGGATTCTATTTCTCAGCTATGGAGTCTGATGGTATCTCGCCCTATGGATTCAAGCTTATCTCACAAGAACGCTTTGGAGCGCTGCGTTGAGCACGCAAAGCAATGGTTAGCTAATTCGGAGCAGCCAATCGAATCGAACTGCAACATTTCATGTAAATAAACCCTGAATCTGTTTCATTATAATCTCTGTGTTTTACTTTCTCTGTGTTAATAACTTAGATTTATGATGCAGATGCTGCATTGAGAGAGAAGTTGAAGAAGATTATGGCGTCTGACTACTTCACTACTACGCCAGAGATGAAAGCTCCGGTTGACGTGGCGGCTGCAGTTGGGAACTACACTTCTTACCAGGTACCTGTGGACATTGAAGCTTCAGCTGGGCACTACCTGCAAAAGGTATTCACTTTTTTCTTATTTTAGCAGTTGAATTGGAGAGGGAAGTTTCATTTGGTCTCACGAAAATGATTGATTTCCTGAATTGTCTTCTTTTATATGTGATACTCTATATTTGGCTGCATTGTTGCTCGGTAAACTATTTTTAGTGGATGTGATGGGTAGAATTTTATGTACTCACTTTATTGAAGTTTTACTGGATTTAGACATACTGCACAATTCACGGCTTTGTGGGATCAAAGCCCTCACCTGATCTGAAGGAGAGGATTGTTATTAATCCCATATCAAGCTTCATTTATCAAGTAGTCTAGAGTGTGTCTAGGTTTCTTCTATTAAGAAGGATAGAGAAGTATAATGATGCAACATAAGGGTGAGATGTGACATGGGATCATTAGTAAAGCTGAGTTGTTTGGATAGGACAGAAAAGTACATGCTTAATATTCTAATCGCTGGGTACTTTATTTCATTGTTTCACTGTTCTCTTGGTTTTTGATAACTCTATCCTGGTTAAAGTAAGCTTTGTAGTGGTGTACTTATGAGTTGTCAATATGTTCTGTTTTATTCATGTAAGTGGTGTTTATAAACTGTGACAATTATGTAATGAATGTTGATATGTTTCTGAGTGTCTCATTATGTGATTTAGAAAACATACATCCGTGCCATGTGTTTTGAATAGTTACCCATTGTATGCTCTTTCTTTCTTCTGCGGGACTGATGTTCTCCATTTGCAGGAAGAAGACGCATCAAACAGCAAAGAACAAGAATCTGTTATGATTGAGCAATCTCTACAAGATGAGCATCAAAAGGTAATCCAGGGAAATGTGGACCTCTAATCATCTAGAAGTAAATTACAAGGCTGAATCTGATGACTATTTTTGGTGTAATTAAAGGTTGAGTCAGTGATGGAAGGAGAGGTGGTCCATGGACAACAAGAACAAGCTTTTACTCAGGTGGAAGGAAAGAATGCTAAGAGAGACTTTGTGCCTCGTGGATCCAACCAGAACCAGAGAGGTCGTCGAGGTGGTCGAAGAGGTGGTGGTGGCTACCAGAATGGACGGGGAGGTCGAGGTGGTGGTGGTGGATACCAGAATGGGCGGTATGAATCGTACGACCAATCCGGTGGAAATGGTTACCAAAGGAACTACTACAACAATAGAGGAAGGGGACGTGCTGGTAATGGTGGAGGAAATGGCCATTACAACCAAGACTCTAATGTTACTGCTGCGTCTTAACTTCTGCACCTCTGGCTTTTGAGTGCGCCTCTTTCGTTATTTTGCGTTTATGCTATAACTCATATAAGCCTAATCTCGTGTTTGAAATGTTTGACAATTGCTCGGTTTTTGTTATGACCTTTTCGTTTATCGTGGCCATCAATTTTACCTCCGACATGTGAAGTAGTAGATCTTTTTTTCCATGAGAGCTATAATCAAATATAATTTATAGCTTTATATTCGTATCCAAACGTCATGACGACTTACATTGGTATTCTAACATCTCAAGTGATCATGTCTTTGGTTTGGTTCTATGTCTAGAAAAGACATTTCCTCTTTAGTAACTTCCATCTGTGGACCGGCTTTGTACTGGTAACTTCTGGCACAGTACCAGAAATAGACAAAGTTAACCACTCCCAAACCAGCAATCAGATAGTAGTAGTAATCCAATTTCCCTTTATCAAGGTCCTTGTTCAGCCAGTCAGGCTGGTCTTTTGTGCCTGAGAATTTATGCACGGTGGTCACCAGCAGACTGCTCAGATAATTTGCGGCAGCAAATGAGAGCGGAAATAGCGAATTTGCTATGCTTCTCATGTGCTCCGGAAACTGACTGTTGAAGAACTCGATCTGGCCGATGAAATTAAACGACTCGCAGAGTCCCATCAAGATCAGCGGCAGAGCAAGCCAAAACACCGACATTTGTGTCCTTTCAGTAGCCTGTGTCCGCCTCACTCCTTCCACAAACCCTGCAGTGAACATGGAGAGAATGGCAAAGATGATCCCTATCCCCATCCGCTGTAGGAGTGTGAACCTGAACTTTTGGATTCGCCATAGAGACGGGACTAAGAGGCGGTCGTATATAGGCAGCCAAATGCCTATAGTGATGTAAGAAATGACGGTTACGGAAGCTGCCGGTATCTCAAAGTGCGGACCCATGTGTCGATCCATTTTCATAGCTTGAAAGACAATAAAAGTTACTTGTGAGGTCATTGCAACGATTGAGATTATCCCACTAGACCAAACCGGAACGACTCTGATCAGACACTTGACCTCTTCAACTTCTTGGATGCTACATAGCCACCACTTATTCGCTGGAACTCCTTCAGATGTAAGATCACCCTCTACTATCACCGCCCCTTTGTCCAGAAACCTAAATGTCGCCAATACATTATTAACTTAGTTACATTATAAAAAAACCCATCAAACTCCAATGTTTCCAGAAGACTAGAAGTATATGTAAAGAGTAAATACTTGAACTGGCTGGAAAGAGGTAACTTGGATAATACGCCAGGTTTCACTGGCGGGTCATAGTACTCTACTGTCGCATCATCCACTGCCGGAATCTCGAGGTTCCGCTTCTTACGAGCAGCCACGATGACTCGAGCAATACCCGAGAATATACTCCCTTCCGGTTTGACATACACATAAAACCGCATACCGACAAAGAACATGACCACGGCACAAGCCATTAAAGCAGTTGGGATGATAAAACCAATGACCCAACTAACAGTTTGTAAGTAGACCACAACGGTATGAGAAAAGATGAGGACCATGGTTAAGGTCAAGTAGTACCAATTAAAGAAACTGGCCATTCCTTTAAGGCCTTGCTCTGTTCGTTGGTCAAATTGGTCAACTCCAAATGGGATGCTGCAAGGTCGGATTCCACCACTTCCAATGGAGAGAAAGCCGAGAGCAAGGAACAGAATCCAAAGCTGGAGTTTGTTCGGATCGTCGCATTCGTCAGGACGAGGGTTTTTGCACGGTGGTGGGTGGAGTTGATGCAGGCACGCTGTAAGTGTTACCGTCACTAGTCCCTGTTTGGATTTTATCATAGATTTGGTTGATTCCTTCTTTACGGAAAATACAAAAATGAGCAAAAGTATAACATATTGTTTTTGGCTAAAACGTTACAATTATTTTGTCAACTCCAGTGTGTTACGGAAGTTCATTAATAGGAAATGGAAAATGGAAAAAGTTAACTAGCTAAATTTTGAAAAAATGACAACAAATGGCATATTTGCTGTTTTAGTCTATAACATAGTGATATATGTACTGTCTGATTTTTTTCTGCATTATGTTCATTTGTCAACATTAGGTCTTCTGACGACCAAATTTTTTTCCTTTATCATTATTGTATAATGGGAACCCACCAAAATTTACACTTGTTAACCTAATAAAATTATGTAGCTACAATGTAAATATTTTAACCTAAACCAAGTTAACAGTCAAATAGAGACTATCATCATCATTTTGTAGTCCAATTTTTATTTTTGGGTGATCAAGTATAATTCAACACTCAATTTAAACCTTATTTGAATGTAATTGTTTATATAATCTGTTAGAAACTATGAATAGATAGAAGAGGGAACGTACGAGAAGTGAGAAGAAGGATGCACATGCAATGGTCTTGAAGCGGCCAATGTAGGCATCGGAGATCAACGCACCGAGGAGTGGAGCGAAGTTGGTGAGACCCATCCACAAGTAGTAGACGTTGGAAGCTTCCACCGGCTCCATATGGAACACATTTCTCAAATACAACATCAGATTTGCCGATACTCCTACCGATCCTAACTTCTCCAACGTCTCATTTCCTTTATGATCTCATCATTTAGCAAGATTTAATCTCAGCAAATGAAAACATATATGTTATCCAAAGTATTTTACCATTTTTTATTCTTTCTTCTTGATATAAATAGACAGGTAACTTAAGTTATGTTGGACCGGCCGTTAATAACTATTTAATACATGCTTATGCAAACGTTTATACCTAGCTAAACAATAACTTGAAATGGTGTCCACTACATAAGTTGATCTTTTGAGTCCATTTCTCTTGACACTATTTTAATTTCTTAGATTATTGAATTGCATGACTCGGAAATGAGTTATAGTGTGCTCATGATATTAGCATGGTGTTGGCCACAACTACATGCATATTAGGAAGAAAAAATTGATGAAATATTATAGTTCTTAATTTTCATTGAAATGAACGTAAATTCAGAAAATTATATATATATATAGGGTACTGACTGTTTGTTATCTATATTTGTACTTACAAGAAAAATGTCTATTTATGTATGTATATAGAAAAGTGATATACTTACAAGAAAAAATTTTCTATTTTTGCAGTGGCTTTTTAAAAAGTGTTCATATTGTGTAAGTCTTTCTAAAACAAAGAAAGATGTAGATCACAAGACAACATTTCTCTACAATAACACCTAATAAATCGATTGAAAGAGATCAATGTATAGCGTGGTCGGTCCACCATAACTTATACAATGGATGGCGAAAGTGGTACTCGTTTAATAGTTTACCATGTTTATATTGTTTGGAATGGACCATATGTACTACGTATAAGGAAGGTTAATAATTTTATTGAAAAAAAAGAAGAAAATATATGGAAAGAAACGAAAGAAGAAATTAAAGAAAGAACATACCTAGGATGAACGTAATAGCTCTCCAACCTCCACGTTTTTTCTCCAACAAAGTTTTCCGACTGTTCGAGTCCTCAACAATTTCCATCGCGCGACGACGACAATGATTTCGAGAAAAAAATGGGAAGCTGCAAACAATAAAATATAGAAGATCATGAAACATAAACAAAAAGCAAAAAATAACGAAGAAGATGAAGAAGTGTGTGTATTTTTTCTCTTATGAAGATGAATCTCTAAAGTTTTAGAATATATAAAATATCATGAAGTTGCTTTTTTGGGTGGAATAGTGTGATCAGAAACAATATACCCTGACTAAGGCACGAACCACACACGGCACAAGACAGTAATTGGAAGATGAAATGAAGCTGAGGATGATTTCTCTTATTTATAGATATAAAATCGAGAAAGAGAGAGAGAGAGAGAAAGAACAAACCTTTTCTCTCAATCGCTTTCTCTTTCTTCCTTGTTCTTACGTACTTGTAAGTGTGGATTTCGTTTCACTTGTTATTAGAGGTTATATATATTGTGTGTTGAGACATATTAGTTTAATTATTGACACTTTTAAAATTAAGGTAATGGTGAGTTTGAATAAAGTTATACATTTAATATATTTCCGTTCTATGTTTAATTTACAATTAGTAATATTATCATTTTATTTTTTACTAAAACAAATTATTGGATGTACAATCATATTATCAGTTTTATTTTGCACTATTATATATGTTCTAGACAATGGGAAAACAAAAGTGCATGAACGTTAATAGTCTCATAATTATCTAATCAGTTCATTCTCATACAATTAAGCTTGATGAATATTTTAGCTCTCGGAAGATTTGAGAGAGTTAAATAATTAAATTCTTTTAAAAATGTAAATGAGTAGATAGATCTTAATTATTGACTCTTATAAAGTTTATAGTTCGTACTTCCCAGAGTTTTGTTCCAACTTAACGCAGTGTTGTAATATACATCGCCACTTTGTATCCTTAGTTCCATATTCCAGTGACGAGATAAATCTCTAGTAGACAGTAATATGGATAGAAATTTAAGAGATCTTAACATGTTACCAGAAAAAAACAAATGTAAGAGAATTATGTAATGTGAAATTCTTGTATATTACTACTAGTGTGCATTTGGTTATCCAAAAATCTACGTTTAATATTATTCTACAACTAAATTTGTTTAACTTATACGAATTACATAAAGTAGGTAGAATGCAATATAGATGACGCATGGTCACAAGCAGGAACAATGGGTGGTCTTGGCATGGTGTTACGGATAATCATGATGAAAATAACACGAATAAGAACAATAATAAAGACATAATTTGAAGCTTTGAAATGAGCCATCTTATTTGTATCCAGGATTGAGCTAGTAGGAAATATGTCATATTTTGAATCTAATTCAAAAGAACTGGTTCATCCAATTCAAGAAGAAGGATAAGATATGGCATAGTCTTAAGCCGGTTTCTCAAAATATATACAACTTGTCCAATTGCATGTGTGTTTCATCGATAAAAACAGTGCCGACTTATATATAATCCTAAGTTGTATTTTGTAAATAAGTATTGTCTTGGTTAAGTTTGAACTGTGCCAAAATAATTATATATCCAGCTCACATTTTCTATATCATAAGAATTATTATTAGAGCCATACAAAATGGGTTTCTTCTCTTTCGATCAATGGCTCTTATTTTCTATGTATTTTAGGCAAATAAAATATTTGCGGTCTCTTTTTCATATCTAGTAAAAGCTTTTTTGGGACTTTCTTGATTGAGAGATATTTTCTAAAACTTTGGCATGGATTCTAGACCGCATGGCCTAATCTCCTTTTTGCCACCCCAATCGAGTCTATGACATAAATTTGTATATGATTAATCGACAAATCATTAGTTTTTCTCCCGAATTCAAGATACTTTATAATATGGGTTCATTAGTCGTCGATGCATGTCGAAATAAACTGTAATAATAATACGTCAAACTTAATAGAACCAAAAAATGAGAGAATCTAAAGAAACTTAACCGCAAGATACCTCTTCTACTTGATGATGATGATTCGATTAACGTCCGAATAAAGCATCCTCCTTTTTTTTTCCTTCTTTCTTCTTTCCGGATTGGTTCTTGTGCGGTCACTCACATGCCCTCATTTAGTTTCTTCTTCTAACCTGAGCTAAGCTAGCTGGCTCTGGCTGATTCTGAATTCTCAGTTACGACGGTGTCACGTTTTCCCATAGGTTTTATTTTTGTTCGTTGCTTGACATCTCCTCCATCCACACTTTGTTGTTTGATAGAATCCCCTAACCCACACAAAGTGTTCGACGAAATGCTCCAACCATGGTCTCTCTCTACTCCGGCCCCATTTCCTCTTTTGCTTCTCGCAATTCGATGATTGATTCCGATACCCTTTTGTCTCTTTCTTCTTTTTGTTCAACCTTTAATCCCAATTACAAGGCCAAAACTTGCGTACGATTCCCCGGGAAAGGTTGTGGCTTTACTGTTCTAGGGTTTTTCGAGGTCAAGCCGAGGAAGAAAGGTTGTTGCTCTCGGTGTAATAATAAGCCTAGTTTGGGTTGGGATAGCGATGGGAGTAAGGATCTTGAATCGGAGATTTTGGAGTTTATGGAGAGCTCTGAGAAACCTGGCATGTTTCCGAGTAAGAAGGATTTGATTCGTTCTGGAAGGTTTGATCTTGTTGAGAGAATTGTTAACCAAGGTGGATGGCTTTCAATGGGTTGGGATTTGGATGGACAAGAAGAGGAAGAAGTCAAAGAAAATGTCAAGCCTTGGGATTTACATACTGAGAAGCAGCTTCGTAATCCTTATTCTCAAGAGATTGATGGAACTTTGAGTCATGGTGCTCTTGATTCTTCGTCAATTCCTTCTTCATCTTTAAGAGAGTGAGTCATTTAATTTGCTGTTCTTCTCTTTGGTATTTCATTCCCTAGAAACATATCTTCTAGAATGTTAACATAGGTTCTGTTTTATCAGAGAAGTAGATGCTGGTAACGATAGTGGAATTGAAGGCATTTTGACCAGATTGGAGAAAGAAAGGAATTTGAGTCTAGGGATTAGCTTGAGGGAGAATGGGAAAAGCAATGGTGCCATGGCTGATATCTCTCCAAATGGTTCAGTTCCTTGGTCTTCCAGGATTGTGGTATGTTTTTTTTTTTTATCTGCAATATTTACTATTCATTGCACATCATATAATCCAGATGAAAAATTTGTTTATGTTGTGAGATCTTCTTGCCTGCTTTTTCCCAAAAGACAGCTAGTGAAATTGAAGAAGTTGAAAGTAGGAGAAGTTCAGATGAATCTGCACAAAATAGGTATCAAGAAACCAGTTCGGTTTCAGGAACTCAAGGCTTAACCAATTCGCCTACATCAGAAACATGGAGGACATGGAGTATGAAGAGAGCTGGATTTACTGATGAAGGTTTTGAAGGTATGGAGTGACTTCTGTCTTCAGCCATACAAAGATTTAATACAAAAGTGGTTCTGAAGCCTTGATACATATATATCGTACAGCTGCTGAAATTTCTCCCAGTGGTTTGGATGGTGTGAAGAAGGGTAATGCGAATAAGGGTACTAGTGATAGCATGAATGGAAAAGACAGAACTGCATCTTCCCCAGAAGATGTAAATAAAACTCATATCAAAAGCCGTCTTCAACTTCTCCAGTCAGAACTTTCTTCTGTTCTCTACTCCCTTAGATCTCCTCCTGGTGATGTTGTGACAAGTAAGGTAATTGTTTGACCAGATGGCACCTAAAATCATATTTCTATTAAAATAGAAGCGATTGCGATTTGGCTTATTTTTGGTTTATGATTTCATTTAGGATAGTGAGATTACTTCTGGGAACTTGGAGAACCTTTCTGATGATTGGGAGTTCAAAGAGAATGAGATCATACATGCCCAAAATAAGTTGCGGTCTACACGAGCAAAGTTGGCAGTTCTTGAAGGAAAAATGGCTATGGCTATAATGTATGCTTTGCTCATTACTTTTGTTGAAAAAGATAAGAGGATTAATGGCTATGGCTATAATGTATCTCATTGGTTAATTTTGCTTTTCTTCTAGAGATGCACAGAGGATTGTACGGGAGAAACAGAGAAGAATCGATCATGCTAGTAGAGCTTTACGATTACTCCGAACCGCATCCATAGTATGGCCTAATTCAGCCTCCGAAGTTCTATTAACGGGTTCATTTGACGGTTGGTCTACCCAGGTCAGTTCACATCGATTATATGATTAATCTTGTTACAGGAAATTAAACTGCTTCATATCTGGTGCTCCATTGAATTTGACATCAAGCTATCAATTTAGGAATTGTATTGCTCTCTTTTGATGTTTTTGTTCCTAAATTGATATGATTTTACAACCAGAGGAAGATGAAGAAAGCAGAGAACGGAGTCTTCTCATTGTCTCTAAAGCTATATCCTGGAAAATATGAGGTCAGATTATTCAGTTAACTCAGTATCTGCAACCATCATTTTTCCCGTTCATGAGGAAAACCAAAATCTTAACTTTGCTAAATTTTACTCACAGATAAAGTTTATAGTTGATGGCCAGTGGAAAGTTGACCCGCTTCGACCCATTGTTACATGTGGTGGATATGAAAACAATCTGCTAATCATCTCTTGAGGTCAAAGGCAACAACATTTCAGAACTAGTCCCACCATTGATGGAGCATGAGCTGAATCAGTAGGGTTTTAGGTTCTTTTGGGATTTTCACTTTCATGTAGGGTAAGGTACCAAGGAAGCAGTAGAACTAGGTTTTATCTTGACAAAACAAGAAGTAAGAAAGATTTGTATATTGTACTAGTATGACCACTGTTTTCTTCTGACAAGAGTCGCAAGACTCATGTAAACAATTGGCTTCTTGCATTGTACAATTTTACACACATAAGATGTCATACATCCATTTCTATGATGAGGTTGGTGAAGAATTAAGCTCTTGTTTCCGCCTTACTACATAAGTAAATCCACTTCCACAATATACTTCTATCTCTTTCGTTTGCAGGTATGTACTTCCAAGGCTCACCAGTTGAGGGTTGGTCTGGTCACTGGTGTTTCCAAGGCCTAGCTGACCATGTTCACCCCATCCCCATGTCTTAACTTCTCCATTTTCTGCAACAGATATTCACATGGGGTATGTTTTATATGGAGACGAAGTCTGAACAAAAATGCTATAACAGAATTGTCCTCTCCATTTTTTACCTGTTACTGCAGCAGAATGCTCTGCACCTGCTGAAATTTTCAGAACTTTTACTCCATCAAAATACGGAACTTTCACAAAGGGAGCTTCAGAGGAATCTGTATGCAGTTTTTGCTTCTCATGTTGTTTATTAAGGGTATTACCAAGCTTGAAAACCTCGCCATCAACTGTTCAACAAGTCCACAGACAGATGAAAATGGGTTCAGTGAGCTCTAGAAGGTAATTAATGCATACACGCAGAAATTACCGGTTAGTAGTAAGGCATGATTCCACCCTAAAGCAACAACTCTGAAAGATAGAGATGAAGGCAAACACTGTGGGGTTTGAACATCCGGACTGCCGCAGAATCCTCTTCCCCAACTGAACAACTGACCGTCAGCTGGCCAGGCACATCCGAAGACAGGGATTAACAAAAGATACACAGAACTCGATTAAACAATGAATCAGAACGTGAGACTTGAAAGCTTACCAGATATAGCTGCACTGTGATCTCCGTTAGCTGATATACGAACAACCTCAACATCTTTTAATCCAGGGACAAGACATGGAAGATTTACTGACTTTGTGCTGTCTGATGAGAAACCTAACTGTCCGCGCTTTCCGGATCCGAATCCACACACTTGATTCCCTGAAGAAGACTGGTTAAATCAAATGTAGAAAAACACAAGACTTAACAGTTCTCTTGGCAAACCTGTGATGTATATTCAGACGTTACCTGTGAACAAGACAAGTGAATGGCGCATACCGCAAGCTACCATCTTCACACTCTTATCAAGAAAGTAAGAGACTTTAGTTGGAGTGCTTAGCGACATATTATCACCATGACCAAGCTGACCAAATGTGCCATTGCCACATGTAAAAAGACAACCAGAATCTGCAACGACACACAATACAAAACGGAGATAGATCAATAATCTCTTGTTCCTAAAAGTAGTTGGAAAAATCTATTAATGTTTTACCTGAAACAAAACCAGAATGACTCCATCCAGCTGCAGCTTGAATTATAACACAGTCGTCAAAGAAAGATACAGGCTTTGGCAAAGAGGTGCTGAGAATGTCACCATGTCCTAACTGACCAGAGCTTCCTCTTCCCCATGTAAAGACCTTACCACCTGCAAAAACGCATAAAGTAGTCAACTTACCTGACATAACCAACGACATTCCTATAATCAGAGATTTTAAGGTTGTTTTACCAGAAGTCAAGGCGATGACGTGAGCGCCGCCACAGGCGAGCATCGATATGGAAGGAAGTGAAATCAACGAGAGAAGCTGAGGGAGATGCTCGTCTTGTAACTTGTCCGTCCCTAATTGGCCGTCTGTGCCAGCTCCCCAGCTCCATACTTGTTCTTCTTCATCTGCTGGTGTCCCACCGTGTTCGGCCATTATCTCGACCCCCTCTGACGAATTTATCGGTAGAATCAATATAGAATCTGGGTTTCTTATAATTGATGGTTCGCTCGGAAACACCGTGATTGAAATCTTTCCTGGTCGTGTCACTTTCTAACAATCGGACAAATCCTCCACGGCCTGGTCGCGAACAAAAGTGGCTGAAACGATGCCATCGAGAGTTTAAGTAGGTTTTTTTGGGAACTAGATTTTAGCAGGGAATCTTAAAACCCGAGTTGTTCAATTCAAGTGAAGCCGACAGAGACTTTTGACTGGTTGACTTGGTAAATATGTTATTAAAAAAAAAAAAAAAAAAAAACAGAACTCAACTCATTTATAAAGTAAAGAACCAAACTTTACACACATGCGATTAACAAGAGCGTTTGCTAAATTCATATAACATACACACATTTTCAAAGAATCAAACTTTTATCAGAACTCCCAAAATACAAAGTTACTACAATTTGGTACTTGGATCCTGTTAAAGAATATCATCGTAAGCTACAATATCTCTCTGTTTAATTTCCCTTATCCTCGCCGGAGTTCCACCACCGATGATCTCTCCGTCGTTAATATTATTACTTCTCGGGTTCACTATAGCTGATGCTAATCTATTACTTCTCCCATGTTTTCTTAGTGGCATCACAGGCCTAACAAGCTTAGACGAAGACGACAGAGACGGTGTCGTTTTATCCTTTCCTTCTCCCACCGTCACACCTTCCCTCCACTTCACCAACGGATCCGTCGCCCAAACCACCTGCAGCTGCAATACACACACAAGTACCCCTTTGACAAAACCCAAATTTTACAACAGATGATCTCATAAAGTGTTTTCATTTTAGTTACCTTTTTTGAATCGATTGAGATACCAAAAGAAGGCTCGTGGCTACCAGCAATGGCAGCTTCTGCTGACTCGGCGGTGCGGTATGAAACGGATCCGTACCCGTCTTTGTCGATTCGGATTCTGGAGATTGAACCGTAGATCTCGAATCGAGATTTCAGTTCTAAAACTGAACAGTTGGCGGGAAGTCCCATAACTACCAGCGCAGGTGGCGGCGGAGGTTTTCTGGTCGGTTTATCGATGATCTCATCTTGTTCCGATGACGGAGGTGCCCATGGTCGCCGGCGTTTTGAAATTCGCGCCGGTGTTGTGCTGTACGTGTAGGTTTGGTCTCTCTTGCGGCGGCTCGTCATACTCGTGTTACTTCGCTGAGTCCTTCCAAAAAATTTCTACGTTTTCAGGAATTAAATTGGGTTTAAGCTAATTGGGCCGAACTAACATAGCCTCAAGGCCCACTTAGTAACTGGACTGAACATCCGAGCGTGTGATAAAGAGACAAATCAGTGGGTGGATCCCACGAAATCTATATACTCTTATATTGCCACGTGTCGTTAAATGATTCCGACAACATTTACATGTCTGCAGTTTGTTAGATCTTGCTGACGTGATCGAATGTGAAAAATAATTGGATCTGAGTCGTCTGATCTGATCCGTGCAACTGGCTATCACAGCTTTGTTTGAGTTTTGAATTAAGACTTGTGTAAAAGTATTAATTATTGTGTTATAGTATTAATTATTACTGTTATCATATATTCATATCATTTCTCTAGTCATTGAAATATATAACTTACAAATGCAATTGAATTTTTTTTTATTCAATCCATGACTACTTTTTTGTTATCACAGAATATAAACCTTAAAGATAAAAAAGAGACATATCTTGAGTCATGCACACGGAATATAGATATTATACTATTACAGCCATATTATACTATTATAGCCTTAGATTTGATGAGGTTAAGGTTGGATCATAATAAAATCCAAGAGCTGCAAGCTCAGGGAAACTGTATTGATTTCCCACACCATCTTCTTCCTCACTGTACTGCGTGTTATAGCTTTTCATCGAGATACCGTTTTCCCCAAGCTTCTGTGTTTCAAGTTTCTCTTGCATTCGCAGCTTCTCTTTGAGAAGGGAGACCTGTTTGAATGTTTTTATCAGTTTTTTTAACATAATGTCTTACACAATTGGCTTGTTAATTTACAAAAATGATGATGTACCTTGTTCTTGAGGGTTTGGTTTTGTGAATAGAGAATGTCCCAGTCAGTTTTAAGCTTAGTATAGCTAGCTTTAAGGGAGTCACAGTCGTGCTCAAGCTGTTTTGTCTTGTATCTAGCCCTTCTGTTTTGGAACCAGACAGCGACTTGGCTTGGCTTCAGCCCTAGCTTCTCGGCCAGCCAGAGTTTCCTCTTTGGTTCGAGTCGTTTATCTTCTTCGAAACTCTCCTCTAGTAAACGCAATTGAATTGGTGTCAACTTCCGTGTCTTGGTTATTTCACGCAACACGTGGCTCTCACATACGCCTTCTTCGTCCACCGTGTTAGGCTCACTGTTGCTCATTGAGCTAGATCCTGAAATTAAGAAGAGAATGAGGAATGACACAAATATTTATCAAAAAATTGAAAAATATTATAGTAGAGATCAATCTGTTCAACGTCACATGATGAGGTTTTTCAAAGACGTTCTTACTATATTTTTCAAACTCTATTAAAATGAAAGGACTGTATTTTAATCTAAGTGGCTACGGTTTGGGGGTAAAGATTCGTCAAAGGTATAAAGAAACTGCGTTTTGAGTAAACGCACGAAACAAAGGAAAAAAAAAAAAACAAAATCTTAAGAGTTGTGCAACAGGGATATATATACCATGATAGGCAGTGTGAGAGCTCGGAGGGAAGCAAGAAGGAGGAAACTTATGGCTGTGGCTTTGGTTGTGAAACCAAAAGAAAACTTCTGAATCATTGGTGTCTGAATTTTCCATTTGTAACTTTCATAAATGAAATGTTGAGTCAATTACTGCAATTGTTGGGACTACTAAGATAAGAGTCACCTTTTATAAAGAAGAAATTGAAGGATGAAGAAACATAAAAGTCTACAAGAGAAAGAAAAAAACGATTCCTTTTGCTAGTTTAAGTGTCTGGTAAGAATAAGGAGACGAAGATGCTGTTTTGCCATAATAGGGATTATACTTGTGGTTTATATTTTTCTTTTACATTATTTCCAACCAATAGGTCTCTTTTTGAAAAGACACAATTTTACAACATGGAATTCAATTTGTTAATATAATGTATACATGCATGTAAATTTTTATTTTTTTTAAAGCATAATAAGAGTACTAAATGATTTCGCAAGTTGGTTTGGAGATGCTCTGTAATTACCTTTGTTATCTCCTCTCTACTTACTTTTGCAAGTGGCGGGTGCAATATTTCCTAGTGACACAAACAATCCAAATGTACTACATTTGACGAAAAGCAGAAATTTTAAAAGTGATCTATCTTTTTGTTTTCCCATAAACATCAGATTCTTTTGGTTTGGTTTTGTGAAAATTGTGAATGTGTGTGTACCAAGAGCTGTAATAAAGTATTAGTTTGCTTCCTTTTTTTTGGTCACATTATTTCATAATACTTTTTGCTTACTATGAAACTTTCAGTAGGTGGCTATATAAACTCTTATTTATTATACAAATCATGACTCATAAGGAGAAGATATTCTCCATACATATTAACTATTAAGCTTATTAAGTAATCTTCACTCCATATGAAAGGCTTTTCCACACATAGATATAACAAAACACATATTAAACATACTTGCATTGCAAACATTTACTTTTGCTTTTTTTTTTTTCAGACAGGATTGGACCAAACTGGTTTTAGACATTTGAGGTGAAACGGGAGCTGTCCAAAATGTTTTTTCCGTTATCGAAATCAAAGTCTTTGCGTCTATGGCACTCTTCAATCTACAACCACATGTGTGTATATATATGGATTGTGAACACAATAACGCATATATTAGATATGACGAAATATCCAAAGTCTGAGTAAAAGTGTGTATATATAATTTGGTTCAAAGAACTTTGTAGAACGTACCTGGTCATGAGGCAGATCTTTGAACTGTGGTAGAACTTGACGGTCAATGAACTCAATGAAAGAAGCCGGGATCGTTTCAGTTACTCCGTCTGCAAATTCAACCGCAAGTTTCTCCGAGATCGAGGAGAGTTGTAAGAGTAGACCATCTTGACTCACTAAAATATACATACATCCACATTCATTCAAATCAAATAATGAATATCTTATATAATAAGACAAGGTTTTTTCTTAACTTTGCCTCACAACGCGACATGTGTCGCTCTATGCTTCTGACATGTGTTATTTTTATTAATTTATAATTTAACATTTAATTATTTTTTTTAATGATTTTGTGTTGTAAGTTATATGTTATATGTATGGTTTGCTTTTTAAAAAGTGTAATTGTTGCAAAAATATGTTTTTCCTAATTTTAGTTTCTAATTAAATTAAATATCATATAAGCTAAACATAAAATGGAGTTGTTATAATTTTTTATTGAAAGAAAATTGCTATGACTTTTTTTCCCTACTCCTTTAAAGATACATTTTTAAAGTTTTTTTTCCTACTCCTTTAAAGATACATTTTAAAGTTATTAATATGGGTAATAAATTATTTATAACATAATTTCTAATTTTTAAAATTTAATTTATAAGAGAAGAATTAAAGAGATTATCAAACAAAATTTATTTAATTTTCTATTATCAAACAGTTGAGAAAATAATATAATGAATTTAAATCAAAGAATAACTATCATATATATATATATATGATTTGTGAATAATATGGCATGTAACTTTTAAAAATATTATATATTTGATTCACACTTTAATATAAAACAGAAAAAAAACAAAGAAACCACAAAACACATTTAATCATATATATTAAACTCACACTTTAATATAAAAACTGAAATAACATAAATTTGCATTAACTATATTTTCCATTCAATTTTTTCAATACACAATCAATTATAATTGACTCCCATAATTGTTTTATGAAATTGTAACTCCCATCACTTATCTTCTTATATATACTCATTTTCTCATTATATCATTCTCTCATTCTCTCATTATATCATTATATCATTCTCTCATTCTCTCATTCTCTTCTTTATGAAATTTGTTGCTTTGTTTATTTTTGTTGTATGAGTTTTGAAAAAAAAAATATTCTTATATAAAATTTCAACTGTAGAAACTTTTAGAGACTATATGATATATTGATATACTTCTTACATTATTATAATTTATCTTTTTTTCCTTGAAAATTCCATCTCTATTTTCTATTTTTGATTATCAACATATAAGTACATTCACTCCCTCTCTTCCATTATATTCATGTATCTTTAATATTTTTTTCTATTTTTTAATGTTCTTATGTGACATAAAAATCATTGAAATAATCATTTTAAGAATTTGATATAAATATCTTTAGAAAGTATGATACAAATCTAACATATTATCTTATATTAGTTTCAATCATCGCACAACAAGAGAATTAAGTTATAAAGATCCATTTATATATATGCATTTTCTTTTTTGATTATGAAATATTTAATTAAATATTTTATTGTAACACAATTTCCAAAATAATATATTATTACCTCTTTCTTATTCAAATAATTCTTAACTCACACTTTAATATAAAAACTGAAATGATATAAATTTGCATTAGCTATATTTTTCTACTCAATTTTATTCAACACACAATAAATTAGAATTAGCTCGCAGAATCAAGAATATACTTATATTATACTTATACTTTCATACTTATGAATCAAGAAAATTTGATACAACACATATGTAA